AAACTGAAACTATTTATCAGATGACTAATAAGGAGGCCCCTTCCCCAAACTTCCAACAATCACGATTATGTTTTCTCCATGTGACTATTTAGGTACTCAAATAATCGTAATTGTATACAGTATTTGAGTATTTGTCCTTTTTGTCTTCTGACATTTATTTGTGTAGATGTATCTTAAAGCTAAAAAATTACTTACCTGTGAGGACATGTGACTTTAGAGAATCACTAAGTACAGTTTTCAGCACAGAGACTACCTTCAGGGAAAAATTGTTTTCACTTAATGTGATTTATTTATTTATTTTCAAGACCTTCAAGTTACATTCTCAAGAAAGAAATTCAGTCTTTAATCAGTCAAGATGTTGGAATTACAAGGACCTCAGAATCCAATGATATAAATTAAAAAACACAATACAGAAGATCAGTGAAACCAAAATGTTTTTTTGAGAGAATTAATAAGATTGACAAATCTTTGACTAGACACAAACAGATAAAAGTGTGATGAATCATATAAAATTAGAAAAAGATTTTGCAACAGATAAGTCATAAAAACAAAAAATTATGCAATATTACTGTGAATAACTTTATGCCATTAAATTAAGGTAATCTAGAAGAAATAGATAATAGATAATGTCTTAAAGTTTTAAAACCTCCCAAGACTGAGTCAGGAGAAAGTAGGCAATCTATTAATAGACCTCTTAATGTCATGAAGGTTGAAACATTAGTGAAAAACAATCTCCCCCAAAACAAAACCCCAGAATTGTACAGATTTTCTGGTGCGTTCTTTCAAACCTTCAAAGAGGACTCATTTTTCTCAACCTCCCCAGAAAGTTAAAGAAGTGGGAACTCTACCAGTTTCTACAAGACCAACATTACCTTGATATCAAAAGCAGACAGAAAATCACTAAAAAAAAGCAGATCAAGGAATATAGATGAAATGATTCTCAATAAAATCCCAGATGAGTATATTAAATAGATCATACATCAAAATCAAGTGGGTTTTATCTTAGAAGGATGCAGATGGTTAATTATATATAAATTAAAGTGATATATTGCCTTTTTGTTGCCTTTTTGATATATTGCCAGGTGTGAGGGGCTCACACCTGGCGGTGCTCAGAGATTACTCTTAGTGGCGCTCAGGGGAACATATATGGTCTCAGGAATCAAATATTTGCTCACATTTAATAAAGAAACTTTCCATTCTAAAAGCACGCCTTTTAATTTATCAAGAGAAATGCAGCTCATTTACTGATAGTATATTACCACCTTGTGGTCTTTTGTGTAAGTGCTCAAGATTTACAGCTACAGCAGTGAGGATACGGTCTTAGTTAAAACCAGACCTCAGAGCAGAGGAGCTCCCATTCATGCTGAGCAGATTGTAGTGAGATACGCAGAGAAAGACTATTGGCACCTGGCTGTGCTTAGGGATCATTCCTGTAGAGGCCTGGGAACCATATGGGATACTGGAGATCCAAGCCTTGTTTGGACAGTACACAAGGAAAACACTTTACTGCTGTTCTATTTCTCCAGGCCCAGTATTGAATTCTTCTAGTACTGCTAATTATACTGCATTCCTTTGAAGTTTTATTTTTTCTTTTGATCTTTTGAACAATGCACACCAAGTATTGTTCAGATGCTGTTCCTGGCTCTGTGCTCTGGAGTGACCCCAATAGCTGCTTAGAGAATCAAATAAAGTGTCAGGCATGGGACTGGGGTTGGCTACAGTATACAAAGCAAGTTTCTTACTTACACACCCTCTCTCTGGCACACCTTTGGAATTTTTAATGCAGCAGTAAACTAGCTGGCATCTAAAAGTGGTTGTCTAAAACTCCTTAATCTTTCCTTTCCTGGGGGGCTGGAGGATAGCACAGCAGTTAGGGCGTTTGCCTTGAATGCGGCCAACCCGGGTTCGATTCCCTGCATCCCATATGGTCCCCTGCGCACTGCAAGGAGTAATTCCTGAGTGCAGAGCCAGGAGTAACCCCTGAGCATCACCGGGTGTGACCCAAAAAGAAAAAAAAATCTTTTCTTTCCTTTCCTTCACCATTGACTTGGTGCTGGGACTAGTCTCTGGGCTGACTCGAACCCCTGTGATCCCTTTGCCTAGAGGAAGGAAAATGAAAGGCAGGCTGTAAGGAAAAGAGCACTAACACTCAGTCTGAAACTCCCTAAAGCCAGCACTCGGAAGGAGGGCAATTTATTCTAATTACAAATACTATCAAATTTAATAAAACTTCCTTGCAAGATACGTATCTTTTCCTAGGGAAGAAAACTGTCCCTGGAAAGCAGGAAGATAAGAAATTTTGGTCTTAAGGTACACTGAAGACAAAGTTGGCAAAACCCTCCTTGACATTGAAGCTAATGGTATCTTCAAAGATGTCACGCCACTGGCCAAGCAAGTGAAAACAGAGATAGACAAATGGTTCATCTTAAACTAAGAAGCTTCTGCACCTTAAAAGAAACAGTGATCAAAATACAAAGACAGTTTACAGAATGGGAAGGGATATTTGCCCAATACACATCCGACAAGGGGTTGATATCAAGGATATACAAAGTACTGGTTGAACTCCACAAGAAGAAAACATCCAATCCCATCAAAAAATAGGGTGATGAAATGAACAGAAACTTTCTCAAAGAAAAAATCCGAATGGCTAAAAGGCACATGAGAAAATGCTCTAAATCATTAATCATCAGGGAGATGCAGATCAAAACCACAATGAGATATCATTTCACACCACAGAGACTGGCCCACATCCAAAAGAGCAAAAGCAACTGGTGTTGGTGCGAATGTGGCAAGAAAGGGACCCTCCTTCATTGCTGGTGGGAATGCTGACTGGTTCAGCCCTTTTGGAAAATATATGGATGATTCCCAAAAAATTAGAAATTGAGCTCCCATTTGACCCAGCAATATCATACCTGGGAATATATCCCAGAGAGGCAAAAAAGTATAGTCTAAGTGACATCTGCACATGTTTGTTCGTTGCAGCACTGTTTACAATAGCTAGAATCTGGAAAAAACCTGAGTGCTTGAGAACAGATGACTGGTTAAAGAAACTTTGGTACATCTACACAATGGAGTACTATGTAGCTGTTAGAAAAGATGAAGTCATGAAATTTACATACAAGTGGTACTACATGGAAAGTATCATGCTAAGTGAAATGAGTCAGAAAGAGAGGGATAGACATAGAAAGATTGCATTCATCTGGGGAACATAAAGTAACAAAATAGGAGACTAATACCCAAGAATAGCCGAGATAAGTACCAGGAGGTTCACTCCATGGCTTGGAGGCCAGCCGCACATGCTGGGCGAAAAGGCAGCTCAGACAGAGAAGGGAACACCAAATAAAGGGTGTTGGGAGGATCCTCCAGGATGGGAGATGTGTGCTAAGAGTAGACTATAGACCGAACATGACTGCCACTCAATGCCTCTTTTGCAAACCACAGCACCCAAAAGGAGAGAGAGAACAAAAGGGAATGCCCTGCCACAGAGGACGGGTGGGATGGGGGGGATGGGGGGTGGGAGGGATACTGGGATCAGTGTTGGTGGAGAATGGGCAATGGTAGAGTTATGGGTACTCGATCATTGTATAACTGAAACCCAAGAACAAAAATTTGTAAGTCTGCAACTGTACCTCATGGTGTTTCATAATAAAAAAAATTAAATTAAATTAAAAAATTTTGGTTTTAACTGAAAAAAATATTGTCCCAGCTCAAAAGACTTAGATGGTGATGTCCGTGGGCCCCATTGGTGACTTATGTGAAGTGGGGAGGAGGAAGATGGTCACTTTCTCCACATCTGCCTCAGGACCTAGGGTTACTGGGTTCTTGTCTCACCTCGCAGTAAAGAATTTCAGGAGTAGACAGAGAAGTAAAACAGATTTTATTTGGAGATTTTGAAGGGAAGGAAGAAGAGAAAGTGGGAAACTGGAGAGTAACGTGCTTAGGAGAGAATCCAGATTTCTCCAAGGGCAGAGAGAGACCCTACACACATCCCAACATTAGGCATGAAAGCATGAAAGTACATATCTCAAGAGGGGAGATAAACTGAGACACATGTGTTCGGGCACCGCATGTGCTCAGCCACCTAGGTACAAGGAACACTTGGGCTCTGGCAGCATATGGATGCGTTTCCTTTGTTCAGGGTGGCCTTTAACGGGTGTTCTCCAACCTGCCCCTTGTGGGGCTTCTACCTAGGTAAAAGTCCATTGCTAAGGAGGTTGCCTGGAGGGGCTTGGTTGTGGTGATGGTCTTCTTGGAAATTCCTTTCCTGGCCTTTTGTTTCTGCAGGAGCTTCTCTGGGTCTGTTGCTGTAGATATGTGAGGTGAGGGTCTTACCAGGCCTTAGTTTCTATTTTCTGTAAGGTCAGCTGTTGCCATTGCCTTGGGAGGGGGCCTTCCCTATCTGTGTATCAAAAGTACTTGAACAAAATACGAAGCTAAGATAAACTAAGAACTAGAGTGGGGGTACCAAGGGGGGGGGCAAGGTGAACGGACTTTGACTTATCCGGTAGGGAATCAGGTTATTTATAGAATTTGGCCTGTCCTATGAAAACCTGAAGGCAATGCCAGGGTGAAACGGATTTTTGGCAAGGTCCCCCCCAGAGTTTAACACAAGCATGTCAGAAACAAAAAGACGGCCGGATGGGTGAGTCCACATGCGACCCCCCGGCACGCAGATCGGAGGCACAGGGGCTGCGGGCTTTTTCTCTGCCTATAGATCGGGACCGGTAGCCCCAGGTGGGGTTCCTCCGGGGCATCCCTCCGGATGCCGCCGCCCGACGGCGAGCTACGGGGCAGATGCAGCACCGAAATCTTAATCCTGGAGCCGGCTTAGAAACCAGACTGACCCTGCTCCTTCAGCACCTCCGGACCGGGGATCTCCGGCTTCCCTGAACCCCCAGCTCCACGCAGGCCCGTGACCGCATCCGGTCACGTGCTCGCGCCGTCACGTGAGACTGGGTCACGTGGGCGCCGATCCCTCCGTCTGGGCGGGCGCGGTACGGGGGAGCCCGGAGGCCGTGACGGTGAGGGCTGCGGGCCGGGGCCGGGCTCGGGCTCGGGCTCGGGCTCGGGCTCGGGCGGGGCCGGCGACGCTGCCGCTCGCCGCTCAGCCTCCCTGTCGCCCTTGTCACTGCAGATGAGCCAGCGCGCCGGGGAGCCGGAGCGGCCGCCCGCGTCGGAGCCCGTGTGGGAGCGGCCCTGGTCGGTGGAGGAGATCCGCAGGAGCAGCCAGAGCTGGTCGCTGGCGGCCGACGCGGGCGTGAGCGGCGGGCCCGGGCGGGGAGGGGATGGGGTGGGAACCGGGCCCCCAGCCCCCCTGCCCCGGGACGCCCCGCAGCCTCCGGTCCACTGGAGAAGAACGCGTGTCTCCTCTGCCCGGAAACGCCCCCCTGGGCGGCCCGCTGGCCTTGGCCTCCTGAAGGCCCGCACACAGCTGGTTCGGGGCCCGGTTCGGGTTTTCTAGCGCGCCTTCCCTTCCCACCTTCCAACCGCTGGGGCCAGGTGGGGTCCCAGCGTGGCGCGGTCCTAGTGGCACCGTTTGGAAACGCGGTGCTGCACCCGCACGCACCTGGAGGAGGGTGGTGATGGAGTCAGAGGGGGCGCAGCCTGCAGGTGGGGCTCCTGAGGCCGCGGCTCCAGCCTTCAGAACTGGGTTTCCCAAAAGACTAGGATTGTTGCTGTCTTGTGTTTTTTTTTTGGGGGGGGGGGGAGGGGCATGCCCGACGGTGCTCAGGACTCTGTACTCAGGGATCACTTCTGACAGTGCCCCGAGTTGCTAAGGATGGGAACCCTTGTTGCACGCATGCAATGCAAGCCCACTACCCGCTGCCCTATTTCTTGCCGCTGGGATTTTGTTTTTGTTTGGGGGCTCCACCCAGCGGTGCTCAGAGGATACTCCGGGCTCTGCGCGCAGGAATTACTCCTGAGCTTGGGGAATCGAATGGGATGCGGGTGATCGAACCTGGGTTGTTCGCATGCAAGGAAGTACTATTGCTCCGGGTCATCGGATTGTTTAGTTCCAAGACATCTTGTTTTGACTGAAATTACTTTAAACTTGTAAATGAGGATGAACTGGGCGTGTTTACAGTTGAGATTTGGATATACATACAAAAGCATACAAATAACATTCTTCACCCTTTGTGTGGGATCCCTAAAGATGGCAAACAGGATTTTAGACTTCCTTCGTGAGCAACAGTTCTGTAGTTACTCAGTGCTTCTGATTACTGTACTGCCAAAAGCAGCTTTTCTTTTTGCATTGCTGTTCACAAGCATAGTCTCACAAAGGTGAAAGGAGTGTTTTTTATTTCGACACATAAAGTAGATGCATGTTATATTTATGCTGTTTTTTGTTTTTTAAATAGCTTTTGCAGTTTCTACAGGAATTCTCACAGCAGACTATCTCCAGGACCCATGAAATCAAGAAACAAGTGGACGGACTAATCCGGGAAACTAAAGCCACAGATTGCCGCCTGCATAATGTCTTCAATGACTTCCTTATGCTGTCTAACACCCAGTTCATTGAGAACGTGAGTTACTTTGTTAAAGTTTCAGTCATACAATGTTTCAACACCCATCCTCCATTTCTCCACTAGTGAACATTTCCGACCACCAATGTCCCTGGTATGGGGGCTGGGGGGGAGGGGATGGATGTGCATCGCCTCTATAGCAGGCACTTATTCTTCTTAATCTCTTTCAACTTCGGGGCATTATGGTTTGCTTTGCAATACAGACACTGATAGGCCATCATGTTTGGTCATTCTCCAGGATTCCATATAGTTCCTTAGTCCTGCCCTGAGTAATTCCTGAGTGCAGAGCCAGGAGTAACTCCTGTGCACTGCCAGGTGTGGCCCACAAATCTCAAAATAAAAAAATACAATCTGCTTGTTGGTCTCATTCTGTATCTTTCTTGTCGGATGACATGCTCAGCTTTTCTCTGAAGTCAGTGCTGGGGCTCTAAACTGGTCAATGAATGAGAGAATTAGACTTCTTTTTTATCTGATGAATCTGTACCACTTTGGTATCAATTAGTGTCTCTGTTGACAGGGACATATTAAACTTGGTTTTCTGAATTGCAGTCTTCTGCTCTGCTCTTTTTTCACCTATTTTGTTAAATTTATGTTTCGTTAGATGTTGAGTTTGTAATAATTTCCTTTTGTTTTGTTTTTGTTGGTTGTTCCTGGGTTGCACTCAGAGATGCTGTGGTGAATGGGGGTGACTATTCCTCCGCCAGCGCTCAGGGTAGCTCCTAGCATGCTTGGTGAGCTGTGCAGTGCTGGGTATCAGATATACTGACCTTTGAACCATCTCCCTGACCCCCAGGATCTTTTAATTTTGTGTTGTGTTTATTAAACAATTTTTACTCAGTTTATTTCCTGGGTTTTCTCTCTCTGTATCCCCCCTCCCCATTTTTTTTCTTCTTGGGTCACACCCAGCGATGCACAGGGGTTATGGCTTTGCACTCAGGAATTACTCCTGGTGGTGCTTGGGGGACCATATGGGATGCTGGGAATTGAAGCCAGGTTGACTGCGTGCAAGGCAAACACCCTGCCCACTGTACTGTCAATCCAGCCCGACTCTGCATCCCTTTTATTTATCCCTTTTATCTCTTCCCATCTAGTCTGTAACCAGCATTCCTCTCTGAGTATGCTTGTCAATACTGCTAAATTATTACTACTTCAACTTCCACGAGGGCCACGTGTCCATTTGCATGTTAAATCTTCTTCCGCTCGGTGGCAGAGCAGATGGTATTAATACTATGGCTAATGATTCATTAATTCATTCATTCATCATCCTGTTATTCGTCGATTGCCTCGAGTAGGCCCCAGTAACGTCTCTTTCATCCTAGCCCTGAGATTATATTCAAGGCTCTTTAGGAGAATGAGACCCATCATTGTTACTGGTATTTGGCATATTTGGTACACCACGGGGAGTTTGCCAGACTCTGCCCTGTGGGCAGGCTACATTCGATAGCCTGCAAGTTTATCATTAATAAGACTGAAGAAAATATGTATGCTGATAATGCACTTGAGAGTGATTCAGCTTTGTATGTATTTTCTTCAAATCCTGAGGTTTGGAGGTTATACACTACTGTTCTGGCTTGAATGATAGTACTGTTTGTTTGTTTGTTTTTAAATCAATTGGGAAAATGTTCAAAGCCAGGTAGGTTTCTGGATTTTGATAATTAACCCTGGAAGCAGCTGTCAGTCACATACTACATTACAGAGTTACTGAAGCCAAAGAACAATCAGTGCTTTCTAGGGCAAGAGAAATTAGTATGTTTGGTAACAGCCCAAGAGGGAACTCTGGAGGGAATACAATTTTTAGTACTTCATTAATCTGCTAATTTAGGGATTTTGTCCTGCAACATTAGTGATCTAGTTCATGACTTCTTTATAGCACTTCCTACAATTGCAATTTTATGTTTGTTGATATGTAACTTTCCCAATAGGAGTCGAGTCCTGTTCTTTTGTGAATTTTTTTTTCTTTTAGCAAAAACTTGCTATTTAGAGTCTTGGGGAATATTTGAGTGAACAAATGGTAGAACATGTACATTCAAAGGACTTTCTATAAAAGAGTTTTTTTTATAGTCTGTTGGGAAATCCCAGCCCCTGGTTTCTTTTTCTCCAGTTCACCTTCACCTCTTTCCTTGTCATCTTTCCAAATGTTCTTCCCTGCCCCCCACTTTATTTAAACATCATGGTTAATAAAGTTGTTCACAGTACAATTGTTATGGACATTCCATGTTCTAGCACCAATTCTACCACCAGTGTAAACTTCGCTCTATTTTTGTCCCCGTTTTGCCATCCATCACTCAAGCCTTCCCCCTTCGCAGGCACAAAATAATTTACTTTACATTTACTTCATATATACAACTCAATGACTCTAGACATACTTCAGTAAAAAGGAAATTTGTGAAAATTGTTATATCTCATTATAGGGTCATTAAATTCGTCCAAGGTTTTACTACGGTGTTTGTTGCTACTTGAGCCTTCTGTATTATTATTCACCGAGTTTAGTTGGCTTCTATGTTACTTTCCTTTCTAATTTGGTGTGCTTCCACTAAGATGTCAGTATTGTGGAATTTGAAGATGTCTCGTAGTTATATTTGCTGCAGCATGCTTGAGAAACTCCAGGATCTGTAGAACTGGGCCCTGAGTTTAGTTGGTGGTGCTATGGGATATGGGTATGGCTGCTGGGGTTCTAGAAGTAGGGAGAAGGGGGAAGTGAGCTGGGGCAAGGCTGCTTGTCCCCACTCTGAGAAGACCCCAGAGTTTTCAGCCTGAAAACCAGTGTGCCTGGAATTTTTGTCAGCTTGGTGTATCTGCAGGGATTGGTTGTGAAGCAGTGGAGTTGGGCTGTTGGCATAACAGCAGCTGTTGGGTGTGGGTGGGTGCAGCTGCCAGGGCTTCAGCAGGACACAGACTTGGCTGATGGCACCAGAGTTTTCAGCTGGGAGACCAGAGACCAAATTCAGTTGTGATTTTTTTTTTTTTTTTTTTTTTTTTTTTGCTTTTTGGATCACACCTGGTGATGCTCAGGGTTAAGTCTTGACTCTGCACTCAGGAATTACTCCTGGCAATGCTCTGGGGACCATATGGGATGCTGGGGATCGAACCCAGGTTGGCTGCATGGAAGGCAAATGCCCTACTCGCTATATTATACCTTTAGCCCCTCAGCTGTGAAGTTTTGCAGCTTGGCTTGCATCTCTTCTGAGATTAGTCCTTGGTCTGGAAAAGGTTCTTTGAGGGAAAATAGTAAAGATATTTAGCAGCTCTGGATATAGCACCCTCATCTTATAATGGTCACAAAACATGAAGCTGGGGCTGAAGCCATAGTATAGAGGGTTGGGCTCTTGCCTTGCACGTGGCCAACTGGGGTTTGATCTCTGGTATCCCATATTGTTCCCTGAGCCCTGCCAGGAGTCATCCCTGACTACAGAGCCAGGAGTAAACCCTGAGCACTGCCGGGGTGTGGCCCCAAAACCAAATGATACTGTTTGCCCTGGTAAAAGTGAAGGGGTTGGAATTATGTTCTGTGTACTGAGTACTTATGATACACAGTCCAAAACACTGTAAAGATCCTGTGTATTCCATCTGCTTGCCAGATGGTTTCTTAATATTACATTTGGGTTCCAGCTGCAGACTGCTCCTATCTGATGATGTCTTTTTTATTGCCAGGCAGATGAAAAAGTAGGGTTTCATGCTATTCAGGTTTCCATGTGAAGCTTAAATTTCGGGGTTAAAGGGTCTCTATGTAAATATCAAGGTAGTCCTGGCAGTTGCCATGTCTTGAGTCTCAGTTTTAAGGTTTACTTTTTTATAGACAAGTTAGAAAGAGAAGCAAAGGGGAAGAGAAGCAGCATTAAAATTCTAAAACCTTCTGGGATTCATATTCCGCAGTGTCCTCATTTTGAAATAACTACCAGTTTGATCAGTGTTGCATCCAAATGTTCTTATCAGCTATTCATATTCACTGATCCAAGAATTCTATTTTCTTTTGGAGGAGGGAGGTGACTGCCAAGCAACGCTCTGGGAATCAGGGTCCATTCCTATGATACTTGGCCAATGAGGCTGCACAGTTTCATTCTCGGATATGGCAGTATGTCACTATTTGAATCAGTCAAATGCCTGACTTCTCTGGCAAATCATGGGTGAGATTGACTTAACTGCTATATATTAAAGGGGCAGGAGATCTTTATTAAGTATTTGAAGTGACAGAACAAAAATAGGTTGTAGCACTTCTATTGCTAAAAACCTTAAAATGGTCAACCCTAGCAAACCGATCCTACCAGTTGACACTTTCATTAGCCTCACATGCAGTACTGTATTTTGATATTAGGCAAAGTGATAGGTTAAACAAAAGAGATGTGAAAGATGGCATCTTCTGCCTTTATGATCCTTTCGTTAGTAGTGGGTTGAACTTTTTTTTTTATGTTTCACAGTCATTTTAAATTTTTTTATAATTTAATTTTGGTCAGTTGGTTTCTGAGCCTTTTGTCCCCGACAGAATTCCCAATTCCTTCTAACAGTGAACAGTTCTTGAGTTGTGATTTATTCCAAGTGATGTTTTGACTATTTAAAATTAATTTGTTTCCTTTTTCAGCGTGTCTATGATGAAGAAGTGGAAGAGCCAGTACCCAAGGCTGAGACAGAAAAAGCAGAGCAGGTATTTGTATCAAGTCACTTTTCTGTTGCATATCTGACTTACCGAGGACGGAAGAGTGTTGGAGATTTGTGATCTGGTGGGCAGGGGGTTAGATATTGGGGTAAATGAGACTGATAGTCAACATTTGAACTCTTTAGTTTACTCTGGAAATTTAGTGTATTAAAAAATACACTGGAGTAATAGTACAGTGGGCAAGGTGTTTCCCCTTGCATGTGGTCTGAGTTCAATCCCTGACACCCCATATGGTCCCCTGAGCCCCGTCAGAGGTGATCCCTGAGCATTGAGCAAATAATAATAATTGAGCACTACTGGGTGTGGGCCAAACCTGTTCAAAGGGAAAAAAAAATTAGTAGAGAAAGTTCCCGAATTCTGTCTTTGAGAGTAGAACAGAAGTTAGCAGTACTTTTCTTTTTGTGTTTAATTTTTTTATGTGTATGTTTGGGGAGCTTTAATTTTATTTTGGTTTTTGGGGTCTCAACCAGTTGTGCTCCTGACTCTGTGCTCAGGATCATTCCTAGTGGTGCAGTACAGGATCCTGGGGATCAAACCTGGTTGGCCACTTGACTTGACTCCCGGCCGTACTATTGCTCTGGCCCCAAACATTGGCAAAGATTTTCTGAAAAACAAACCAGATAATAAATATTTCAGGTTTTGCTGGCCACATAGATCTGCCTCTCTTCTTTTTCCTCTTCCTTTTCCTTTATTTTTACCTTGCCTCATATTGTGAAACCCATCCTTATCATAATCAGGCCCTAGACTCAGCTGCAGCCAGGGAACTCAGTTTAGTTGTCAAGCCTGTGCTTCTCTGTTCCTTTTCATGACTGTTTTGTTTTGTTTTGTTTTTGTTTTTGTTTTTTTGCTTTTTGGGTCACACCCAGCGATGCACAGGGGTTACTTCTGGCTCTGTACTCAGGAGTCACTCCTGGCGGTGCTCAGGGGACCATATGGGATGCTGGGAATCGAACCCCGGGTTAGCTGCATACAAGGCAAACGCCCTGCCCACTGTGCTATCTCTCTAGCCCCTTCATGACTGTTTTGATTAGAATTCCTACCATCTGAAGAGGGCTTATGAGGTGAATGCTAACAATCTTCATTATAATGTCCAAGCCCCCTATATATTTAAGACCTTTCTGGGTGCTTATGGTATAACTATTGGTACATAGGTTCTGGACTACAGATCCTAGTAAGATGGCTGTTTTGGTAGCCCAGGAGAAACCTTTGTCCTTGAGAGAGTACATTTAAGGATAGGACGACAGGACATACTGTTTAGCTGCATAGCTGCCTACCTTTTGGAGGTTTAGAGAGGATGAATTCTTAAAAAATAGCTGGGAGGCTGGGTGGGGAAAGGAGCACCAGATGTTAAGGTCACTTTTAACAGAGAATGCCATTGTGCTCAGGTTCAGGGTTGGGGCCTGTGCCTGATAGTTTATGGACAATACTTGTGGAAGGCACAGGACATCAAGCAAGAGGAAGGAAAATGGGGGTGGGGGGGTGAGGTGGGAAAGGCAGAGGGTTCATAAACTGAACTGAGTCATAGAGGGCCACTGGTTCCTGTCTTTTCTTGCCCTCTGTGGCTTTTTTTTGTTACAGATGCAACTAGTTTCTTCCAGGGTCTTCTCACATCATAGGGAAAAGCACTGATAAGAGGTTCCTAACTTGCTAGCATTCAGGCAGGAATTAGACTCTTTTCTTTCTACTCAGGCATAGTGAAATATCAATTTATTAGGAGAGAATCTTGAATCAGGTGTAATTTATGTAGAAAGTACAACTTGCCTGAGGAATTTAGTACTTTCCCAGTAACTATTATTTGTGACATACAAAGTTTGTTTATTTAGAAGAGGATATTAGAAACAGTTTTAAAAAAAACAAACAAAATGACCTTTTATTTTGGCCTCGCCAGCAGTGCTGAGGGAGCCCAGGAACCATACCCAGTGATACTTGGATACTCAGGCAAGACAGTTTAATGCTCAGAGCTTGAAGATACTGTGTTGTGTGGGAGCAGGGAGGGCACTAGGAGCTCACCTGGTGGAGCTTGTGGCCTCCAGCGCTGCTGCACCTAGCAGTGCTCAGGAGGCCCATGTGGTGCCAGGGAACTAACAGGGCTCCCTGCCAAGGATACACATGCAAAGCATGCAACTCTGCCCCTAGGTGCTATCTCCCTGGCTTCATAAAAATGTTACTTCATTATTTTTGATGGTGCTAAGCCATTGCCTTTTTTTTCCTTTTTTGGGTCACACCCAGCGATGCATAGGGGTTATTCCTGGCTCTGCACTCAGGAGTTACTCCTCGTGGTGCTCAGGGGCCCATATGGGATGCTGGGAATCAAACCCAGGTCGGTCATGTACAAGGCAAACGCCCTGCCCACTGTGCTATCTCTCCAGCCCCAAGCCATTGCTTTTGAATGCGATAGTATTAAGTTAGGGCTTGGCTTACATGTAAGGTGGAGTGTTTCCTGGACTTAGAAAAAAGCCAGTATAGATTGCACATCATATTTCCAGAGATTTATTGCAGTGTTATCTGTTCAACTTAGAATCAGGCATACCAGAGTTTTGAAAAAGCCGGCAGCTAAAACAAAGAATAAACTAGAAAGACTTGTGTATTTGAGACAAGAGTATAAGATGCAGGGGTTTTTCCTTTGACCCTCAAAATAGCACCGTGATTCTTTGTTTGTAAACTTCTAGAATATTTGTGATGAGGGGAAATGACAGTACTTATTTTTTATAGGTGAGTGTAGGAGGAAGCTGTCATTGCAATCTGCTGTTGTAGGAGTTGGAGATCTGTGTACTATTTTCATACATTTCGTTTTTTATATTTTATATGTTATGTAGCTGAATGATTACATAGTGGTTGTACTTTTATCTTCATAGATGATGAAGCCGGAGCTCTGGGACTTTATGTAGTTGGTTTCATATCCAGAAAGTGACAAATTTGGGATTTAATGTTTATTTCGATGTCTGTTAAGGCATTCAGCAGAATCTCAGTTTGATAGCATTTTTAAATTAAGATGTGCTTGAAACATCTAAAAAACATTCTTAGTATCTTTTGTGGGTGGCAGGGGGCTCGTGTAGAGTGGTGATATCACCACATTGGAGATCAATAATGAGCATACTAACTTCTAGGAAAAGACCCGGGAGCAGAAAGAAGTAGATCTAATTCCAAAAGTCCAGGAGGCTGTGAACTATGGTTTACAAGTATTGGACAGTGCATTTGAGCAACTTGATATAAAAGCAGGAAACTCAGATTCTGAAGAAGATGATGCCAATGAGCGGGTAGAACTGATCCTTGAACCAAAGGTAAAGACATTCAGCTTAAATGTTTATCATTATGTTTGTTATGTTCTGGGTGCTTTATTTGGGCATAGAATTATTAAGATTGAATGGGATAAATAAGCCTAAGATTGCTTGATTTTTTTTTTTTTTGTGGCACTAAAATGTACTTCTTAGGGGAGAAAAATAGGATTAAGTATACATCAAAACTCAGCAGAATTTGTTTTTTACTTGATAGATTCTTTTGAACTTATTCCTCTGAAGTTGTGCCCCTGTCCTTGTTCGGTTACTGCTGGTAATTTTTTTTTTTTTTTTTTGCCATTCCCATTAATATTAGATACTTCACAAGAGCTATTTGCTGTAATTCTACCTAGGATTTTATTCCTTATATCAGTCCTTTTTTTTTTTTGGTGGCACTTATGATTCGAGTGTTTTTTTTTTTTTTTTTTTGTTTTTGTTTTTGTTTTTGTTTTTGGGTCATACCCGGCAATGCTCAGGGGTTACCCTGGCTCTGCATTCAGGAATTACTCCTGGTGGTGCTGGGGGAACCATATGGGATGCTGGGAATCAAATCTGGGTTGGCTGCGTGCAAGGCAAACGCCCTACCCGCTGTGCTATCGCGCCAGCCCCTTCAAGTGTTTTTTTATTTTCCTTTTTTTAATGCTACTTTGTTTTGATAATCAGATGGAATAATCCACCAAATACAACACTTTATTTCTCAACTTAATTATTTAGTGGTTTATTCTCTTTCTTTATTCTTAGGATCTTTACATTGATCGTCCTTTACCTTATTTGATTGGATCCAAGCTGTTCATGGAGCAGGAAGACGTAGGTCTTGGAGAGTTGTCTAGTGAAGGTACTATTTTGCATTAAATATTTTTTTTTCTAATAAATTTTGCATTTTTCCTTAAAACGTTTTATTTTAAAATAATTTAAAATAAATATCATGTTATGGCTATAGAAAAGAATTTCCTTGTATTTTACCCCAGCTTGATGGAGTGGAAGCTTACTTAGATGTTAGAGGAGAAGGAAAGGGATATGGGTTCAAGAGAGAATACGAGCCTGAAAAGAGACATAGGAATAGACATGTTTGAGAGAGAACATGGACTTGAAGAAAGAAGCCTTTTTATTCAAGTTTAACAGTTAATATTTCACCACATTTATTTATTTATTTTAATTGAATCACCATGAGATAGTTACAAAGCTTTCGTGTTTGAGTTTCAGTCATACAATGATTGAACACCCATCCCTTCACCAATGCCCATTTTCCACTACCAGTGTCCCCAGTATCCCCTCTCCTGCCCCCATCCCACCCCTTTCCCTGCCTCTATGGCAGACAATTTCTCCCATACTCTCTCTCTGCTTTTGGGCATTATGGTTTGCAATACAGGTGCCAAGAAACTATCACATTGGGTCCTTTAGATACTTTCAGCACACATCTTCCACCCAAAATGATCCCTCCAACCACCATTGACTTAGTGATCCCTTCTCTATTCCAGCTTCCTTCTCCCCTAGCTCATGAGGCAGGCTGCCAATCATGGAGCAATATTCCTGGCCCTGTCTCTACTGTCATTGGGTGTCAGTCTCATATTATGCTATTTTATATTTGACAAATGAGTGTAGTCATTCTATGTCTGTCTCTTTCTGATTCATTTCACTTAGCACGATACTTTCCATGACCATGCACTTATAAGTAAATTTTATGATTCATCTTCCCTAATAGCTGCATAGTATTCCATTGTGTAGATGTACCAAAGTTTCTTTAACCAGTCATCTGTTCTCGGGCACTCAGGTTGTTTCCAGATTCTGGCTATTACCACATTTATTTTATTTTGCCTATACATATAACTTTTTTTTTTCTCTAGAAATGTTTGAGAGACATCATGCAGATACTATGCCTTTTCACTCCTGAATGTTTCAGTCTATGTTTTGTCTAAGGACAGTTCTGTATAACAGCATTATAGTTTTAAAAGTCAGGAAATTTTATTGGACACTATCACTATTAGTATTAATACTGTTAACTAATTTTTAACTATATTCAAGTTTTGCCAGTTGTTTTAGTAATGTCCTTTACAGTTTCTTTTATTCTCTGGTGTAAGATTCACTTGAGGATTACTCATCACATTTAGTTGTCAAATCTCTCTAGTTTTCTAGATTTTGTGATTTCTAGTTTGTGATTTTGAGAAGGAACTAAGAACATTTTTAAAAAGGGAAATTGATGATAACTCTTACCTCTCTTTTAACAGAAGGCTCTGTGGGCAGTGACCGTGGTAGTATTGCAGACAGCGAAGAGGAGAATGAAGAGGAGGTAAGAATTGTTTGGTGTGTCCAGGCCTTTATGGGCAGGAAAGACAGGTTGTGGTTAGCAAACCAAGTAGATAATGTATTTATATATGAGCAATCTGTTTTCCTAAGTCTTTTCTTCTAGAAGTCATATTCTGAAGTTTTTTCCTCAGACTTGGATTTCTTTTTTGTCTTGAGTACAAAAATAAGGAAAACTCTTTGAATTTCCTTTGTTGTTGCCCTCTCTCCCATCTCACCACCTAAACCTCTTTTTTTTTTTCCTTTTTGGGTCACAGCTGGCCATGCACAGGGGTTACTCCTGGCTCTGCACTCAGGAATTACTCCTGGCGGTGCTCAGGGGACCATATGGGATGCTGGGAATTGAACCCGGGTCAGCCGAGGGCAAGGCAAACGCCCTACCCACTGTGCTATCTCTCCAGCCCCTGTAAATATATTTTAAGGAGGGAAATTTAGATATTTTGGTGGACTCCTTGCCTGAGATCTTTGAATAAGTCTAGGGAAAATATTGCACATTTCAAATAGTTTTACTATAAGACTCTAAGTTTGAAGGATTCTTTTTTTTTAATTTTAAATTTTATTTTCATAAAATTGTTTACAATAATTGATTACATTCAGTACTTCAACATGAATTCCATCACCATTATACCTTCCCACCACCATCATTATTTTGTATTGCATGTTATGAATAGTAGGAGATGTCTGTAAGGGCCTGTCTCACAGTGATTCAATAAAAAAGTAAAAAAAAAATGCCCCCGGAATTCCAAAATTTTAATAACTGGAGTCTGGAGATATATCTGCAGCAAGCTGCTCTGTTCTGAGATTTTTTTGTGAGTCTCTGGATCATGGCCATTAATATGCTTAAATGGCACCTGGAGGCAGTTTGTGGGCGTGACAACCAGGACCCCAGAAGGGTGGGGAGATGGGAAGGGGCAGCCCATTTCTGACTTCTTGAGGCCTGGAGTTTTTAGTCACTGGTCCCGAGTACCTGGGTTTTTCAGTGGATTCATTCTCTTGTGTGGGGGGCTCTGGACGAGCCTGTGAAAATCTGCCATTTGAAGGATTCTTACAACATCTGTAGACATTTTATCTTTGTGGCCCTCTCAGCCACCTTCATTTTCTAGAACATAGTCTTCCTCCCTGCTATGAGGTTTCTAATGTTTCTGGGTCCTGACCGCGAATAGGTCTGGACTTCCTCCTTTAAAAGAATGGGATATTGTTATTGCCAAGGGCAGAGACATTTTTAAGTATAATCTTGGTGCCTGAGCTTCTAAAAGCAGATAGCATTTTATGCATGCTATTTCTTCTCTTCCCTTCTGTTTCGTAGACCCTCTTTCCTGTCCTCCTCTTCCTAGCCTTCCAAATACAACCAAGTTTTGGTAGGAAATACGGAGTTCTTAAGATAATAACCACGAAGAACTGTTTTCTTAACTCAAAAAAAAAACTATTAATTGTTAGCTGTATCCTTTGCTGTTAGCTTTCAAGGGGATCTTTTTCCTGAGTGGCTGAAAGCAAACACTAATATCTCCTTCGTGGCCTGTGGAGTGGTTTTCCTACTTAGAGGCACATAGTAGAGGACTCCAAATGCTTCCACATTAAGTTAATTAAGAATGCATTAAACTAAGCCTTAATTAAATATACAACTTTTACTTTGTAGTATTATGTTATTTATGGCCAGGCAAAGCGTACCCTCTGCCACCGAGCAGCTACATCCTTGGCCTCAATTTTTCAATTTATTCTTCTTAATTGAATCATTCTGAGACACAGTTACAAAGTAGTTCATGATTGAGTTTCATGAACTCAATGAGATGTTCCAACATCCAACCCTTCACCAGTGTACATTTCCCATCACCAATGTCCCCAGTTTCCCTCCTGCTGCTCCCCCCTCACCTGCCCCACAGCCTGCCGGCCTCTATGACAGACACCTCTCTCTCTCTTTCTCTCTCTCTCTCTCTCTCTCTCTCTCTCTCTCTCTCTCTCTCTCTTTCTCCCCCCCCCCCCCATCCTCCCTCCCTTCCCTCTTTCCCTCCTTTCTTCCTTCCAAGCCTGTGGTTTGCAATACAAGTACTGTAAAAATTCTCACGTACATCACTTTCCCTCCTTTTAACACTCAGGTTTTTACTTTAACTCTGAAGGTTTGTGATGATAGTGAAGGAAGATACTAGCAATTGATGTAAATGTTTAAATGAACCACAAGAATTACATTTTAACTGGAACAACTTTTAGGTATATTGCCAGCTTTCTACCTGATGGTATTTCGGATGACTGGTAATCAGTATAATGAGGCCAAGTAGTGACCTGCCTGAGGGACAGAGATGTTAGGTCATTTCTGTAAAATGAAACCTTTACTTTTCTTGAGTAAAGTCTGTGTTAACAACAAAGCCTTTTTTTCCTCCCTTCTAAAGGAGTCAGATGAAGATTTTGTCAATCATAGCGACAATGATCAAAATCGGGTAAGGTTCACAATTAAAATTTTAATTGTAGCATAGTACATATGTTAAATATAAATACATAAGCAGGTACTAAAATTACTTTTGAATGACTTATGAGAAAGAATTTATGTATATAGTTTTCTTGCATAATTTTAGACTACCTACCCTTAGTGCATATATTTTCTGCTTTAGAATTTATTGTGCTTTCTTAGAAAAAAAAAAACTGGAAAGCAAAATTTCCCCAAATTGAAAAAAAAAGTTTAAAAGAAGACTTATTTAAACAGAACTATTGTACATGAATTCCCCACTACTGTTTTAAAATTTAAGATAATGTAGCAGTAACATTAAGGAACATTTAGTGAATGGGAGTTTCTAGACTGCTGCCACAATTCTAACACGGTCTTATGCTTCAAAGCTCTTTCCACATTATGTGTGTTCTGGCGGCCCTGATCTCGAATCCTCTGTTTGCTGCTTTCCTTCTTTTATTAGAACATGGCCTGGAAATTGTACATACAATGAATTTATAATTGGAGAGACACCATATTCATCTACTATTACTTATTGCTGTTAGTATCTTACTGTGCCTAATTTATGAGTCAAACTACTATAGATATGAATGTATAGGGAAAAAAATATATTATTCTTGGGAGTCAGAAGGCTTCAGGAATCCACTGAATGATGCAGGACTGTAGCCACTGTGTGTGTGTGTGTGTTGGGGAGAGGGAGGAGGGCAGTTGTAATTTGTTTTCTATTTTCTAGTAACGTAAGAATTTATTCATTTTAATAGCCTTTGTAAATTTTTGGGGTAAACTTTTCTTTTTCAGCATCCTACTGTCATTATAGTTTCTAAATACATAAAAGAACATCTGTTTCCAGGTTTAAATTTTGAGATACTGATGCAATCATAAAGGTCTTTTGATTCTGCGACTATTTATTTAGGAATAAGATGAGATAGAATTACTTTCAAGGCTCTTGAAATTGCTGGCTAATGGATCTTCCAAATTTTTCAAATCCAGATCTTCCAAATCTCTATAGACTACAAATGATGTGTCTACAGTTTCATCAATACTGGAGTTGATTTTTATAGCCATATTGTATGTGCAGTGATATATGGAAATTTACCTTAGTTTGCGTTTTAGTTTTCCAGTTGAGAAATACTTCATTCATAAAGACTTTCAACTAAATCAAATGAAGGACTTAACCTATTTTTGTTCTGTACTTGTATTTTTCCAGTTGCATTCACAATGATGGCTAGATTTTTATAATTTTAACACATCAATCTTCTTTAGAGGTTATAAATTTATATGAAATTTACCAGATTCATATATTCAGTTTTTCCAGAAATACAGTATTGTGATCGAAAGCATTGATTTAAGGGCTAGAGCCATATTGTACTGGGTAGGGATTTTGCCTTGTACATGGTCAGTTCAGGTTCAGTCCCCAGCACTCCATATAGTCCCCTGAGCTTTCTGGGAGTGATCCCTGAGCAGCCCTGGTTGTGGCTCACAACCAGAAAATAATAAAAGCATTGATTTAACCATTTGCTTATTTAAAGATAGACCCTAGCTGGCCTTGGAGTTCTTAGAATCCAGATAATAAAATACTATTATCATTGTATTTGGCATAGTTAATGATTTAAACAGTTTTTAAAAAATCATGCATGCCAGTGGCTTCCTTTGTAAAAGTCAGAATTAACATATAAGGCTAAGTTTGAGCCCTTCAGTTGTCATCTCATAGTCTCGGGGGGCAGTTCCTCTTATGATATAGGATTCTATATTTCCAAGTGTGGTTTTATTTTTCAGCTTCCTTTCATTTGATCTGTTTGGATGACTCTCTGTTTTGGGTGACTCTCTGTTAACAGCTTACTTCTCTTACTTAGCAATATTTTGATTTAAGTGTGACTATTACTTGGTTTACTTATTTCTCAAATATTGAACATTTTCAATATTTTAGTATTTCAATTGCAGTCTTGCATGAAAAATCATCGTGTGTATTTTTTTCTAGCAGTATGACTGCTTCCTCAGATTTGCTTCATCATTATTGCTCTTAAAAGCTTACTGTTTGGAAGGAGAAGTTTAAAGTCTAAGGTATCTCTTTTTCAGCTTAATAACTAAGAGTTCTATGTGGTCATTTGTACTCTTAGCACACTGCACAAATGAGTGATGATGAAGAAGATGATGATGGTTGTGACATTTTTGCTGATTCTGAGAAGGAGGAAGATATTGAAGACATTGAAGAAAACACGAGACTTGTAAGGAACATTGTAGATGCTATTGACAAGGCATTAGAAATTACACTTATGACTCATTTTTTAATTGTCATTTACATCTATCTCAAATTTTTACTTTGAATTTTTATTTGTACTTTTGCACATAATGTTTGAGTATCCCAATTTGCCACATAAGTAGCACCTCTCCAAATGTTATAATTTTATAAATTAGATTATTCAAAATATGTTCAGATCCCAGGGTTTAAGATTCCATATTCTGCTACTTTCTGCCTTACCCTCAAAGCCTGTCAGGATAGTTCTCTTATCCTGGTCATAGAGAATTAGAGTCAAGTTCAGAAAAAAAAAAAAAGAAAATCAAGAGGATTAATACTTTGAAGGAGTACTGTATCCTCTTTCTCAGGTCATCTCTATTGATTGATTTGTTTCAATTTAGGTAGCCCTGTTTTCTGATCAGTGTCTTTGCCATTGTTAACTTCATATTTAGGTGACCAACAGTAAACTTGACTAGTTCGATGTTACAAAAATTATTCTTTTACTCTTTTCTGCTTATAGAAAAAAAATAGACCTACGTCATTTGCTGATGAACTGGCAGCTCGTATCAAAGGGGATACTGCAAGCCATATAGAAGAAGAACAAATAGGTACATCCCCAAATGAGTTAACAGGGTTGCAGGGAGGTTGAGGACATCCTGCTGGTCTTCACTAAATGTAGATTTCTCTAATTAATTAGCGAGGCATGGAACAGCATTGTAGAGCTTGTTGCCATTTGGCTTCTACACTGATAACACTGCAGACTGAAAATGTCCCTATCAGTCGAGTATTTTTTGTGGAATTTCAGGAACTGATGGATACTCCAGGGTTCCTTAAATGTCAAATTCAGAAACTCTCGCTTAGCATTTGTCTTGTATTGTGAATAAGTAATTCTGCACATATGTTATTCCAGTGATTTAGAAATGGAAAGAGGTCAGAATGATTCTTTGAACAGGAACAGTCGTGGTGTGCACATGGCCGTAGTATGGAAGCTAAAGCTGTTTGCCTTAGAAAGAGGTACATGGAGGGTATTGCGCGTTGTACTGGGTGGAGTTTAGACACAAAGCCCAGTGTCTTGCTCTGAGCTAAGGAGTCATGGAGCTGGTGGAGGTACCTGTAAAGAATCACTAGCTATACTAAGATGGGTAGACTGAGTCTGTTAACTCAGATATAAGGGTCAGAAGAATAGTACAGTGAGTAGGATGTTTGACTTGCAGGCAGCAGATTCAGGTTCAATTCCTGTCACCCCATACGGTTCCTTGCATACCACCAGGAGTAATTACTGAGTGCAGAGCCAGAATTATTACCCATGAGTATTGCTGGATGTGGCCCCCAAACAAACAAAACACCCTGAAATATTTCAACTGTCATCCTCAGGAGACGCAAAACCTTGGAAGATGGTGAAAGAGAAAGAGAAGAGAACTCTCTCCGATGGTAGGCCCTTTTCCTCAATCAGCTCTTTTGGGATATCATGTAATTTATAAAGTGATGCTTCAAGTGCTGACAAATGAATTCTGCCTTGAGGGCAGACCAAGGGTTTCAGTTCTCAAGTACTTTGTTACATATTATTAGCAAAACCTTCCAAGTTTGGATCTGTTATAAAAGGAAACCACTTTAATTTGAATTCCAGACTCAAGATCCTTAAGACTGGTGAGATGGCTCAACAGGCTGAGTGCATGTGCTGAGTTCAGAAGGTCTGGGTTCAACACCTAGTACTCACCCCCATTTCCCCCCCATACTTCCACTGCTGTCCCCCAGCATAGCAGGGAGTATCCTGAGCACTGTTGGCTGTGGCTCCAAAACCAGTCCTATTTTTTTTTTTTAATTTATTTATTGAATCACTGTGGGAAAGGTTACAAAGCTTTCAGGTTTATGTCTCAGTCATGCAAATATCAAACACATTTCCCTTCACCAATACTTATTTTTTACCATGAAGAACCCCAATAAAACCCCACCCCCCACCCCTCCCTGTCCCTGTGAGGCAGATGAATTCTAGTTAACACTCTATCTGCTTTGATTAGATTCATTGTTTCAATAAAAGACTCACCACTATTATTTAGAGTTTACCCCCCCTCCCCCCCAAATCAGACATGCTGAAAAAGCATTGTGAAGTGATTTGCTTTCTACAGCTGGGTTCAAGAATTAAATGTTGGTTTTGGATTTCTGCTATTTTACCTATTGACCCTGGAAATATTTCTACTGAAAGTCAGATAGTTAAGAAATTGGTTTCTGTGTTCTGGAGTCGTGGCCGCGCTGGAGAGCCGCTCGCGGGGGGCAACCGGCGGCCTCAATAGGGCGTGAAGGGCGGAGCGAAACGCCCCCCTTCCCATGAGGTTTTAGTCGCCCCCACACTCCCGGCTCACACCTGCTGTCCACAAGGCTCCCATGTGGCCGCCATCTTTCTTTCCAGAGAGGAACCAGTCCTATTTTTAACTTTTCCTGTACAGCATTTTTTTCTCTTTACTAGATGAAGAAGATAACTTGTTTGCACCTCCCAAGCTGACTGATGAAGATTTCTCACCATTTGGCTCCAAAGGTGGCCTGTTCAGTGGAGGAAAGGGACTTTTTGATGATGAGGATGACGAGGTGAGTCTGCATGGTTGTCAGAGGTCCCAAGGAAAAAAGGAGGAAACATGGCTCCTAAGTTAAAATTTGCATATACTTTGATATTGTGAGAGATTTTGAATTAAAAGTCAAGAAGAGAGCATTATCCTGCTGTCATTATTTTAGGTGGGGACAGGGTATGATAGTATTAATAAATTACTTACTTTAATCAAGAAAATTGGCTCAACAAAAGTACATTGTTGTCTTCCATTTTTGTGTTTTAATTCCTGGACATTTTTTTTTGTCTTAGTAAAGAATTAGTGAGTTCATGGATGATGTGTGCGTAAAAGAAGAGTTGTGGGACTAGCTCTTCAAGTGGGCACCATGTGCAGTACAATCTGACTTGAGCGGAGAGCTGTACAAAACTGGGACAGAACAAAGAGAAGGGACTCACTTTAGATTTTCTAAAAATATGGCAGCATGGGCTCCTGCGAGAGAAGTATCACTCATCCCCAGGCAGAAACAGGAAACAAAAAATGCCTTTGCCTTAAACTGGTATGACTGCCCTCTGTGTCAAACTGTGAATACATCAACTCAAATCTCTCAAACACATTCCACAGCAGAACAGTCTGCCTGCCTCCTTGGATGGATGAAGTAAAACAAAAAACTCATACCATCAGTATTTTCTGATAATTTAGTTTAGTTGGCATTATAAGTATTCAACACATAGTGCACACCTAGTGAAGGAGACTAAGGTTTACGTTTTAGAATTAGGAAAGTTGCAAGACATTTTTGTATTGCTTGAATTCTTCCATACATAATGAGGTATAAAGGTAACATACAGCTAGGGTATCCTTCAGGCCTACTAAGCTCTCTTGATGACAGGAACAGGTGAATACTAGTTACTAAATATTGTCATTACAGATTTGTGTTGGTTTCAAGTCATTTCCCTAACCTTGCTTTCCCCTAAACCCTATTTTTAGTATGTGGGATTATAAAACGTGGGGTTTTTTGGCAATCCTAGTTTGATTCCTAGCTCTATGTATGGTCCCCTAAGGACCACCAGGGATCACTTCTAAACACAGAACCAGGAGTAGCCCCTGTACACTGCCAAGTGTGACCTAAAGTGCCCTCTCCCCACCAAACCCCCCTCAAAAGATACCAAAATACGATGCTTTATAGGGACTCATGTCATATCAGAAAAAGCATGCATTTTTAACAGTGTTATTCCTAGGAAAAATGTACTATGCTTTTTCCTTATCCAGATAAAGTGATGCTTGAGAAAGAAACTGCTATTTAGTTTATCTCTCTTTTTGTACTCTTGGATTAAAAATCATCGGATTATCCAAATAATTATGCTCTCACTACTGAAAATTTAAATTATATAGTCAGTTATAAGACTGTACTCCGCGCCAGGCTGTTTTCACTCAAGGCACCCCAGAGGGGGTGGGTGAGAGCTCTCCCCACCCCAAGGGACCCAGCCCTGGCAGCCGACCTCCACTTCCCAACCACCGTCACACTCTAAGCCGCTTTCCACATGCTCAGCCAAGCCTCAAACATGAGTGAACATATTCCTGGACACATCATTAAGACACTCCCTACCCGTTTTCCATAATTACCATGCCATATTTGATAGAGAGCCTGGTAAACTACCGAGAGTATCCCGCCCACACTGCAGAGCCTGGCGAGTTAGCTGTGGTGTATTTGATATGCCAGAAACAGTAATAATAATGGGTCTCATTCCCCTGACCCTGAAAGAGCCTCCAATACGTTGGGAAAGACGAGTAAGGAGAGGCTGCTAAAATCTCAGGGCTGGGATGAATGGAGATGTTACTTGCGCCCGCCCGAGTAAATTGAAGAACAACGGATGACAGTGATACAGGGATACAATTCCTGGACACACTTGTATTAAGTTATTTAAGAATCTGATTTTGCCAGCCTTCACTTTGAAGCTAAATTTCTAGCAAAGCAATAAGTATGTAGTTTTCAGCTTTACAAGCTTCTTTCCTTTACAGTGCCTCAAATGCAAGTACATTTTCCTTTGCTTTTAAATGTTTTTTTTTGTCTTATTCTGTGTTACTCCCAGAGTGACCTCTTCAAGGATGCCCCTCCGGACCCGGAAGTTCGAGCATCTGTTAATGAAGGTAAGTGTTCATTGTGGGCTAACTCAGATTCTTTCTGCACAGATTTCTAAAACTGTTTCATTCAAGATAACCCCCTCAAGGTTTTCCCAAGTCTTTTCAGGCAGGAAAAGAAACTGTAGTGTTTCCTGCCTTAATCTATTTGGAAGCAATTCATTTTCACTAATTTGTATGTTGGGAATACAATAGTACCACCTGCAACTCCACATCACAGTTTTATCCTTGTTACAAGATCATAAAAATGTCAAACAGGAAAGTACTCTAGAATTGTGCTGAAGAAAATTTATAATTCCTAGAGAGTGTTAAAATTTTTCTCATAAATTGAAGATCAGTAATCGCCCAACCTACTGTATTTCAGAATCCTGAATATTATATTTTATTTAGTTCTGCTTGTTTTGTTTTTGTTTTTGGGCCCCACCCAGCAGTGCTCAGGAATCACTCCTGACATTTTAAGGGACCATATGGACTGGTGGGGATTGAGCCCGCAAGCACCCTACCCGCTGTACTATCCCTCCATTCCTGTCTGTGGAGTTTTTAGAAACAGAGACAGACATACAAATGTAATCTCATTACATCTGTGGCTTGATAATTAGGGTGTCATCATTCTAAGTGACTCAGTTTCCCCAGTCATGGATTGGGACTTGCTATGCTGTTGGCTGACTTGCCTGCCCTGCAGTTCCTGTTTTCCACCTTGGAGATGGGTGTCTTGCCTAGTTTTCCTTTTTCCTCTTATTTTCCTCACTGATATCTCAGATATTTTATTGGGATTTGTTGTTGTTGTTTTGTCCATATCCAGTGTATTTCAGGGCTTACTCCTGGCTCTGCTCAGGAATCCTTCTTTGAAGGGACATATGGGGTGCTGGGGATTGAACCAGGTCTACCGCATGTAAGGCAAGTGCCCTACTCAATGTATTTTTGCGTTAACTCCCTCTTTTTTTCACTAGTTCATTCTCATCTCACTGAAAAGGCTAGACTTAAAAATGTTCTCCTTCTGCACCGCCCATACCTATGCTTTCCTTTCCCTTCTCAGCCAACCCCTTCATTGCCCATTTATCCAGTCAGTGGGCTTTTCCATGGAATTGCAATGAACTATATTTGTACAGACACCAATAGAGCAGACTGTGCTCTACAATTTTTAAATGGCCTATTTCAGGAAAAAATTAGTTTGACAAAGGTTTCCTATATACTGTTATACTTAGTGCCAGCTAATTCTGGTGTGTTTTACTTTCTGGAAGGTGTTTTGACAAGGAGAGTCATTATCTTTGTTGACATTCTTCTTTCTCATTTTAGCATCTTCATCCTCCAAACCAGGAAAGAAAATCCCAGCAGGAGCTGTTTCTGTATTTTTAGGTATCATAACTTTTTTTTTTGCAATTACATTTATTTTTGTTGTATAATGTTTTGTTCAGAGTAGGGGTAGGAGGTATTCCTTCAAACCATGCTGGATGGCCTCAGGCCATTTCTGCCAATACTTGATCATTCAGGTCTGACAATACAGTGCTTAGCTTCAAAGTTACTCTGCTTGGGCCTAGCAGTGCTGGGATCACCAAAGCTGCATCTGGCAGAACTTGGGGGATGGTCTGGTGCTGGAATAAAATCCAGGGCCTAATTCACACAGAGCCTATGTTCTTATCTTTGAAATGTCTCCCTGATTCCCACAGAATAGTTATTTTATTTTTATTTTATGTTTAAAATTGTATTTAATTTTAATAAAGTTGTTCACAATAATTTATTACATTTAATATTTCAACACCAATTCCGCCACCGTTGCACCTTCCCACCACTATTATTTCAAATTTTCCCAGCCACCATCAAGCCTGCCCCAATAGAAGACTCTAAATAATTTATTTCATATTGCTTATTATGAGTAATTTACTAAAAATGATCAAAAAAAGATTGCCTTAAAAGAATGAGTGTGAAGATTTTTGTATCTCACCCTGGAGCCATTAAACCCTTATACAAGAAATTATCAGTGTGTTATTTTAGGTTAAGCCTTGTCAAATTAAGATTGGTTGCTTTCTGCTTTATATCCTATCCAATGTGCTGTGCTACTCCTGGTACATCAGTGGTATAGAGCATGAGATATTGCATGGTCGCGCGCTCCAGGAATTCTGGGATTCTAAATAAGGTGATACAGCTGGAGTTAAATTTTTAATTTGATGGTGCCTGGGGTCTGGAGGCATCTCTATAGTTTATTGATCTCTTCTCAGATTTATCTGTGAGTCTGTGAGTCTCTGGATCATGCCAGTTATTGAGCTTATGTGGCACCAGAGGCAGTTCATGGGCATGACTTCCAGGCTCCCAGATGAACAGAGGGATGGAGGGAGGTTGCCCATCCCAGATTCTGTGAGAGCCTGGAGATTTCAGTCACATAGCCCACATACCTAAGTTTTTTCAGCAGATTCATTTGTGGATGAGGCTCTTCTGAGCCTGAGCACGACGGTGAGTGGATTCTGGAGTTTTTCAACTGCCAGGGCTCTGTTTGGGTGGGTGGAGGACTGACCCGCCCCACTCTGGGGTGCCCCAAGCATGAGCGGGGTCTGGGGACATCTCTGCAACTTGTTGATCTCTTCTGAGATTTGTTTGTGTGTCTCTCGGGGTAGTTATTTTAAAGGGTGTAAGTAATGCTTGGAGCGCAGGAGTTTCAGACACATCAGACAGCTTACAGGGAGTGCTCATTCACTGATGTTTGCTTATGTTCTCTTAGAACCCTGTAGCCTTGGAAATTTGTGTGTGACTAGCAGATTCTATAACAAAGAACATTCCCTGGTAGCGAAGGATCGAGGTTGAGTCCTGTTAATGTGATTTGTGTGGAATGAAATCACAAGTTCTTGGTGGATGGCTCTGTTTTCTGGAAAGTCAGGAGGCCTGCCCACCCTTGCTCACAGCTTGCCCTTCACAGGGGATCCTGATGTGTTTGGTGGTGTCTCAGCTCCAGCAGCAAAGGAGACCCAGAAGCCCAAGGTGACCACATCAGGGAAAGGCTCTTACCCCTCGGCACCTGCTGGCCTTTTTGATGATGATGATGACGATGATGACTTCTTTGCAGCTTCCTGCAGCAAGCCTCCCAAGACAGGTACCTGTTAGACTTCTTTTATTTGGGAACTTAGCTAGAAAAAAAGAAAATGTTGGCCTAGAAAGAACATATAGCCTCACCTGTTCTGTACCTGGCACATTGCTGTCAGAGTTGTCTCATCTGTAGCTAAACTGTTTTGGTCCTTTGGAAGGCTCTATTTTATGAACCAATCTTTTCTTCTTTGAAAACGAATTTTTGGGATATCACTTCTGGATAATTACAGTATGTTCTCCTATAAAAAACTGCTAGGGCTTTTTAGTATAGACCTTTGAATTGTAGGGAAAGTTTTAATTACACTTTTTTTGGGGAAGAGGGGTAGAGGGATGGGTCACACCCAGAAGTGCTCAGAACTTATTCCTGGCTCTTTGCTCAGGATCACTCCTGGTGGGCTTTGTGTGTACCAGAAAGTGAATCCAGTTGATCTTATTCAAGGCAAGTTCCCTACCCTATCTCTCCACCCCCAACTACACTTTTTATTAAAGTACAAGATTCTTAGTTCCTAGCTTCTTGCCTCTAGACTTGCCAAAAAGTCCAGGTAACCTTGACTTTCCCTTGTATGAAAGACCCTTTAGCCATTTTGGCACTACCCTGTTTACTCCTTTCAATTTTATCACCAAGATGCTGGCATAAACTTGAATTTCATTTTAATTAACACATTTTAAAGTTCCAGAGACAATGTATTGAGCAGGAGTATTGATGAAATCACTCCTTTTGATCTGTTGTTCTTTATTATGGAGGTGACTATTCTCAGACTCTTTTGTCAGCATGAGATTTTACATTGGGAACAAATTCCATGGTTTAAAGAGATTGCTTCTTGGGTTAGCAAGGCTTGGATTCAGTGGGTGCTTTTCCAGAAAAGTAGGGTACATCACTAGGGCACACAGTTTCCAACTCCTGGAGTGAAGGGCTTTTTCTCATAAGAACTAGATGATCAGGCTGCATTCAGAAGCAGGCTCTCTGGACGTAGCTCTTTTTTCATTGGTAGATATGAAGAGTAGAAAAGAAAAATAAAAACCTCCTTCTTTGAGATCATGCAAACCATTCCCATAATATACCCAGATACAGGCCGATTGAAATGACAGTGAAAAGGAATAGTGTTTCTCATGGCTTGGAAAGGCTAGTAGTAAGAGTGCAAACCATTCATGTAATATACTCGGATGCAAGCTGATTGAAATTAAGTGAAAAGGAATAGTGCTTTTCAAGGCTCAGAAGGGCTCTTAGTGCATATCACTGACAACTGGTTTGGAATTACAAAGAAGTTGTGCTGCTTTCTGTCACAGCGGCTGCTCTCCTGGGACGTTAATGAACCAGTGTCCTCATTTCAGTGACACATGCCTCGTTCACTGCAGCAGGGCCTGTGGTAGTGAAGGTTTGGAAACCATCCAAATATTCATCACTAGAATAAAATGATGTTCTTTCATTCAAAGAAATTTAGTTACACTGTTAAAAGAATGAGGTCTGTTTGTGTTGTCATGTTATGCCACAGACAATTTTATTTTATTTTACCACAGACAGGGTTTTTTTTTTTTTTTTTTTGCCTTTTTGGGTTACACCCAGTGATGCACAGGTGATGCTCCTAGTTCATGAGCTCAGGAATCTTTTTTATTTTTAAGGTTTCTGTAGGTTTTTTTTTCCCCACATTTATTTATTTATTTATTTTTATTGAATCACTGTGAGAAAAGTAACAAAGCATTCAGGTTTAACTCTCGGTCATGCAATCATCAAACACATTTCCCTTCACCAGTACTTATTTTTCACCACCAAGAACCCCATTATACCCCCCCTCCCAACCCTCCCAATGCCCATGAGGCAGATGAATTCTAGTTAACACTTTATCTGCTTTGATTACATTTATTGTTTCGACAAAAGATGCACCATGATTATTTAGAGTTTACACCCCAAAATCAGATCTGCTGAAAAGGTATTGTGAAATAATTTGTTTTCTACAGCTGGTTACAAGAATCAAATGATGTTGCACGGCCGCATAGCGGCCTTGCGATTTTGGATTTCTGATATTTTACTTATTAAGCCTGGAGGTATTTCTGCCGAGAGTCAGATAATTATGAGATTGGTTTCTGTGGCTCTGGAGCCATGGACATGCCGGAGAACCGCTTGTGGGGGGCAACTCATGACCTTGGTAGGGCGGGAAGGACGAGCCGGGAATGCCCCCCTTCCCATGTGGTTTCAGTCGCCCCGTTACGGCCGGCTTATACCTGGCTTTCCAAAAAGCTCCGAGGTGGCCGCCATCTTGCTGTCCAGAGGGAAAAAGGCAGAAGGGAGCAACGCCCTTTCCCTTCCAGGTAGGCATGGTGGTGTGGATTAATGCATAGTCCATTCACTTTTCTGCCACAAGCTGCCAGGCTCTGCATTAAGTCCTTGTGCTTCTGGAGCCGCTCGTGGGGGGCAACTCGTAACCTCAGTAGGGCATGAAGCTCAGGAATTATTCTTCGCAGTGCTCGGGGGACCGTATGGGATGCTGAGAATCGAACCTGGGTTGGCTGAGTGCAAGGCAAACGCCCTACCTGCTATGCTATCTCTCCAGCCCCTACCACAGACATTTTAAATGAAAGACACAAGCTGTAAGACACATTGGTCAAGTTATGTTGTCAATGGTAGTCTTACTGTGAATAGCTAGAGTTAGTATGTTAATATATCCTTTGGGGAATTAGTGTGTATACCAAACTGTTACCAGTAGACATAGTGTTTGGGTAGGTGGGTAAAATTATGGGGCAGATTTTAGTATTTTCTTCTGTATATTTCTGTAGAATTTTAATTTGGTGATGGTGGTGGGGTGGGGGGTGTGATGATGCTTCTAGTGGTTCTGGGACCCATGAGCTCTATTCCCTGTGTACTCAGGATGCTATCTGCTGCTAGGGAACAAACCAAGGGCTTTGTGATCTAGGTTCATGGTGTTACATATTGGGCTATCTCTATGTAGAATTTATTTGGGGATTTTTAGTAGCTTTTTCATTATCTTTGGAGTCCGTCTAAATGTTTCTAAACGTAAGAAGGTGCTGCTTTTAAATTTTTTTTTAATTTTTAAGTTAATTTTTTTTTTAATTGACTCACCCTGAGTTACCCAGTTACAAAGCTGTTCGTGGTTGGGTTTCAGTCATACAATGTACCAATACCCATCCTTCCAACAGAGCACATTTCCCACTATCTGTGTCCCCAGTTTCCCACATCCTCCCCACACCCTCCCCATACTGTCCTCTATGGCAGGTACTTTCCATCACTCTCTCTCTCTCTCTCTCTCTCTCTCTCTTTGTTCCCTCTCCCCCCAATCCTCTTTTTCTCAATCCTCTCTTTCTCTTTCCCTGTCTCCCCTCTTTCCCTCTCCCTCCCTCCTGTTTGAATAAATATGTAAACCAGATGGTCAGACCATCTGTCTTGTATTTCATTTGAGCTGCTGTTGTGTTCTGAAAAATTGCAATCTAGTCTACTTAGTGGGCTGGAGCGATAGCACAGCGGGTAGTGCGTTTGCCTTACATGTGGCCGACCCGGGTTTGATTCCTTCTTCCTTCTCAGAGAGCCTGGCAAGCTACTGAGAGTATCCCGCCCTCACGGCAGAGCCTGGCAAGCTCCCCATGGCATATTTGATATGCCAAAAACAGTAACAACAAGTCTCATAATGGAGACGTTACTGGTGCCTGCTCGAGCAAATCGATGAACAACAGGAGGACAGTGCTACAGTGCTACAGTCTACTTAGTACTTCATAATTCTGCAAGAAATATCAGCACCTTTTCTGTTCCTTTGGGTCAGGGGAGGCACACTCAGCAGTGCTTAGGTCATATTCTTGGCTCTGTGCTCAGAATCGCTCTTGGCAGGGATCAGGAGACCGTATGCAATGTTGGCAGTCAAACTAGAGTTGACTGTGTGCAGGACAAAGTTCCTTGACCCTGTACTATCTCTCCAGTTCCCGGGGAAGGTCTTTTAATATCTACTTTTCGTGCTTGTATTTTTGACCTTCGTGTAATTTTGTGCTGTGATATCTTTCTAAAGACAAAGTCAAATCCTCTGCCAACATCTTTGATGATGAAGAAAGTGATCTATTCAGTGAAAAAGAACCAGAACCTACTGTGAATCAGATGGGTGAAAGTATAGCAAGCACAGAGAAAAAGGTGAGCAGGGGAAAAGCTGAAACAGAGGAGGAGTGTGTTGATTTTGGGTATCAGTGGTTGTTACTTGTTGCACCCGGAGGGAAGTATTCTTTCTTTTCCATTGTATAAGTGAAGCATGTATAACTGAAACCCAAGCACAAAAATTTGTAAGTCTACAACTGTACCTCATGGTGTTTCACTAATAAAAATTGAAAAAATAAAAAGAATACAATAAATATTCAAGTAAATAACACTTAGATTCAGAAATGGTTAAATTTGCCTTACTCGGTAGTGTAAGTATCCATCGATGATCTGCTGATCTAGTAGTGGAGTGCAAAAGAATGTTTTCTTAATGTTTTCATTTCTTCTACTTTGTTGACATCCTCCTAAACAAGTTTTTTTCCTATTTTCTACAGGGAACATGGGTTCTCTGTTCTGTGTGGGCATTTTTTTTTTTTTTTTTGTGTGTGTGTGTGTGTGTGTGTGTGTGTGTAAAACCATTCAGAGAAGGTGCTTATGGTACCAAACATAATCAAAGTTCATGTACTCAAAAAGATTGTTTTCTTTTTTTTATACTCAAATTGATCTCTGTTTGACAAGTAGGGTGTATCCCCATCATTCTTCGGCTTTTTGTTGGTTGCTGTTATGCCTTTACAGGCGATGTTGCACATTTTGATCAGTCCTCCTTGTGAAATGTATACCATACATGCCATAAACTCCTGCTGCTGGCCATGTTGGTCACAGCGCTCAGAATAAGCCATGCTCCTGTGCTGGCTCCAGCAGTGTACATCTTATTCGGGCACTTGTGAGGTAGGCAGGCAGTCCCATCTATACACCAAACGTGCCTTTTGCTATGTAAGTACCACACCCTAGCTGATTGCGTCACTGGAGCTCCTATACCCTCTGCTTTATCTGGCTTTTCTCTTCTCATAGGGCCCCTCTGGCTGAAATGCCCTTGCTGCACTGTCTCCCACGTTCAGACTTTGTCCTGAGAAACTTACTTTATCAAGGATCTGTTTCTTCTCTCATTCCTTATGCCAGTTTGGAAATTCTTCCTCATGATACCTCTTTAGCTTTAATTCTTTGTGCAAACTTGGTACTTGATCCAGGTTCACAGTGTCCTTATTTCCCAGGCATTTGGAACCCTATCCTTGCTGACAATACATTTTCAGAATATGAGTGACTGGGTGGGGAAAAAAGAGGAAACCATTTCTAGATACCTTGTTTATTAACTCTCAACTTTTTTTTTTTTTTTGGCCTCCAACAAAGGTTGCCCTTCCTTCCAGCAAAATTGTCAAACCCCCATCAGAAACAAAGACTCAAAAAGGTTTGTTTTCAGATGAGGAGGATTCTGAGGTAAGGATTTTTTTTTTTAATTTTTAAATTGTTTTTCTTAAATTTGTCTGTGGATATGACAGTAGAAACTGTTTTTGAGCTGGGGCTTTAAAGTACCTTAAGTGTTTCTTTGCAAATGATAATTTTGTGTTTTTAGAGAACAGTATATGTTGTATTTTCTCTGTTGGGTTTGAACCTGATGCATTTTCTGGAAGAAATATGCTTTCTTTGGGCTGTTGATCCATAGTGTGGTAAGGTATTGTACTACTATGGAAATTGCTACACTGCTTTCTTTTTAGTAGATTCAACTCTTCAGTGAAGTGTTGCCAATATTTAAAATATGGCTAGGGCACAATTCAATCAGTCTAATCAGTGACTGAATAAATAACAGTACTCCTACATAAAAAATATAGTAATAAAATAAAATATGGCAAGGGCATGGAAGACCTTGGATGCCCTGTCTGGTACCTTCTATTTAAATCATTCTGTGGGACTCATGCAAAGCTGCTGTGCTAGAAACAGCACTTCTCAGTTAAGAAACTCATTAGGTCTATAATTTGAGCAGTCCACACTGATTCCATAAAAGAAGAAAAAATTAGTCCTATAGGACCTTAGAAACTATGCGCATATCCTATTTAATTGGCTCTTGTGTATGGAGGTTTCTTCCCAAGTGAATAATTGTTCTACTTTATGTTTCTGATTCAGGTGGCTTAGTTTTTAGGTCTTTTCTTTCTGTAGTGTACAACATCGCCTAACATAGTTCAAGTAGAGTATTAAACAAATATTGCACTAGTCTTTGTGGCCAGGAGCTAGGGCTGCAGTTAGGATGCATCCTGATCTGGCATTGACCCGTGTCACTGTATGGTTCCCCAAGCATCACTGGGTATAGCCCTGGAAGCCACCAAGCAATGCCAGGGTGGCCAGGAAATTCCCAACACTGCAGGGCTCAGACAGCATGTTATCCTCAGGCCTTGCCATTGAACCACTGACCAGTTGGCTGAAAATTGCCAGTGGGAACCCCAGACCTCCCAAGCACCACTTGGGAGCCCCCAACCAACATATACACAATGTACATGTATATCAATTGCAGCTGAATTTTTTAATTATAAAATTAAAAAATATATATAGGGGCCAGAGATACTGTATTGTGGATAGGGCACTTGCTGTTCAGGAGGCCATCCTACGTTTGATTCCTGGCACCCTATATTGGTACCCTGAACACTGCCATAACTGATCCCTAAGTGCGAAGCAAGGAGTAAGCCCTAAGCACTGCAGGTATAGGCCCAATTCAAAAATAACAAAAATTCACATATATAAAACTATAAATTATATTATTTTTATAACTTTAAAATACATTATTATAAATTTTATAATAAAATTATATTTGTGTTTGTATAAAAATATTATGTTTTAAGGGAAGAAAGGAATTGTACTAAAATAGACTCATAATTTGGGAATCTGGTATCTATTTCCATATCTGTCGCTGTCACTGTCCTCCCGTTGTTCATCGATTTACTTGAGCGGGCCCAGTAACATCACCATTTTGAGACTTGTTGTTACTGTGTTTGGCCTATAGAATACGTCATGGGTAGCTTGCCAGGCTTTGCCATTCAGACGAGATACTCTCAGTAGCTTGCTGGGCCCTCCAAGAGTGGCGGAGGAATGGAACCCAGCTCGGCCAGGCTGGCTGCACGCAAGGCAAACACCCTACTGCTGTGCTATCTTCCCAGCCATATCAATTCATTTAATCTATGATTATTAAACAGAATATCACTGGAGCGATAGCACAGCGGGTAGGGCGTTTGCCTTACAAGCGGCCAACATGACCGACCCGAGTTCAATTCCTCCACCCCTCTCGGAGAGCCCAGCAAGCTACCGAGAGTATTCGATATGCCAGACACAGTAACAACAAAGTTTCCAATGGAGACGTTACTGGGCCCGCTCGAGCAAATCGACGATCAATGGGAGGGCCTTTACCTTTACCTTTATCTTTATTGAACAGAAAATAGAAATTAATTTTTTAATATGTTAGAGTCAGTCAAGTGGAGTATAAAAACCTCTGGGTTGCTGTGAGACCTCTTATTGCTACATATTGGTCTTTTCCTTTTCATTCAATAAATGTTTGTCACACAACTAGGACAGATTCCATTGTGATTCCTCAAGTTTGGCCCAGCTTTCTTCTCTATTAAATGTGCATGACAACCATCATGCCATAGTTACAAGTGTTCTAGATGGAACTGATACTTTAGAAACCAATATAGTATGTTAACCAGGATCTCTGATCTCAATCCAACAGGATTTGTTTTCCTCTCAAAATGTGAGTAAGCCAAAAGATGCTCCTGTATTGCCCAGCAAGCTTCCCACATCCGTTTCGCTTTTTGATGATGAAGATGAAGAGGTAAGCATTGTCACGAGACTCATCTCTATGATTAGTAGAGAATTCTTGCTGATGTATTTTATAGTCAGAGGTTCTCTCTCTCTCTCTCTTTCTCTCTATTTTTTTTTTGTTTTGGGGGTCACACTTTGCAGTGCTCAGTACTTCTAGCACTGCACTCCGGGATCACTCCTGGTGGACTTGGGGGAACCATATAGGATGCCAAGAATTGAACCTGGGTCAGCCACGTGTAAGGCAAGTCCTTTACCTGCTGTTCTATCTGAGAGCCAGCACCAGCGGCTCCTGTAAAATAGGACAGGGAAATTGGGCAGGGGTAAAACTGTCTCAACGTGGCATAGATATTTCACTCTTCCTTTCAGTGTACTTTTTTTTTTTGTTTTGTATTCTTGGCTTTAGCTTTACATTTAGGCAGGGGCTGGAGCAATAGCACAGTGGGACCACACCTTTGCCTTGCATGTGGCCGACCTGGGTTCGATTCCTCTGTCCCTCTCAAAGAGCCCAGCAAGCTACTGAGAGTATCCCACCCGGATGGCAGAGCCTGGCAAGCTACCCGTGGTGTATTCAGTATGCCAAAAATAGTAACAACAAGTCTCACAATGGAGACGTTACTGGTGTCTGCTCGAGAAAATCGATGAGCAATGGGAGGAGAGTGCTACATTAGGCAAGGCATGGAATTATTGTCCTAGCTCTTTGGGTGAGTTATATACTGAAAGGCTTCCTTCTGCTGTTGATGGTTTTTGTTTTGTTTTTTCACTGAGTTACTGTGATATAGACCGTTACAAAGCTATTCATGATTGGGTTTCATTCATACAATGCTCCAAAACCCATCTCTTCACAAGTGTATATTTTCTATCACCAGTGTCACCGGTTTCCTCCCACCACCCACTATGCCCCGCCACCAGCCTCTATGGTAGACACCTTTATTCCTTCTCACTCACTCTCTCTCCTTTTGTGCATTATGCTGTGTAATACCGGTAGTAAGAGGTCATTGTGTTTGTTCAGGGCATTAAGTATTTTTATTGGGAAGGTACAGCTCGAGTAACTATTTTCTTAACTGGGTTTCAGCTTTGGAGTGTGGATTTGACTGCCAGGACTTCTGGAAGTACAGGGAGGTGGGGGAGGTAACCCATCCCAACCCTGAGAAAACCTAGAAATGTGCCCAAAGTTGTTCAGTCTTGCACGGGTCTGAGATTAACTGTGGCTTTTGATCTCTTTTGAGATTTATTAATAGATTTCTGAAGCAAGACTGGTAGAAGAAGTTACATGATAGTGCTGGAGTTGGTTCATGTGGGGGTGACTGCCGAGGCTTCCAGGAGTATAGGGAATATAGGGAAGTGGGGGAAGGTAGCCCATCCTGACTCCAAGGAATCCTGGAGATATCAGTTACAAAACCTGCATACCTAAATTTTCAGCAGGTTAATATCTTCATAAGGTCCATCCTGAGATGGGGGGCATGGTGGTGACTTTGTATTGTAGAAGCAAGTGACTGTCAGGGGCTCTGTTTGGGTGGACCGTGGACTAACCTGCCCTGACTCCATTGTGGCCTGGGTTGTTCAGCCTTCCACAGGATAAACTGCGGCTTTTATCTGTTATAAGTTTTATTTATGGGTCTCTGGAGCAAGGCTGCTGGTAGAAGAGCTTACATGGTACTGGAGTTGGTTCATAGGGGTGACTGCGTCAATGGTTTCTTGGTGGAAGATTTTGTAGAGTTTATAGATCTGTGTTATATCCAGTGGTCTACAAGAACTTTTTCCAGGAAATAAGAATGATGAGGAAAAATACAAATGCACAAGTTTTTCTTGCTTTCCACTGTGGGTAGAGAGAGCAAAATGAGAGAGAGCAGTAAGAGGGAAGACCAACTAAGCCTTAAACTTAAGCAGTAATGTGAATTAGCATTTGCATGAGATCCTTGTGTTCATATTCCTGCTCCACTGCTTGCAAACCATGCTCTGGGGCAAATATCTTAACCTTCGTAAATCTCATGTGGAGTAATAGTTTTATAGGCTTGTTGTGACAGCTAAAAGAGCCATTATGTAGACCTTTGCCCTTTGCACAGTGCATGGCAAATAGTGCATCATGAATGTTAGCTCTTGTTACCAGTATTTCTACTGACACCTATTTGTTGTTCTTATGACCTTTTCTACCTTCCCACATTTTCCTTAAAGTCTCTCTTTAATCAAATTTTTACCTTTCAGGGCTGTTACCTGCTGTAGTGTATCATTAAGAGTGTTCTTTTTGGGGTGAACTTTGCACTCCAGGTATCTGATGTTTACTCCTATTTGTAAAAATATATTAGTAGACACTTTTATAGGGTAGCCAGAAATTTATAAATGCATTGAACCTATAAAAATCCATTCTTAATGGGCTATTAGCAGTAGTTAATTTCCTCAATTTGTATTGCTCTTTAAAGGGAACTGGAAATACAGTGGCTCCTGCCTCTGTCACACGTGTGTCTCTCAGGTTGTAAGTGAGTGAGGAGAACTTGTTTCCTTTTATCCACTGCTCTTATATCTAATTCACAGGGAGTGGGTGCAAGTTACTGGTGCAGCAGGTTGCTGTATTACTTCTGTAGCAGTTGCAGGCTCTAGGCCCTCCCTGATGAGCATAGCATTCCTACCCATCACATCTGTATTTAATAGGCACACTGGCAGGGGCCACATCTTGCACTGCTTCTGCACCTTGTAGTCACATTACTGCCTTCCCTAGTTTCCGGTATGTGGATGAAAAATACAGTTAGAAATTCTGGACTGTTGTTGTGGGTTATGCATAAGAAGGAAGTGGAATTTTCTAGCTTTTTGTGTTTTTCTTTTTTCTTTCCCCACAGACAGTAAACATAGTCTGTACTTTATTAAAGACTAACTCTGTTAACAGTTTGACTTGGGAGAATGTCTTGCAAGTTTTGTTTCATATGTGCAAAATATCATGCTTTTCTGTTATTTTTTTTAGGATAATCTCTTTAGTGCAACAGCTGCTAAGAAGTCCACATCATCTCTCCCTGCTCAGAGCAAAGAGAAAGCAAAACCCTCCGAAGTCCTCCAAAAGAAAACATCTGCCTTACTGTTCAGTAGTGACGAGGAGGTGGGTAGAAAATTCTTCTAGACAAGAGTAAAAGATTGTCTAATGGGTTTTAAGAGTCATGGATATCCTAAATATTTTCTTTCTGTCTACTTCGTATCTGTTAAAGTTTAGTCACTAAGGACAGTAGTGACTTCCTTGAACAAAGATATATAACATAGTATATGCTGTATACTACATTGCATTTGCCACACACTATATAACATTTGAAAGCATTTTAAAATTTGTAACATCTCTTTAAGTGATTGTTCTTCCTGTAGTAATTCAACCATTAGCAGACTTTTTCCTGCCATAATATTATGGAAAATAAAAATAAAGGTGGGGTAACAATACACAAAGCATAAAGTTAAATCCAAGGTTTTAGAGTCATAGTTCTCTATCTTGGTTATTTATTGACTCACTTGGGAAATTTTAAAGAATACTGCTGGTAATTCTGAATTAATCAGTTTCAGATATGTCTTACTCCTGTAATTTTCTATAACTTTTTTTCCCCCTGGGATTCCGGTCTGTCATCATTGTGGAGTGCTGTTTTCCTGGAGAAACTTTCCTAGAGTAATGTGTGAGGTAGTCATGAGGGTGCCCTGTCAGCAAGTATAGACTCTGATTCAGGAAGTCTTGAGGGGGACTTACATAACAAGCCATTCGCTTGTGGATCCCACTTTGCTATAAAGGGCTCTGAATATTAGAGACCAGCGGATCACACATAAGCAAATAAGCAAGAACTCCTTGATGTGAAAAGGTGAGCAAACCCAGATGGAGTTCTCTTCAATGTGTTTTAAAGAAGGGTAGATTCATACTTGAATCTTACTTATATGCACAGTGCATGAGCTTTATATACTTTTTATCAAAGCATATTTTGAGATTTTAAAACTATAGAATACTATTTTTCTTCCGTATTGGGAGTTCTTAAAGTTTTATATTAATTTATTTAAAATTTTTTTGGTATGTGGTTCTAGGGAAGGCAGGCACTCTACCACTATGCCACACTCCCTGTACTAGAAGCTTTAAGTTTTATTCAAAAAATTTAAAATTACTTGGTTTTTTATTTGGGGAGTGGGGGTTGATCTCCATACCCAGCAGTACTCATGGCCTACTCCTGGCATTGCTGGGGGAATTATGCAGTGCTGAACCTGGGCCTCTTGCGTGCAAAGCTTGACCTCCAACCCATTGGTATTTTAATAATAATTTTTTAACAACACTCTCATCCCCCAGTCATTATTTCTAAACATCAAAAGAAGACAAGTTTCCTTGTTCTAACATATATTGAATCTCAGAGAGGAGAAGCATTGCCAGACCAGACAGTGTGGGGTATGAAGCATGAAAAGTTCTATCAGTTCAAAGAACCTGGACGTCTAGATTCTAGTTCTAAGCAAAGCCTTTGGGTAGAAACTTAATTCAGGAATGAGCCATGTAGTTTAATATAATAAATGTAAATACGACTTGTCTAGCAAACATAAGTTTTATTTTAGTCTCCGATTTCTTCTTAATTGCCATTGGATTTTAATTTGCATATTCTATTTTTAGGACCAATGGAGTATTACTGATTCACAGACCAAGTCAGCACCCGACAATAGATCAAAAGGAGAACTTAGAGACCCTGGGGTCACCAAGGTCCAGGAAGCAAAAACAGTGAAAAAAATCAGCCTCTTTGATGATAATGATGAAGATGATCTGTTTGCTATTGCTAAGGACAGGTGAGACAGTCCTTGTAAAAAAAATAACTTTTTCTTAAATTAAAGAAAATTAAAAAATAATGTTCAGTGTTTTTGGTAACAAAGTAAGGTGTTTGATGTTAAACTGTCAGTTCTTGGAGGTGGCTTGCTTTCTGTTTGTTGCCTAGTAATAATTCAGAAGATAAGACTGTTAGAGGCTAGAACTCTGCAGAGTTGTTCTTTATCATACCAGTTGCTGGTGACCCTCAGCTGTTCTGGATGATTCTGAACATTAATACTTGGATAAAAGCCAGCCAGATATGTGAAGGGAGCATGGTATAGCATGTTGCCAAATTAACCGAATTTAGAATAATTTCCCTGTTAGTATATATTTTTTTCTCTTGAGAGTCTTAGAAATTCATCTGAATGGTGGTATCATAAAGACACAATTGAATGACTATAAGTTCTATACATTGATGTGATGCTCAGGGATTACTCCTGGCTCTGTACTCAGGAATTACTCCTGGTGGTGGTCAGGGGACCATATGGGGTGCCAGGGATTGAACCCCGGTGGTCTGCTTGCGAGACAAGTGCCTTACCCACTGTACTATCATTCTGTTCCCCAAAATTTCTATTTCTGAGTATAGTCATCACATCAAATGTTGCCTTTTCTACCTTTAGCCCCTGTTATTTTACTTGTGACTCTATCTTTGGCTTCTGGTTAAGAAAATGGGTGCTAGATGTATCTGCCTCCGGCACCTGATACTGGGTTTGTAACCTTGCCTGTTTGTTTTTGAATAACCTTGTGCAAATTACCTAATCTGTGTGTCTAGGTTTCTTCACCTGTTTAATAAAAAATCATATGATACTTATCTTATAGGATTGTTGATAGAATTAAATAAAATCCAAATGTGAAATGTGTACCAAAAAATAAGAAAAGGGCCAGAGCGATAGTACAGCACATAGGGCATTTGCCTTGTATACACCTGACTTGGGTTCAATTCCCAGCACCCCATATTGTCCCTCCCCTCTCCCTCCTACCCCTTCCCCAGAGTGATCCCCGTACACAGAGCCAGGAGTAAGCCCAACATCCTATCTATTTTTGACTCCCTGTTTCCAGTGCTACACTGGGCTGGGTTTCTGCACTTGCACATTTCTATTCCATGAAAGGGTCTGACTGGTGTTTGCTCTGGCAGATTTTTATTGACCAACAGTAGTAGATGGGGAAGCTGGTGGAATGTAGTGAGGAGAGTTACGTTTAGTGAGATTTTGACTGTGCTTCCCCACCAACAGGGTGAGTACCAAGAGTGAGCAATGACAAGGAGCTCGACTTTCTGCCGCTTCTGAGAGACTATATGTGTAGGGGATAGAATCGGATAGTTTTAGGGTCTGAAAATAAGAACAGAAGATCAAAGAGGCCCATAAAAAGGTGGAGTTAAGTGTTGAAGGAGGTGCCACAGTAGATTCTGGCCCTGTGATTGCCTGAAAGCAACCTCCAGAAAAAGCACCCTTGCTTCCTGGTTCTTCCTTTGCCACAGAAAGTGGTGACAGGGAATACTGCCTTTGAGAGTGCTCAAGTGTTATGCTCCTTGGTCAAGGTCACAGTGGAGACACCTCCACAAAGTCAAAGGTATTTAGAAGGGACAAGATGAGGAGGGCTCTGGATTCTTCTGCATAAGCTGAGGCTCAGAGACTCATGAGTGGCTAAATAGAAATTGTGTCCACTTCAGAGCTTTTTCTTGTGTGCTTTCAGCTGTGTAAGGTTCATAGATTTGGCGTTTTGGTGTTAGGTGTGACCTAGAAAGAATCTCATATTTTTAAAAATCCCTTTTGCCTTTTCTTGTTTATTTGTGTAGCCAAAAGAAGTCCCAGAGAGCATCTCTCCTCTTTGAAGATGACGCTGACAGTGGAAGCTCTCTGTTTGGCTCTCCTCCCGCACCAGTTCCTCCTGCAGCAATGGTACTTAAAAAAATTAATTTGGTTTGGGGGCTACACCCAGCAGTGCTTAGGACATGTTCCTGGCTCTGCACTCTGGGATCACTCCTAGCAGTGCTTGGCGGACCATATGAAGTGGTGGGGATGGAACCAGGGTCGGGCAGGTCAGACAGTGCAAATGAACTGACCACTGCATTCTCTCTTCGGTTCCACTTGCATCTCTTTGAAGAACGTCTTCATTATTAAAAGAGTTGGGTAAAGTTAAGTTGTGATTTTTGTTTGTTTGGGGGCCATATCTGGCAGTGTTCAGGGCTTATTCCAGGCTGAATGCTCATGGATCACTCCTTGCGTGACCATATGGTGTGCCGAGGATTAGACTTGAACTTGGGTCAGTTGCATCCAAGGCAAGGCAAGTGCCCTACTTGTTGAACTGCTGCTCCAGCCAAGGTTTTTTGTGTATTTTTTTTTTTTTTAGGTATAAATAGAAACTTCAACTTTAGAGTAATATACCATAATCCAATGAATTTTGAAGGTTTAGGGAATTGAAGAATTCTTTCCATCTATAGTTATTATGATAGTTAGGTAAAACAAGGGCCACATTCGTGGCCACGCAACATCTTATTATGACATCTTATTATTTCATTCCTACTTTGGACAAACTGGCAGGTTACTGAATATAGCCTGCCCACACAGCAGAGTCTGGCAAACTCCCTGTGGCGTACCCAATATGCCAAATACCAATAACAATGATGGGTCTCATTCTCCTAAAGAGCCTTGAATATAATCTCAGGGCTAGGATGAAGGAGACGTTACTGGGGCCTGCTCGAGGCAATCAACGATTAACAGGATGATTGGTGATTTGTGATTTGTGATTGTTAGGTAAAACAAGGGCCAAAAGATAGGTAATCTAACATTGCTGAACAACCCTCACAGTTGAATTCTACAGTTGTGAAAGATAATTGCTGCTAGACAACAGTACGAGTATTTTTTGTGTAGAGAACCCACACCCATTTTTCAAAAATTTATATTTTAATGAATCACTATGAGATATAATTAAAAACCTCTCGTGATTGGGTTTTAGTCATACAATGTTCCAACACCCATCTCTTCACCAGTGTACATTTCCCACCACTAATACCAGTATTCCCTGAATCCCTCCTGCCACCCCCTCCTTCTTTGCTTAGCCTACCTGTATGACAGGCACTCTTCTCCTCCTTCTCCTCCTCCCCCCCCCGTCCCACCCATGCTCCCTCCCCCCCCCCGCCCCTTTCAGCACACATCTCCCATTCAGAGCAATTCTTTGTGACTATCATTGTCATAATGGTCCCTACTCTATCCCAACTGCCCTCTCCCCCAACCCTTGAGACAGGCTTCCAATCATCGACCAATCGTCCTGGTCCTTGTTTCTACTGTCCTTGGATGTTAGCCTAGACCATTTTTTAAAATTTTCTTTTTCGACCCATACCATACCTGGCCGTGTTTGGGGGCTCCTCCCAGCTTGATACTTGGGAGGTTATTGAGCCCCAGACTTCTAGCCCTTTACACTATTGCCACCCACCCCACCCACTCAACCTTCTTGCATTTTAAAGTAAAATATTGTAACCTGTCAAGAATTTAATTTCATTGTGAAAATTGCTTATCTTTAAGAAGTTTTAAAATCACTAGTTTCAGTGACTTTTTCTAGGTTAAAGGAGAAGATGGTATATGTTATATGAAGGGAGAATTTGGTGCATTATTAGTTCATGCATTCTATACCCTGATGAACTTGAATTTGAAATTATAGGCAGTTTTCAGTGAATTCAGCACATTCCATATTTTTTTTTTATTTGAATCCTTTCAGTTTTGCCTTCTTTTGAAACAGTGCATATAAGCACCATCACTAGCTGTGGAAATTATGTGATCTTTTCAAGTTGACAGCTGTATGATGGATTTTAGTGTATAGCTGAAAGAAATAAAGGAAGTACTGGATAGAGATAGAAGTTAGATTCATATCAGTGAAGCAATTTATTAAAGAGAGCAGAAATACACACAATATCTCTATATAGATACATCTATCTATCTGTGTGTGTATATATATATATATATATATATGCCAGGATGGAGGATGGTTTGGGCCACACTCTGTTGTTCTCAGGACCTACCTGGCTCTCAGTGATCACTTCTGGTAGAGCTCAGGGCATTATATGAGGTACTAGGAATTGAACCCAGGTTGACCACATGCAAGGCAAGCGCTCTAGCCACTGTACTATCACTCCAGCCCCAAGAACAAATATATCTTTATTCGTAACTACTAACTAAGCCTGGCTTGAAAATAAGGATTTGCTTTTATATAGACAGGAGTAGGATGTGGAAGTATGAAAGCTTGCACTAAGTTTAAGGAATAGTGAGGGGCCAAGCAATAATATGGCTGATAGGGTATTTACCTTACACACAGCCAACCCAGGTTCAACCCTGATATTCCATTTGGTTCCCCAAGCCCCACCGGGAGTGATTCTTTGGGCACCCCCAATTGCCCCTTCAGGTGGGCCCTAGTATATGGATCAAGGGTTACAATGAGGCAGCAGTTGATGGCCGCAGTCAGCATTTTCTTAATACAGACTGTAGGTTTGGGGTAGGAGATGATGTGATGTGGGTGTCATATTTTAGCCACACACATGGGGTGATATTCTGTAACTGAACTCTTAAAAGGAGAGACACCAATGAGACACCAGTGTGGGTGGCAGAGGGAAGGATCACTCAAAGGCAGTGTCTGTGAAGTTAACAGACGCAAGGAAACATAGATGCTTAGAGACATAGTGGCCAAAACTCCAGTGCTAAGCTGGCAAGCCTGAGGAAGTCGCGGTCAGTGCTTTTTTTCTACTGATGCCACATCCTTAACCTGTGCTGCCACTCCCTAGAGGGGACTGTGGTTTTGACTTGTTCTGTGCATCATTCTATGTGTCGTGAGTCAGGCACACTTTTTGTTTTTATTTTAATTTGAGGATGTCATTCACTCTCATGGTAGAAAAAAGAGACTGTCCCCGAGGGACCGCCTTTGCTGTTCAGTGACGAAGAGGAGAAGGAGGCACTGGTGGGAGAGCAACCTGTGGCCAAGAAAGATACGAGTACTAAAGACTCACCAGAATTGGGGCAAACTCCTATGGCTGAAGAGTCAGACAAGGTGAGCTTTTTATCCTCTGTGTGCTTTTTGGGGTTTGTGCCACACCTAGGAGTGCTCAGGCCTTTCTTCTGGTTCTGTGCTCAAGGATCACTCCTGCCATGGCTCTGGGGACCATATGTGGTGCCAGGGATTGAACACGGGTCAGCCATGTGCAAGGCAAATGCCCTACATACTGTGTTATTGCTCCAGCTTTTTTGCGTTCTGCTGCTTTTTGTCTCTTGCATGTTCTTATGAAATACACACCTCCACAACATTCACATTTATCTGCCACCAACATCTGTGTTTTATTTTTTAATTTTTTTAAATGAACTTTTTTAAAAATTTTTTTTATTGGTGAATCACTGTGAGGTACAGTTACAGATTTTCAAATTTTTGTCGTTGTGTTTCAGTCATACAATGCTCGAGTACCCATCCCTCCACCAGTACCCATTGTCCACCACTGATGATCCCAGTATCCCTCCCACCCACACCACCCTGTTCCTCCCCTCCCCCCCCCCCCCACACCACCTCTGTGGCAGGGCATTCCCTTTTGTTCTCTCTCCTTTTGGGTGTTGTGGTTTGCAATGGAGGAATTGAGTGGCCATTGTGTTTGATTTATAGTCTACTTTTAGCACGTATCTTCCATCACAAGCGGGTCTTCCAGCCACATTTTACCTGGTATTCCCTTTTCTATCTGAGCTGCCTTTCCCCCCAGTATGTGAGGCCAGCTTCCAAGCTGTGGAGCAAACTTCCTGGTACTTACCTCTGTTATTATTGGCTGCTGGTCTCCCATTCTGTTACTTTATATTCCACAGATGAGTGCAATCTCTTTCTATGTCTGTCTCTTTTTGACTCATTTCACTTAGCATGGTACTTTTCATGTTGATCCACTTTGCAAAGATTATGACTTCATCTTTTCAACAGCTGCATAGTACTCCATTGTGTAGATGTACCAAAGTTTCTTTAACCAGTCATCTGTTCTTGGGCGGTTGGGTTTTTTCCAGATTCTGGATATTGTAAACAGTCCTGCTATGAACATACGTGTGCAGATCTCATTTCGACTATACTTTTTTTGCCTCTCCGGGATATATTATTTTTTTTTTTGAAAATTTGAACATTTACTGTAAAGGTTGAAGAAGAAAATCTCCAAATCCAGTGTCAGGGAAACCTTCCATGGGCTCTTGCTGAGGTTCTCTAGGCATGTGTGCACACACTGTGATGTGTGTTTGCTGTTGAACATTGTCGTTGTGTGTCCGCTTAGCCTTTTCTCTTTCTGATTTTGCCTTCTCTATTTGCCTTCCTTTCTCCAGTGTGTTTTTTCAAAGTTTGCTTCTTCATTTTTGTTTTCTTTCTGCATATCTGCTCTTTCAGAATTATCCTCCTTTCCATACTTTTCTGCTACCCTTAATTCCCTGCTAGTTCCTACCAGTTCTTGAATTAAGATGGCAATTTTTTTTTTTTTTTGCTTTTTGGGTCACACCTGCTGATGCACAGGGGTTACTCCTGGTTCTACAATCAGGAGTCACCCCTGGCGGTGCTCAGGGGATCATATGGGATGCTGGGAATCAAACCCGGGTCGGCCGCTTGCAAGGCAAACACCCTACCAGCTCTGCTATTGCTCTAGCCCCCAAATGGCAATTTTTTGAGATTTGTATTTTCTGTTTTACATTTACTTAGGGCTAGAGCGATAGCACAGCGGGTAGGGTGTTTGCCTTGCACGCGGCCGACGGGCCGACCCGGGCTCCATTCTTCCCCACCTCTCTGAGAGCCAGGAGAGATACTCTTGGCAAGCTACTGAGAGAATCTCGCCCGCACAGCAAAGCCTGGCAAGTTACCTGTGACGTATTCGATATATCAAACATAGCAACAAGCTGTCTCACAATGTTACTGGGCCCGCTCAAGCAAATCGATGAGCAACAGGAGGACAGTGGCAGTGACAGTGACATTTACTTAATGTTGGCTGTAAATTTGAGCTAAGTGAAATGTGTGTGCTAAAACCCCAGCTTCCTCTTAGGTGGTCTGTCATCTCCTGAAGGAAATCTGCTAACTTGCTACGGACTACTGAGTTGTGCTACTGACTGAATCGGGAGTCAAAGATTGCCTTCCACCTACAAATTAGTTCTTTCTTTTTAAGCTTTCTTATATTCTGTGCCTTAACTACTTAGATTAAAAACTCTTTTAGGACTTTTGTGACCCTACCACATGCACTTTTCTTATCGAGGCTCCTTGGATACCCGTGATACGGTGGTGCATTTCATTTGTACCAGAAATTGTGTGACGGTCTCTTATTTGCATTTTGGACCTTTTCTGTGTTCCTGTAGTTCTGTGGTTTCTAGTAACCCCAGTCATTGCTCATTCCACACTTGAATTCAAACTACTTCTTGTACTGCTGAGTATAAGCTGGTGCCGCTGAGCTTGCTTGAGTATGCGCTACTTGAAGATTGGGGCCAGGTTTGTTTTGCTCACTGCTGTCATAGTTGGCCTATTACTGGGCACAAGGCAGGCCTTTTAAAATTACAGTTGTCTTTGAAGTACCATGTATTTTCAGTTTAGCCACTTTGAAATCAGGATACATCTCAGAGTCAATGGCACGTTTAACGAGGAGCCAATTTTTCTTTCTTGCTAGCTCCTAACAGTAGTAGTGATTTTATGAAGGATGACTTCTGACTTGAAATATGGTGATGGCTGAATAAAAAAGTGTTCTACTTTAGAATCGCTTGAGAGATTATCCTAATTGGATGATTCAAAACATAAGCCTTCTGTAATTTGTTCTAATTTTTGTCAGTTGGAGTTTTTTTTGGGTATTTATATACTAAATATTAGGAAATAGAAGATCCACCACAGTAATTCTGACATGTGTGTCTTCTCTGTGACTTAGAATGTAGTTTAGAGTGAATATATAAAACATATCTTAGTAAGAAGGAGAAACCCATGACTTTAAACTGATTAGGAAAATTATCTTTGACTATGGATTATTTGTACAAGATACCATTTGGACATCTTTTAAAGAACTCACCTCAGGTTAGCGTAGACAGCTCAGTGGGGTGGTGTGCATGATTTGTATTTGGAAGACCCAGGTTCTAGGTCTGGTACCACATGGTTCTCCAGGCCCTGCAGGAATGACGCCTTAAAGGACATCACTGTGAGTAAACCTGGAGATTCATAAATTAAACTAGACAACAGAAAAATAATAGTCCTTTAAGAGATACTTTTAAAAGCTTTAGATCTTTATTCCTTGGAAGTAGAAGTGATTTATTAGCTGCCATGCCCTGAAATATGCAAATGTGAGCTTGGGAAGCCCTGTGATAAAATTTCTATTCCCATAAGTTTACTTTTTATATATTTTTCCTCATTTTCATTTTCAGGAAAGTCTTTTTAACATACCTACTCAGGAAGCAACCAAGCATTCTGATTTATTTTCATCGTCTCCTTTGGAAAAAGGAACCAAAACTAGAACCAAAACTGTTCTTAGTCTATTTGATGAGGAAGAAGATAAAACAGATGATCTAAATAGCATCCAACCTCTAAAGAAAGAAGCAGGAAAGGTGAGCAGAAAGAAATAAAGGTTCACGTCTTTAGAAGGGTCAAAGGATTTCATTTCATGGTCAGTTTTTGAGTTGCTAAAGAAATAAGGATTTTAAATAACAGCCGAGACTTGGTAAGGATATAGAGAAACTGGAACCTTCATTCATTTCTGTTGTGAATATAAAATACTGCAGCCACTTGGTAAAACAATTTGGTGTTTCTTCGGATCATTGTTATAGGTAGATACCACAGGACTTAGCAGTTTTACTTAGAGGTAAATCCAAGAGAAATGAAAACATGTTCACATGAAAACTTTAAAGTAATGTACCAACATTTTTCACTTATCCAAGAAAATGGAAACAGCTCAAATGTTAATTGATGAAAAGTAAATACAATGTGCATGTCCATATAATGGAATATTATAAGAAAAAGTGTTAGTAAGACAAGCTTTAACACAGTTTGAAAACTTGAACTGAGTGAACTTTGAAAACGTGCCTCAGTGAAAGAAACCAGTGACAGAAGTCAAAATATATAATTCCATGTATTTGAAATACCTTGAATAGAAAAATCCATGGATACATACATCCATAGAGAGTAGATCAGTATTTGTTTGTATCTGTGAGAGAATGCGGGACTAGATCGTAATGGGTAATGGGAGGAGACTGCTAATAGACTTTCTTTGTGGGGAATGAGAGTAATCTAAACCTAGATTGTCGGTGTGTTTGCCCAAATACGGATGTAATAAATGATGCATTTTGAGTAGTTGGGACTTATAAAATCTTAATAGAGATGTTAAGGAGAAAGTTTAGTTTGAGGCCAAAGATTGCCAGTGTTTTTTTGGTAAACCAAACTATGGGCATATTGATTTCTTTGTATTTATTTCATTGTCCATATTGATTTCTACAGAAAAGGAAGTTTCATGACTTTTTAGTAACATTATTAGTGCAACCACGTTTATGAGAGCTATACTCAGTAGATAGGAATAATTTGCTATCCGTTTCTTTCAGTCTTTTAGTGTAGTCAAGCTTCATGCTGTGTTGGTTTTGTAGTATGTTTTTCAGGATTATGAAAATTCTCCCTGTATTTGTGAAGTGTAACCATCTATTATTTAGTAATAATAATTACTTGTTCACTTTTAATGTGACATGCTTTGAAGTGGGTTTTAATCTGGGCTTTTGATAGTAGAAGAAATTGAGCTTGACATTTTTATGTTAATTAAATGACAAGTGTGAAGCTTTATAATCTCAAACCAAGTGATGCAAGTACTTTCAGATGTGGTATTTAATTCAAATTAGATGAAATTATTTGGAGTCTGAAAGTAACAGGGGTAGCAAGTCGATGGATGTCCTAGAAATTTAGCTGGCCTTCCCAGTGCCAGGTCTAAGGGTCCTAATAAGTTAGCAATACGTGCACGACAGCTTTAGGTAGTCCCTTAGGGTTAATTCTACTGTTTCTTCTTCCCTTTGTCAAGTAGATAGAACTTGTTTTATTTTATAACTTGATTTCCAGAATATTTCTCAGTACAGAACTGTTAGATTGTTTTGTATATGTTTTATGTAGCTGTAGGCATGTTCTCTCTCATTTTGGGTCAGTCAATACTATTCTGATGTGTGAAAGTGTCCTTCTCTTTCTGAGTGGCACTTAGACTGTGTCCAGCCTTGAGTCATTGTAAGCAGATGCTCCAGAGCATGTTGGTGTTTTCATCTTTGTAGCTGTAGTCTGATCTCTTTGAGATAAATCTGAGACGTCTAAGCACATACGGATTTCCCTTTTTTTCCCTCAGAGTCCTGATCCTGATACCCGCCCTAAGAGCACAGGTGTCTTTCAGGATGAAGAGTTGCTTTTTAGTCACAAGCTCCAGAAGGACAATGACCCAGATGTTGACCTTTTTGCCAGCACCAAGAAAACCAAGGTCAGTCCGAAATGATTCTCCAGTGGTGACTTTTATTATTGCATTAGATATTTTCTTAGCAGCTCATCTTACTCTGGAGATGTTTTTGATATTGACCTTGAGTGTTTTGTCTGTTGCAGTTGTTGGCGCCAAGTGTCGGGAGCCTGTTTGGGGATGATGACGATGATGATCTTTTCAGCTCTGCCAAGTCCCCGTCTTTGGTACCAGCCTTTTGTTCTCAAGTCTGGGGTGTGTGGCAAAATGTCTGGGAAAGAAAAATTAATGTTCAGAAATACCAGAGGTTCCCAAACTTATTTGGCTTGGTTCTCAAACTTACCTGCTTACCACCCTCTTTTCAAAAAAAAAAAAAAGAAAAGAAGAAACAACCAATAAAACCATGACCGGTTGCTCCCTTGGAAATTATCTTCCTTAAGTGAACAAATAGGAAGCACTCCCCAGTTGCTCCAGAGGCCTTTTTCTCGGTCCTGCAATATTGTTCCAGCACCTGCGTCCCCCTCTTCCTGGGGGCAGTATTGTCCACAGTGGAAAAACTGAATTATAAGATGATTATAAGAATCACATAGAGGACTGTGATTCTTATTAGTAAGTGAGCAGCTAATCGAACACTGTTGAGATTGTTGAGTTATTTCTATATTATGACCTCAATGTAAAAGCATCAACAAATACTGACTTTCTTACTTTATTATAAATTGTTTGCCTTTTAAAGCTATTTAAAGGGCAGAACATACAATGCAGTGAGTGATTAAATATTCTACTTTTCATTTACAAAACTTTAAATCTCAGTATTACCCTGTGTATATCACTTTTTCCTTCCTGCTCTAGTAGATTTTATTTGTACCATCTCATTATAAAATAAAAAATATGCAGTCTCTAGGAAGCTATTTCTGAAATGACACTTTAGATTTCATTTGATTCTTCTTTGAGAAATGACTTTTTAAGACTTAAAATCCAGGGGCTGAACAAGGGCTGGAGCAATAGTAGAGCATGTAACATTCCTGCATTGCATGCAGCTGACCTGGGTTCAATTCCCAGCATCCCATATAGTCCCTCAAGTACCACCAGGAATGCTTCCTTAGTGTTGAGTCAGGAGTGACCCCTTAGCATAACTGAGTATGACCCCAAAAGAAATCCAAAATGACTTGAAAGTCATATTTGTTTACTATTGTTCTTTAAGATACCAGAGAAGAAGAAGGTGGTGAAAAAAGATCACTCTGCTTCATCTTTAAAGAATCAGAAATATCCTGATGGCAAAGAAAAAAGCATGTGGAAACCGGAAACACCTCAGGTTAGAACTGATCTGTTTAAGGATTTTTTTTTTGTTTCAGTACAGATTAACTCCACCATTCAGATCCAAGGTTATTTTGGAGTTCTGTTAATTTGAGGAGCAAATAGTATCCACGAATCCAGAATCTTTGCTTTCTTTACTGAATTTTATTAAAGCCTTATATGTATATCTCTTCTCTCTGCACACCACTATAAATCTATTTTACTTTTTAACTGTTTCCAAATTTGATCCCAAGATAGAATTAAATATGTTAGGATGAAGAATTATTTTCCCTCTTGAACTCCATTTCTTCTTTTGGACTGCCTTGAAATAGTACAATGACATTAAAATTAAACGTGTAGGGGCTGGAGAGATAGCACAGTGTGACCCGGGTTCGATTCCCAGCATCCCATATGGTTCCCTGAGCACTGCCAGGAGTAACTCCTGAGTGCAGAGCCAGGAGTAACCCCTGTGCATCGCCAGGTACTTTACCCAAAAAGCAAAAAATAAATAAATAAATAAATTAAATGTGTGAATTTTGCACGATTACTTGATTCTCCTCTGTTAACTTTTCTGCAGTCACTCCATCTTCAGAGTCTTCTCTATGAAGCTCCTGAGAACACACCAGGGTTGGAGAGTGAGTCTGATTCTGGCTCATGATAGTCTCAGGGTATCTCACTGAGTGAGGCCCTCTTTATTCTCTGCTGTGAAGAACATACACTAGGCCTAGTATGTCTCAGTGACTCATCCCAGGGATCAGTTTCTTTCACCACAGCCACTCAGCTTTAGGTGAATTCCTATATGGTCCATAATATTTGCTGTAGGTGAGCAGCCTGGTAATACTGCAAACTGCTCAGGTTTTGGTGCTGTGATACACTATGACTTCTAAGAATCTTATTCATGTTGTGTTTCCTTTTATTCCATGGATGTAGTCTGACAGCCTTTCCACTTGTATTACAGTTAAGGGGGCATATGTGGTATATTATCAAGGAAATGTTTCGAGGGCCCAGGAGAGATTTGAATGCCTTTTGCCATTACAGAATTTGAGAACGTGACAACTTTACTCCACCACGGTTTTGTTTATAGGTATAAGTTATAATCCAAAAGATACTTTTCTTTCTATTTCTCTAGTGGAGTTTTAACTGAATGTAATTTCACACAGGACTCACCAGATCCTGCTCCATTTAAAACCAGAGAGCCATCCTCCCGGATCTGGAAAATACAAGTAATTATTATACCTCTGGAATCTTCATAGTCTGCCTTGTGGCATCTATAAACTTTTTTGGAGTTGTACTTGTCAGCTTCTGCCAGGCATTTTCTCATTTCTTCCCCATCCTCTGATTGTTGCTTCTTGTATGCGGTGCCTAACATCTGTTCTGGGAGCCCAGTGGTGGAAATTCTCTGTTTTTAATTCTAAGCTGAGTTTGGGAGAATTCCCTGCATTTCTCTTTCACTTCTCATGCATTGCATATACTGAATTGCTTGTGTGTTATGGTAATAACGATAGGCTGTAGAGTTCGAGAAAACATAGGGGGTAAGTTTGATCTTTCTTCTTTAGGCAAATTTAGCAATTAACCCGGCAGCCTTGCTGCCTGCTGCAGCTCCCCCCCAGATGCCTGGAGTGAAGCCTGTTTTGCCGGAACTGGGTTTTCCTTCGCCTGAACCTGGGAAGATTCACAGTCTGGAAAGTGTGCCCACTGTTCCTGAGAGTGGGGAGGTCGGCGTGAGTTTTGATCTTCCTGCTCAGGCAGATACCTTGCACAGTGCAAACAAGGTAATGAAACCATCTTTGCTTGCTGGATTACTGTTTCAACCAGAGCACTGTGTGTGTGTTTATTCCTAGTGCATCGATTACTCACAGTAGATTGACCCCCAAATCCCCATTTGAAGGAAGTACCTCATCCTTCTTCAGTTTCCCTGTCCCCGTTCTGCTTCCTTGACTCTTTGCCCTTTTCCCCATTGTCTGCATTTGTTTCTTTCACTTCTACTCCTTAGCTGCAGTGCAGTTCCACTAACTCCAGGCTCTCCTCATTATAAATGGGTGGGTGGAGGGGAGGGGGTCTTTTGAACACAAAGTAGACAGTGTTTTTCCTCTGCTGGCTCCTTACTGTTTGGAGAACATTTGAGCTCTTCGATTTGGTGTTGATGCCTCTTTAAATCAGTGACAACCAAAGTCTTCAGCTCCCTCATCAGTTATCCCTCGCTGTCCACTGAACTCCAGTTACACTGGATCCCATTCCCTGAACACACTCTCTGTCTGACCTGCTGCTGCAGGTACTTCACTCTGCTTGCTGTCTCAGGAGTGCTTTTCCTTATCTGCAGCCCTGTTCAAGCTTCTTGTGTCTGTGCTGTTTTCCCTCTTGCTTTCCTGTCTAGGGCTCAGCTTAGATCCTCTGGAATAATTCCCGGAGTATGGGCCCCTCACAAGGTTCCACGAGACTACATGACTTATTTCAGGTTATGCTTTTATTTCAGGTGATTCAATTTCCCCATCCCCTCCTATCCACTCTCCCTACTCTAGAGAATACCCGATCTCTGAGTGAAGAACAGAACTTAGTAAGCCCAGGCACTTATATTTTAGTATTTTCAACCCTATTTTCCTTGTGAAAAATGAAACCTCCTCTTCCACTTGTAAAAATCTATTTGGTTTTGGGACCACACCTGATGGTCCTCAGGGACCACTTCCGACTCTGCTTAGGGAACCATATGTGGTGTCTGTGTGGATTGTCTGTGTGTAAGGCAAGTGCCTTACCACTGTATTATCTTTCCATGCCTTTCCCACCTTTTTTTTATTTGATGTGACATTGATTTACATTATTGAATTTGTTTCAGGAATCCTTTCTCATAACTAAAGTGATAAAATCTCCCCGCATCTATTGGGTCTTCTGTTTTTCCCATTCTTCCTTCCTCTCTGGCAGTTTAGGTTCTCTGGTCAAACTCATGGTGGTTTTTTTTATCTGTTCTCTTGTTTTGTTTTATCCCACATATGACTAAAACCATCTGATATTTGCCTTTCTCCATCTTAATTCATCCTGCACTATACCCTACAGTTCCATCCATGTTGATGCACACGTCAGGTATTCTCTGTTTTGTATTGTTGAATAGTGTGAGCAGTGTTCCATTGTGTATGTATAGCACAGCTTCTTTATCTATTCATCCTTTGTTGGTCACGTGGCTTGTTTCTTTATCTTGGTAAATAACAGTGTGAAGAAAATGTACATATTTCCTTTCAGATTAGTATTTTTTACATTCTTTGGATAGATACTTAGGAGTGAAATTTCTAGATCATGGGTAAGTCTGTTTTTTAACATCGTGAGTGCTCCCAAAATGTTGCTTATTTACAAAAGGTAAATCAGTGTATCTTCCCACCAACAGTGAGCAAAGGTTATTTTTTGTTCACAATCTTTGCCTTCTGGGCGACACCTGGCATGCTAAGGGGTTGCTCCTGGTTCTGATCTCAGGAATTCTTCCTGGCGGGCTCAGAATCGAACTTGGGTTGGTTGTGTGCATGCAAGGCAAATCCCTGCCTAATGTATTTTTGCCCCAGCTCCTGCCAGCACTTCTGTTTCTCGTGTTAGGCCATTATCACAAAACCCTTTTTCTGTTTGGGGAAAGGGATCCTTTTATTTATGAAATTTCTTTTCATTAGGCAAACAAAGTCAAGTAGTTAGCTCAAGTAGCTCAAAATAACTTGATTATACAGTTTGGAAAATCTTACAGATGTTGCTTTTTTCTAACAACTATTTTTAAGGTTACAGTAAGGGTTCTGATTTCTAATCCATATCTTTTATGTGGAATGGTTAACATATGAATTAGTGTTTGTTATCTTTGTTCTTCAGACTAATTTTTAACTAGTTCCCTATAAAGTCACTACCAGAATTTTCCAGTTCTTTTTATTTTGAAATATACTCGGATTTAAATTGAGGGTAGAATATATGGCTGGGGAGGCCATGGGGCACAGTACCAATGTGCCTACTTTGTAGGGTCCCAGAGGAAAATTAAGTCTTTTGTATGTACTTAAACATTCCCCTCAAAAGAGTAAAATGGAGATTACTAAAGGATCAAGAAATGTGTTGGTTTTGGATTACTAGACACTCTGAAACGCCTTTTGAAATCTTTAAGAAATAACCTCTGTTTGCTGTGTAGACTTTAGAACTTATTTTAATCATCAGATTACATATATGCTTATTCTTTATTTGGATGTGTTTTTTCCTGTGGTGGTAGCACGGAACTCATTGTATTATACCTGCAAGCATGCACTCCACCTCTGCGCTACCTCCCTTCCCACAGTGTTTTTTTTTTTTCACCATTCCAGAGTCGCGTCAAGGTGAGAGGGAAGCGCAGACCACAGACCCGTGCGGCACGGCGGTTGGCTGCCCAGGAATCCAGTGAAGCTGAGGATATGAGTGTCTCTAGAGGATCCAGGGCACAATTGTCAGATGATTCCCTATTACCAAATGCCTATCAGCCGCAACTTAGGCCAGCTGATGGAGAAGACAGCTCTGAAGATGCCGTGGCAGCTGTAACCCCAGCTTGGGCAGGTGGTCAGATGTTTGGAGTGGACAGAAGCTCCATTGTGAAATCTCAGGGGCAGCCTTTTGAGGATGACCTATTTGATTCTGGTGATATCTTTTCCAAGAGCACTGGATCGCAGTCCACTGGGAGAACAAAAGCAAAGACAAATGTTGCAGATAGCTTAGTCAGTCCGCCTGGGGGAAGTAAAGAAAAGAGCCCCATGTTTTCTGCTCTGAGTGAGACAAGCAGTGATGAAGATCTCTTTCAGTCTGCTAAGCCAAAGCCAGCAAAGAAAACAACTCCCTTCCCTCTCCTGGAAGATGAAGATGATCTCTTTAAAGAGCAGAAAAGCAGGAAGACTGAGTCAAAATCCAGCAGTCAGCAGGATATCTCCAAATCTCAAGATATTTTTGAGGTAAATAGTATTACCGCTGTAGAACTATTGAGTGCATTAAATTTGTTTTGCTTAGTACTTATGATTAGGTCCTCTTACTAATAATAACTCAAACTTAACTCGAAGGTAGTTTCAAACTTTCATTAAAGCAGTATGTGCCCATAAGTTCTAGGTTTTGTCAGAATATTACTTGTCAGCCTCCTTGGCATGTCACACTGCCATACAGAAAGCTGGTTCCATACAACTTGTATGCTTAACTTTTGATTCGTAGGGAAACCAGGCGCTGATTGGAGCTCATGTTGGTTTAGCACAGGTAGTAATGCCTTTGTGGCACTTACTTTGTGTATACATCTTCACTATCCAGGTAATTGGAGACACAAAGCAATTTCGGATCAGCGCTTCGCATCCTAGAATTCTTGGGCTAGGAAATCAAAAAGACAGGGAATCAAGATACATATTTTGAGATTATTTTTCTGAAGTGTTGCGCATGCAGCAGCGCTCAGTACCTACTCCTGGTGAGCTCCAGGGCCCAGATGGGGATCAAATCTCAGTCAAACATATGAAGGAAAACACCCTACCCACTGAACAATAGTTTGAATTATTTTTAAGTGCGATAAAGAAAGTAGCTCCAGGTAATTGGGAGAAATGGGAGGTGCACCTTCAGGCAGGGAATGCCAGGGAAGTCCTATCTACTACAGTAGCATCTGAGCTAATCTAGAAGAATGTGAAGGATCTGGCCTGGCAAAGTCCTGGAGGAGTGCATTCTAGGCTCATGACTCTTTTCTCGCTCTCTCTCTCTCTCTCTCTCTCTCTCAAATACTATAGGAGTACTGCTATTTGTTCAGCCATTGATTAAGCTAATTGGATTGGGCAGCTCATGACTATTTCAAAACACCTTGGTGATGAGCATGTCTATAACTTTTTTGAAGTGATTAAACTTTTCAAATTGAAAATTAATTTTGCTTACCTTTGACTTTTCAAGGATGACATATTTGCCACTGAAGCAATTAAACCCTCTCAAAGAACAAAAGAGAAGGAAAGAACACTTGAACCCAACTTATTTGATGATAACATTGATATCTTTGCTGACTTAACTGTAAAGCCAAAAGAAAAGTCCAAAAAGAAAGTGGAGGCCAAGTCTATATTTGATGATGATATGGGTAAGTTTAATTTTCTACACATGACACAGTCCTTACTGTTTCTCCTGCAACCATTGGTTGGCCCTTTCCTGGGTGTTTCCTGGGTGTTTTTTCCTGGTGGGTTTCCTTTGGCTTGTCATGTAAGTGAACTGTTCTTTCTGGTGAAGCAACCTTTTGGTATGAGGGGTAGTAAGGAATATGAAGAAGTTCAGAAACTGACCTTCAAGTATAATCTTTATATTAGTATGCTTCTGATGTTGGGAAAGGAGAATCCGAAGCTCCCTGGCAGGCTAAGGGGGGGCTAAGGTTTCTGCCCTGACAGGTTAGATTGTGGTGATGACATGACTGGGGCTAACTCAGAGTGGTTTTCAGTCATTCAGAAAATGTAGGAGCAATGTAGGAGAAAAGAGAGACTGCATAACTCAAACTCTGCTTCTGCTGAGAGCTCTTCAGTGTTTGTAAACATATTCACTTCCCCTCTGTGGTAGAACATCTGTTTCCCTAATGTGCATGCCAAAAGCCATACATGCTGGTTTGTGTTATATATCCTATGCCGGTGGAGAGGACGAGGGCTAAAGCCAAAGGTAGACTTCCTTCTTGCTCCCTGGCCTTTCTCATCTACCTCGTTCTTAGGATTAACTGGGAAAAACAGGTGCTGCAGAGTACGCTCTGTATTCACTGAGCAAGCCAAATGCTGTCTCCACTCCTACCACAGAGCTGCAAGAGACTTTTCTTTCCATTCGTCCTAGCCCTGAAATTTAGTGACTTAATTTCTTCCTATCTTACTGCATTATTTTTAATGGTTGCATGCTATTTATATTTAATCAGTTAGCCTGAGTGATCTAACTTATTTATAAACTTTTTTCTTTCGTCAACCACAACTGTCATGTTTAACATCTGTATATGCATATCATTACATGCACATGCTAAAATCTTTATAGGCTAGATTCAGTAATATTACTGAGCGTTGTGAATCCTGAAACATAGTCAGTGTGATGCAGATATTGGCACCAAGACTTCAAGTTATTTCTTCTAAACAAGGATAACTATTTTGCCCTTTTTTTGGAAAAACCATTGGGAAAAGATATAAAAATGAATGATATCACAGTAAAGACAGGAGCTTCAGTGAAGACCATGTATCCTGCTTTTTTTTCCTCTCACAGGTGAACATGCATACCTTTTTTTTAATTGAGTCACTGTGAGATAGTTACAGACTTACAAACTTTCATGTTTACGTTTCAGTCACATAATGATCAAGTACCCATCCCTACCCCCCATTTCTGTTGCAGGCACATTCCCTCTTACTTTCCATCTCCTTTTGGGTGCTATGGTTTGTAATACAGGTACTAAGAGGCCATCATGTTTGGTTCGTAGTCTACTTACAGCACATATCTACCATCCTGAGCAAGCCCTACAACCATCATTTACTTAGTGGTCCCTTCTCTATTCCTGCTGTCTTTTCTAGCATGTGAGGCCGGCTTCCAAGCCATGGAGCAGTCCTCCTGGCCCTTATTACTACTGTCCTTAGGTGTTAGTCTCCTTTTCTGTTACTTTATATTCCCCAGATGAGTGCAGTCTTTCTATGTCTGTCCCTCTCTTTCTGACTCATTTCACTTAGCAGATACTCTCCATGTCCATCCACTCATATGCAAATTTCATGATTTTATCTTTTCTACAGCTACATAGTATTCCATGTGTAGATATACCAACATTTCTTTAACCAGTTATCTGTTCTTGGGCACTCAGTTTTTTTCAAGATTTGGCTATTGTGAATAGTGCTGCAGCATGCACACCTTTATTGCTGAGAGAGTTGTGCCCAAAAAGAACCTATAATTTGTATGTGATCATGAAACTTAATTAAGACCAGTTTGGGGTTTTTTTTTTTTTTGTATATATTCATACTGTTTATAGACGTGAGTCTTTGGTCTTTGGTGTTTGTGTAAATGTTTCTTAATAAGGATCCATTCCCTTCTCTATTTAGCAACTCTGTCTCTCTCTATTTTTTTTTTAAAGATGATATCTTCTCGCCTGGTGTCCAGTCTAAAACAACCAAAACAAAAAGTCAGTCTTCACAGGCAGCACCCGAAGCAAGCTCCGAACAGAAGGTGTCCAACATATTTGATGATCCCTTAAATGCTTTTGGAGGCCAGTAGAGCATGCAGCGCTATCCCACCTCAACTTACGGCTGCATCCTTCGATTAATGATGCTGTACGCTCATTGTCTTAACTGAATTATAAAAAGCAAATAGTCTGCTAGCTTTTCTCTTATTCAATGTACTCAGTATTTTTCTGCACTGATTTTAATCTTGCTTAATACTGCAAAGCAAAAATAAATGTTTTTCAGTGGTGTTTGTTTTTTAAAGTATATTTTCATTTAATTATTTCATTTAATTATTACTATGGCCTTGGTTTGGCCATAGCATGAGTTAGAACATGTTAGACAAGAAACCTGTGTGTGACTGTATGGGTGAGTAGGGTATTCCAAAGGTAGCAAGTGTACAATAGTTGGCTAGAAATTTTTCTTTTTATGGTGGGGAAGACATCTCATCCAAGAGCCTTCGGGATTCCACCTAGCAGTTGTCCAAAGTACCATTCAGCGTGGGGTTGAACCGAGGGCCATACACATTCAAGACATGTAACTGTATATTTGAACCACTCCTCGCCTCCATAAATTTACGTGGATGGGTACCTTCACCTACATTCTGGGCAGGTGATAAAAAAGATGAGCATTACAGATTACAAGAGCCTTAGCATTGGGAGAGATTTCACCAAATTCTACCTCTACTAAGTATAAAGGCAAAGTTTGGCAAACCCTTTACTGGGAATTTTCTTTTAAATAAATAATCTTTTATTGGTGCACATACTCCTTGCTGTGATGCATCTTTTAAAAGGAATATTTTTTTAATTGAATCACCATGAGATAGTTACAAAGTGATTTATGGTTAAGTTTCAGTCATACAGTGTTTCAACACCTGGTTTCACCATGTACATTTCCTGCCAACAATGTCTCCCGCCACCTCCCTTGCCTTTTAAGCACTGCAATTTGTAATACTGTTATGGAAAGGGTATCATGCATATCAATTTACCTTCTTTTAGCACTCAGTTCTTGTCTAGAGTGATCCGTTCCAAATATCATTGTCATGGTTGTCCCTTTTCTGTCCTAAGTACACTCTCCCCCACTACTTGTGACAAGCTTCCTACCAGTCCTCCTGACCCTCATTACTATTGTCTTTGGGTATTATTCTAATACTATATGTATTTTTATATCCCGTTAATGAGTGCAATCATTCTCTTTGTCTCGCTTCACTCATTTCACTCATGCATGATATTCTCCGTGTCCATCCATGTATAAGTAAATTTGAGCTCTCATGCATCTTACTGTTAGTTTGCACTAACAGTGTGCGTGCAGTCAACTCAGCAATTGCTAACACATTTTTCTCCCCTTTTGGAGCAATGTAATCTGCTGATCAGTCTATGATTGATTCTAGGGAACTAAGATAAATAAGAGTGAAAAATAGGTGAACTGCTATTTTGAAGGGGGAGGGAGATTGTGCTTACTAACCCTATGATAACGTGTCCTCTTGCTGAGCCCCACCCCCAATACAAGTCTCTTCATTTTATAGATTAGGTTAAAATCTGGTTTTGGGGGTTGGGGAGATAGTACAGTGGGTAGGGTGCCCATTGAGGTTGGAAGGCTGTGTTGTTTTGAAACCAGTTATGTGCAGTGGAGATCAGCAGGTCGGAACTAGATCTAAAAGGGGGCTGGAATTAACATAATGGTTTTTTAAAATGTTTTAATTCAGGCTTTACTTATTTATTTACGGTGGGGGATGACACCCATCTGTGCTCAGGGCTTTCTCCAGGCTCCGTTTTCAGGGATCACTGCTAGGGATGCGGAGAGACAGGGAGATAGCCCTATGCGGTGCCATGGATAAAATGGGCATGCAGGGCAAGCTTCTTAACCCCTGTACTGCCTCCCCCAGCCAATTCAACGGCCAAGATGTCCACTCCAATATGTAAGTTGGCTAAGTTGTATGAGGAATAAATGCATACAACCTAAATTTGATTTCACTCTTGTCTTCCACCAGGCATGGTAAATGCTCCCATATTTCAGATGGAGTGACTGAGACCAGAAACATTATAAGGCAGTGAAGCACAGAATTGGGATTCTGTTCTGGGCCGGCTGACCCACAAGCCACTGGGGTGCTCATTAAAAAGTCCTATTCAAAGACTTTCCACAGCCCCCCTCTCCTCCCAGGGCAACATTAAGAAAGGGGCCAGAGAGATAGTACAGCGGATAGCGCATTTGCTTGCAGGCGGGTGACCCGGGTTCAATCCCTGGCTTCCCATGTGGTCCCCCTAAGCAACGCCAGGAGTGCAGAGCCAGGAGGAAATCATGAGCATCGTTGGGTGTGACCAAAAAAAAAAAAATAAAGGCCTTTAGAAGGCTCTCTGGGAAAGCGCTCTCCGCACCTTCCTTCAAAGGCCACAGCCCCGCCGTTCCCCGCGGGCTGTGCACTGGGTCTTCACGTCGCACGCCTCTGCCCTGGTCAGGTAGCCAGGGTTAGTGACAAAGGGTCAGCATCCGGGCATCTCCCAACCGACAGCCGCCACCGAACGCTCAGGGAGTCCCGGCTCCCGAGCAACCGCCGGCGTCCTGCGCCCAGGCCCCGCCCCGCCCCTCGCTGATTGGACAAGGCCGTGAGTGCCGGCGAACGATTGGCAGCGGTGTCACAAAGGGGCGGGGCGCGGCGCGGCGCGGCGCGTCCCCGAAGCGTTGCCGGTCAGTGCCGGCCGCTGCGTCGCTCGCGGGGCCGCCCCTCCCTGTAGGCCTGCGGGCGGGCGAGCGAGTCGAGGCGAAGGCGGTGAGGGCGAGCGGGCGAGCCGGATGGGGAGGGCGCCCGGGGCCGCAGGCCGGTGAGCCGGACTCCGCGAGGCGGAGAGGAAGCGCCGGCCCCCCGGGCGCGGGGCATCCGGGCCGCGCCCCCATCGGCGCCGCTCGCCGAGCGGGCCCGCCCCCGGCCGCCGCCGCCGCCGCCGCCGCCGTCGTCGCCGCCCCGAGATCGCGCGGGTGTCGCCTCGGCCGAGGAAACAGCCTCCTTGGACTGTGTCCCTCGGCGAGCGCGACGCTGCGGGTCCCGCCCCGGCCGGCCGGTGCTGGGGTGCGAGGCGCGGTGGGAGACGCGGAGCGGCCGACGCGCCTGGGTGGCTGGAGCTTATCCCGAAGGAGCGTGGGCTGCGCAGGTGACTCCGTCCTCTCCCTCCGCAGCCCCTCGGGAAAAGGGACCCCAGGCTGGTTGAGGGGACGGGTGCATGACGTGGTGGGGGGCTGTCCCCCCTCAGGCTTGCATCGGAAACTTAGGGATGTGTTCCACCTATTCGCTCCTTCAAAGCCACCGTTTCCTTTCGCTGTTGGAGACAACGCTTTCAAGATAACGGCTCTGGGGGTGGGTGGGGGGGGTGGGGTGGGGGGGTTCTGCTTCTGTGCAGCAGAAGGCAAAGCAGTTTTCAAATTGCTGAAATTTGAAAATGGTGCACAGGAGTTTTTTGGGTTTTTTTTTTGGTACTAAAAATTGAATTCGATTTTGATTTTTGTATGCAAAATTGGGCACATTATACTTGTGTGGTGCTACGCGACTGCCCTGTCTGTCTTTAACTTCCCTTCCAGCTTTGGATTTTTTTTTTTTTAACTTTTCAGAAGAGATGTGAGCGATGCTTGAAGCATGATTGAGGAATGTGTTTGGATGCTCTTTATAGCCGTGGCTTCAGTTTCCTTTGTGATTTTATTTAAGGACACTCAGAGTATCGCACTTGTGTCGTGTCTTGTTTGAGTCAGTTGTTAACCATAAAAGCTAGGTGAAACCAAATTTAATTTCAGCTGAGATGGCAACCAGATAGGAAAACAGAACCATCGCTTCCCTCTTTCTGTGCACTGATCAGTGTAGCCAAGATCAAGTGACTGATTCATTATGGAGATACGAATTACTGATTCATTGTTGGCATCATATCAGTTTTTTCTTCTCTATAGATTTCAGAACAACACTGTTTTATAATACTTTAGACACAGAAATGCTTTAGTATTAGAATTTTCAGAAGTTGTCATCCTACTTCAAAATATAGCTTCATCTACTCTCATGTATTCTCATGTGTTCTCATGTGTTCACCTTTGTTCACCTTTCATGCAAAAAGGAGAAGAGCAAGCCTAGAGCCCTCCAGATGTACAGTTCAAACACCTGTTCTAGAGAGTATAGCTGGCACAAAAATTGGCCACGAGGGTGGCATCTTTACTTTTCTTTTTCCTTTTAAGGACATCTGGTATATAAAAATTAGCATCTTAAATTCCAAATGTAAGCTTTAGTGGAAGCTGTCCAAAGTTCAATTTTGTCATTTATCTGTGCATGAAAATGGCCTTTGTTTTTCTGTTCCATTCCTTCCCTAATTTGTTTGAAATCCAGAAAATAAAGATTTTTTTATTGATAGGAATAAAAGCCACACTAAAAAGATACACAAATGATACACGACACACTAAAAAGAACTTCAAAAGATGTGATTTTTATACTTTTAGTTTTTCACCACAGTCAGTATAGATAGAAGAACTTTTTAGGAAGAACTAAAACTATTCATATCATTTTGCTAGTTATTTGTGTCAAAAGTGTGTAAAAAAGATAAGTTTCCATTAAGGGAATAAAAGATTAATAATATCACCCTAGCAATTTGTATCATCTGTCCTTCAAGTTTAAGATTCACCTTTACAGTTAATTGATTGATGAAAATTTATCAATTTGATATTCATAGGTTTTATAATTATACACATGTACTTCAATATTTCTGTTTTCTCTTAGTTTAATCTTGGTTTTATATCTATTGTTCTCTTTTTAGCTATTGTATGTTTGTAAATATTAATGTCTAATGTCCATTATCAATACTGAGTCCAGTGCAATACCAATATCCTTTGAAAAGTGAGTAGCTCATTAAAAAGTCCTATTAAAAGAACCTACTAAGATGGTCAGTAATTCTTTGAACCTACTAAGATGGTCACTAATTCTTTGATTCAGTATGATAAATGTGCAATGTCAAATTGGAGAGAGAGCACAAGAGTTACCTTGCCTGCAGCAGATCATGGTTTGAGTGGCCCCAAACTCCCCCTTTCTGTAAAAGTATATTTTGTGTAGTCTGTTTTATTTTTATTTTTTGTTCTTCAGGTCACATCAGGGCATACTCTTGGCTCTGTGTTGTGGGATCACTCCTGGCAGGGTTGGGATGTGATGCTGGGGATTGAACAAGGGTCAGCCGCATGCAAGGCAAGCACCCTACCTGCTGTACTATCTCTCTGGCTCTACTCTGTGTAGTTTATAAAGTATAATTTACATATTTCAGAAAGGAATATGTGTACTTTTGTAAAAGAATATGTATTCTGGGGGTGGGGCATTTGAACCACACGGCAGTGATTAGGGACTACTTCAGATTCTGTGCTCTGTGGGCTGTGTTGGCTACAGGGAAAGAACCAAGCTGGCCATATGCAAGACTAAAAGCCTTAACTACTATACTATCCCTTTGGACGTTTTTCCTTAAAGTCTTGAAGCCATATACCTATGTATTGAGTTTTTAGTTTAAATATCATTAATAATAAAGGTTATGTAAATAACTGCTGAGCTCTGAAAATATGCAGAAAAGTATTTAAAAAATCCTTGTTAATAAATAATCTTAGTTTACTTAGGGCATTGATTTCAGAGATAAATCTGAAAAGAATTAGACATAATTAAGCACTAAGGTGAATTATGGGACCACCTAGATGGTAGTTTCAGACCAGAGGTTGTTTGGAAAATCTTTATTGAGTGAGACTTTCAGATATATTTGTTTAAAAAGTTATTCTTGTCTTTTAGGTACAAAACTCAAAACATGAACAACAATATATGTTACCAATGTTCAAAGCTGATTTGGCTAGAACTGGAATACAGTTGTCTACAACATATCCCAGAGAATTTAGAAAAGTCAAAGTGATGGATAACAGAAAAGAGCCTCCATTTTTCAATGAAGATAATGTAGGACCATTTTACTACAAACTTCCTTTCTATGATACCATGGAGCTCTTCATTGAAACATTGACTGGAACATGCTTTGAACTGAGAGTTTCACCATTTGAAGCTGTTATTTCTGTGAAAGCAAAAATTCAAAGATTAGAAGGTACTATACTTTTTATTTTTTAGGATATGGCATTACATTTGTTCAAGAGTATATAACATTACCATTTTTATGGAGAAAATTTGAAATGTGGAATTAGAATCAAATACTTAGTACCCTTACTCAGATTTAGCAGTTACCTACTCATGAACTATCTTGTTTCATTTGGTGCTTGGGGCTACCTCTGGTTCTGTGTTCAGGGGTGGGTTCTAGCAGTGCTTGGGTGGAGCCATGGTCTCCTATGGCAAAGCATGTGTTCAGCCTGTTGAGTCATCTCCAGACCCTAGTATATTATTTTGCAAATCCTTGGAATGTTAATAATATGAAATAACATCTAATTTCATTGAGGTAATTGGTTTCTAAGAGTGTAAATGTTTATATGTTTTACCAGTGATAGAGTTTGAACCAAAAGGCTCACTGGAAATGCTCTTACATTGAGCTATGTTCAGCTGTATTTGTTTTAAGGGGTACAAAGCACAGCATACCCACTACCAAAGTGCCAATATCCACCTTTCACTGACGATAGGACTCTTGCCTTCCACTTCTAACTCCTTACCCTTGGTAACTTCAGTTCTGTCTTAAGTATAAAGGTTTGTTTTCACCAGACATTGTCTATTACTCACCTTATTGCCTTTTTTTTGTGATGGGACATACCTGGGTGTGTGCTCATGGTTCAAACCTGACAGTGCTTGGAGATTCAGACCAGGGTATAGCCACATATTAGGCAAGTGTCTTAACCTTTGGTTCTCATGATGCTTGTTTAGTTTCAGTGTTAGGGCCCCACTGATGATCAGGGGCTATTTCTGGATTAAGCGTTCACGAATGACCTCAAGTAGTACTTAGGGGATCATCTGCAGTGCAGGGGATTGAGCCCCAGTGGATTGAACCTAGGGTCAGCTACATCTAAAACTTGCCTTGCCTCCTCCTTTTTTTGGTAAATTGAATCACTGTACCATCCACAGTTACAAAGTTGTTCATGATTGGATTTTAGTCATACGATGTTCCAACACCCAAATTTGCTCATGCTACCCCCACTATAGCCTGCCCTTGACCTCAGTACTCAGTCCTTGCCCAGAGTGATCATTTCCAAACGTCGTTGTCATAATGGTCTCTTCTCTGTCCCGATGCCCCCCACCCCTGCATTCTATTCAGATTATAGGAAAAAAAAATTCATCTTTTCTTATAGCTGGGTGTAGTATTCCATTTTGTATATATACTATGACTTTTTGACCCACTCTTCTGTCATAGGGAACTTGAATTATTTCCAGATACTGGCTATTGTAAATAATGCTGCACTAAACATAGGTGTGAACATACATTTTCAAATTAGTGCTTTCATGTTGGGATATATACCTAAGAGTAAAATTGTTAGACATATGGTATTTACATCTCACTTAGATATATTTTTATTAGTAAGTTTAGATCTTTAATAAAATGGCTTTGTATCATGTTCTTTTGAAAATTCTTATTACATCTTAAACTTTATTTTATAACCTTCCCCTAAGGTATTCCCATCTGTCAGCAGCATTTAATTTGGAATAACATGGAACTTGAAGATGATTATTGCTTGAATGATTACAAGTGAGTGTAATTGCAATTTTGTAGATGCCGTATTTTAAAATTCTATACTACATTGTTTTTGGATCATATCTCAAGAAAAGTTCTGTACCTAGATTTCGGTATTGATTCTGAACTTTGAGATATGTTGGTTTTGTAACCTATATTGATTAACTTATATCTTCTGATTTATCTTTATCCCTGGCCCTTTCATCTCTCTCTCTCTCTCTCTCTCTCTCTCTCTCTCTCTCTCTCTCTCTCTCTCGTTTTCTTGCTCCTATCTTTGAATATTGACCCACTTCTACCAGGCTACATTCCTTATTTTTACATTTTTTTGGTACAAGAGTATTGAAATGGAATGTTTTTATTCACCAAGACTCATTTTTCATTATGTTATCCTGTTACTAAGTGACACTGTGTACACAAGTGATTAGAGGTACACTATCTGATCTTTTGTCTTTATTTCTTCCTTTTCTCACATACTTCTTCTCTCTTACAAGTGAAAGCATACTTCTTTACTCTTACAAATGAAACAGACACAGTGTGGAAAAATGGGTACATCACTTGAAGTCCAGAGACACTGTAGATTTTAAATTTCCCTATTATTAAATAGATATATTTTTTCTTAGAACATTGTGTCTTGAACAATCTTCTTTTCTTAGTGTTTCTTTTTCCTTTAACACAGAAAGGAGAATAAATTATAGAGCAGGTGTTATTTTCAGTACTTTTGTGTCATATTTAAGATTTATGAAACCTTAAAAATTTTTTTGAAGCATTGTGAATTACAAAGTTAAAAATTATTCATAATTGAGTTTCGGCTGTGCAGCATTCCACACTCCTTCACTAGTGTCACAAAATCTCCTTTATCTTTGCATTATTTGTATAAGTAATTATGCTAATACTTTACAGTTACAAACAATACTGTATTTTTAATATTTTCGAGGGTAAACTATGTCTGATAAACCAGTACATAATTGTGTGTAAATATACCACTGACTCCATTGATTAATTTTTGTTTTAATTATTCACAGCATTTCAGAAGGTTGTACCTTGAAGTTGGTATTGGCTATGCGTGGTGGACCTATAAATACTAGAAGAGGTAAGCATATATTAAGATTATTTGGTAGCATCAATATTCAAGTCAGCTATACTAGCTTCAAGTTTTAGTTGGATTCATTTTCTGCTGTTAAGTCTTAGAAGGACCATATTTGTTTCTCTAGGTATTGTTCTGCAAAACATAAATACACAGAAGCAGGAACTCATATTCTACAAAATCTCAGGATTCCTGTTTTAATCAGGAAGATTTAAAAGTAAATCTCTCCAGTATAGGGAAGAGGAATGAGATGGTATGTTGTTTAGGTTCATACTGGTCTTATTACCTTTAAAAGCATTTACATTTTTTAATTATTTATTTTTTGGTTTTTGGGCCTCAAGAACTGTTTGGGAGGTCCAGGGACCCCACCAGTAATTTTTAGCCAATAGGACCGACCAATAGTTCAATACAGGGACCTCAGGATGCAGTGCTGTTCAGGCCTTGTAGTGCCAAGGATTACTGGGACATCCCAGAGTGGGTGGCAATCCAGTAGTGTTTGGGAAATCATGTGGTGCTAGGGATCCAACCCAGGTCAGGCACATTCCTAACTGCTGAACTGTATCCCAGATGCTATTTCTTTTATTTCTTTTTTCTTTTTTATTTATTTATTTTTTCCTCTTTAGTTCACACCCGGCAATGCACAGGGGTTATTCCTGGCTCTGAACTCAGAAATCCCCTCTGGCAGTGCTCAGGGGACCATATGGGATGCTGGGAATTGAACTCAGGTCGGCTGCATGCAAGGCAAACGCCCTACCCGCTGTGCTATTGCTCCAGCCCTGGATGCTATTTCTTTTAAAAATGAGATTCCTATTGTAAACAAACTTGTAAATCACTATGTCAAAATAAAAAAAAATTATATCATTTAAAAATAGTCACAAGTGCTGTGGAATAAATCGGGTTATGTTATAGTGATTATGGAGGTCCACAGTATATTATGAGGATCATTGTGCAAAGGCCCAAAGAAGATGCAGAACCACTTGATCAATAGAAGTATTCTAAATACAGGAAGTGCTGGGAGTATTCACATCCATCCCTACTCAGTTATATCAAATGAATCTGCCCATTGTTCATCGGTTTGCTCGAGCGGGCTCCCATAACGTCTCACAACAAACTGTGAGACTTGTTGTTACTGTTTTTGGCATATCGAATACGGGGCGCTTGCCAGGCTTTGCTTTGCGGACGAGGTACTCTCGGTAGCTTACCGGGCTCTCCAAGAGGGGCGGAGGAACCGAACCCGGGTCGGCTGCATGCAAGGCAAATGCCCTACCCACTGTGCTATCGCTCCAGCCCAGGTAAACTAGCATTACTGCTAATATTAGGAGCTTTATATTAATTGGACTTAAGACATTTTCTGATGTGAAATAATTTTTATTTCACTGATTTTGAGGGTAATACAGGAATCCTAAGTGTTTAACAAACCATTTTTTAGTTAGACAAAATTTTGTATTTTATTTATTTATTTATTTATTTATTTGGCTTTTTGAGTTATACCTGGCGATGCACAGGGGTTACTCCTGGCTCTGCACTCAGGAATTACCCCTGGCAGTGCTCAGGGGACCATGTGGGATGCTGGAAATTGAACCTGGGTTGGCCGCATGCAAGGCAAATGCCCTGCCGCTGTGCTATTGCTCCAGCCCCCAAAATTTTATATTTTGTGATGTGAATTTTATTTTATTTTATTTTTTTTAATAAAGGTATATTTGCACATACATGAGCGTTGAAGATTAAACACAGGGCCAGAAAAACTGGGGCCAGATTAGACACTGGGGCTCTGAAAGACTGGCCAGTGGTTGGAAGCTTGCCACAAGTATGTGTGTGTGTGTGTGTGTGTGTGTGTGTGTGTGTGTGTGTGGTGGGGGGTGGGGGTGGGGCGAAGGGCAGTTAGAATAGAGAAGGGACCAGTATGACAATAATAGAAATGATCACTCTAGACAAGAAGTGAACATGAAAGTAGGTAAAGGGATATACATGATAACTTTCAGTATGTGTATTGCGAACCATAATACCCAAAAGGGAGGAGGGAAGGAAAGAGAGAGAGGGAGGGAAGGAAGGAGGAAGGGAGAGAAAGAGAAAGAAGTGACTGCCATATAGGCAGGTTGGGATGGTGGGAGGAAAACTGGGGACATTGGTGGTGGGAAATGTACACCGGTAAAGGGAAAAGTATTGGGACATTATATGACTGACTCCCCCCCCCAATCCAAGAAAAAGGGCCCTTACTATGATGACACTATAAATTCCGAGCCAATATATATTTTTGGAAGTTGACTATTGTGTATAGTATTGTCTTTAAACCTGACTATTGGAGAACCTGCTTATTATTCTAAAATTATGTTATAATTATGAGGTGTAGTTTAAGTGCCCTATATGTATACACATATATATACACACACAAATACACACCTGTTTGTATATGTATTTGATATGTGAATACTCAATTTTTTTTTTTTTTGCTTTTTGAGTCACACCCGGAAATGCTCAGAGATTACTGCTGGCTCTGTACTCAGGTTCCACCCCTGGCAGTGCTCAAGGGACCATAGGGGATTCTGGAATTCGAACTCGGGTCGGCTGCATGCAAGACAAATGCCCTACCCGCTGTGCTATTGCTCCAGCCCCGAATATTAAACATTTTTAATGAAAATGAAAGACATCACTACTCTTTAGTAATTGAAGCCTTATTCCATAATTTACTGAGCCTTGACTGCATTTGAAAACTTGATAACTGGGGTTAGAGTGATAGCGCAGCAAGTAGTTTGCCTTGCACGTGGATGACCCAGGTTCAATTCCTGGCATCCCATATGATCCCCTGAGCACCGCCAGGAATGATTCTTGAGTGCAGAACCAGGAGTGACCCCTGAGCATCGCTAGGTGTGACCCAAAAAGCAAACAAAACAAAAAAAAACCCCAAAACTTGATAACTATAATGTATTTTTTATACTTTAAATTAGCACTGTAGCACTGTCCTCGCGTTATTCATCGATTTGCTCGAAAGGGCCCAGTAACATCTCCATCATGAGACTTATTGCTACCGTGTTTGGCATATCAAATATGTCACGGGTATCTTGCCAGGCTTTGCAGTGCGGGCGAGATACTCTCAGTAGCTTGCCGGGCTCTCTGTGAGGGGCGGAGGAATCCAACTTGGGTTGGCCACATTGGCCGCATGCAAGGCAAATGCCCTACCCACTGTGCTATCGCTCCAACCCACTTCAAATTAATAGTTTAATAATTTGAGTCTGAGGAAGAGTATTTTCTTGGCATCTAGAAGACTCAAGGTCAACTTCTGGTGCAGCCCAAAATAATAGCTTTGTCATAATTAAAATCATTTTTTTAAAATTAAAAGCTTTGCTTTATATTTATGTCACTGAAAACTATGCAAAAGACATGCATGTTGTATTTCAGAACTCATTTTTTAAGATGTTTAGTTTTAAAAGTTATGGCTTAGAAAGTACTTTATCATGTACATTCTACTGAAGTCAGGATTATTATGTGGGTTTTTTTTTAGAGACAAGGGGGAGGTCAGAAAGGTCACAATGAGCAATGTTGGGGAAGGTGCTGTGTGATACCAGCTCTTGAACCTGGGGCCTCTCTGATGTCAGACATGTTCTTTCATTTGAAGCAGATTCCCAGTCCTAATATTTAGCTTTCATTTTATTAATGGATTATTTTGTTTGCTTGGGGGGCACTTCAGGCGGTGCTTAGGATCTGTGACCCCCGTAATGCTCTGGGGTCCATGTACTAGGAATTCAAACTCGTTTGAGTAAATGCATTCTAAGTGCCTTAATCCCTCTGTATTATCTCTTCCAGGTGCCGAGTATTTAGCTTTCCTTTCCTTTTTTTCGGTGGGGGGGGGGGGGGGAGTTGGTTTGGGCCACACCTGGCAGTGCTCAAGACTTATTCCTGGCTCTGTGCTCAGGGATCACTCATGGTAGGCATGGGGAATCATATGGTGTACCAGGGATCAAACCTGGGTCAATTGCATGCAAGGCAAACACTCGCCCTGCTGTACTGTCACTTCAGCCCCTCAATACTTAACTTTTGAAATTGGTATTTCTATTTAGAGCCAGGGATTGACTCTTTGCATACCTGTGAAGCGTGTACTCTGCCACTGAACTGTATTTCTCACCTCTAAAGTTGGTTTTGAAGTAACTTATCAAAACAGCACAGAAAAAAAGATTCAAAGCTACATATAGTAATGATAAAATTGAGTTTTCTGGTTTTTTTTCAGTTGTTTTTCTTTTGGGGTTACACTTGGTGATGCTCAGGGGATATGCCTGGCTCTATGCTCAGGTACCACTCCTGGGAGTGCTCGTAACCCTGTGGTATAGGAAATAAATCTTGACCTCCTGCATGCAAAGCATATGCTCAGTACATGGAATTATTTTGTAGCTTGAATTTTCTGTTTCAGAAAGATTTGAGTATATTCAACCATATGTAATCCCAGTGTCATATTAATAAAGCACATTATACTGGTTTAAGCAAGGCTTTAATGTGACTCTGGCAATGGTGGTAGCATTTATTTCTTATAAATATGGAAAGTGTGCCATTAAGTTAAAATAGAAGCAAGTTTTATAATAAAAAATGCCTTAATATTCGAGGCTGGAGTGATATTACAGCAGGTAGGGCATTTGCCTTGCATGCAGCCAACCCAGGTTTGATTCCCAGCATCCCATATGGTCCCCCGAGTACTGCCAGAAGCGATTCCTGAGTGCAGAACCAGGAGTAATCCCTGAGCATTGCTGGGTGTGACCCAAAAAGCAAAAAAATCAAACAAACAAAAGCCACAAAAATGCCTTAATATTCACATTTTGTGCCCATGAATCAATCAAAACATTAAAATAAGCTAAATATTTCTAAAAATTTGGTATTTTTATCACTGTCACTGTCACTGTTCTCCCACTGTTCATCAGTTTGTTCGAGCAGGCCCAGTAATATCTCCATTGTGAGACTTGTTACTGTATTTGGCATTGAATTTGGGAAATGGGGATATCTTTAACTTTTTTTGTTTCTTTTAGACTTTAATATTTTGTTGTAGCTTCAAACTATTTAAAGACATTGTGATTCCATTAGTACTTGGATACAATATAATTCTGTTAATAATTTATATTTGACTTGAAAAATTATTGCCTTTTTTGGGCAACAACATGTTTCTGTACCTTGACATGAGAATGTTTTTGGAAATGACCCATATCCCACATAATCATTTTTTGGGGTTCAGAGCTTTTTGAAAATGCATCCCATATGCCAGCAATCTTTTGAGACACATTTTCACCATAATATTCTACTATGTGTCTGCAAGTTGAAATATTGCCTGCAGTTTGATTTTGCCTGCATATAATGTTGCCTGGGCTGGAGCGATAGCACAGCGGTAGGGCGTTTGCCTTGCACGCAGCCAACATGGCCGACCCGAGTTCGATTCCTCCGCCCCTCTCGGAGAGCCCGACAAGCTACCGAGAGTATTCGATATGCCAGACACAGTAACAACAAAAGTCTCCAATGGAGACGTTACTGGACCCGCTGGAGCAAATCGATGAACAATGGGAGGACAGTGAATATTGCCTGAAGACAATTCTGAACCTTTGGAATCTACAAGTGTTGGGGAATTTGGAGTGGCTTCAGTCTAAGTGCTTTGAATAGATTCATGAATACACTGTTGGATAGTTGGGGTACTAGAAGTAGGTTTTCAGATATATTTTCAAAATTCATTACGTGCATTGTAGTCTTGGTACAATTAAGTGGCCATCTTGTGTTCTGAGGAGTTGTATACTTCAAATTACTTAATGTCATCTCCAGAAAGAGAGGGATTTACTTCCAATTTCTTACATATGCCTTTCAATTGTGTGTTTATTTTTAAATCTAAAGTATATATATTGCTTTTTAATTATTTGTTAGAATCAGTATTAGAAAATAAAGGAAGCAGTTTAAAGGGAGAATAGTCATAAATGATTATGTCATAAAATCAATAAAATATTTTAAATCCAATGGTACAGGAAAAACGTGGTATTTAGTTAAACCCTGTGTTTGGACATAATAATGTACACAAAACTCCTGTCTTTGTATGTAATAATTCATTTTGTTTTTTATATTAATAAGGCATAGGGAATGCTCTATTAACTATAAAGAAATAGAAACTTATTTGAAGAGTATCACTTTCACTTTCACTGTCCTCCCGTTGTTCATCGATTTGCTCGAGCGGGCCCAGTAACGTCTCCATTGGAGGCTTTCTTGTTACTGTGTCTGGCATATCGAACACGTCGCGGGGAGCTTGCCAGGCTCTGCCGTGCGGGCGAGATACTCTCGGTAGCTTGCCGGGCTCTCTGAGAGGGGCGGAGGAATCGAAGTCGGGTCGGCCATGTTGGCTGCGTGCAAGGCAAACGCCCTACCGCTGTGCTATTGCTCCAGCCCTCCATGTCCTGTCAACTATATTCATAAAATAGAATTTGAAAGCTTGTTTTTCAACTTTTCCTTTTGTAGTTCCAATGGAAGACCCACTTAGGGAGATGGCTGAATACATGGATTCCAGTCGAGATGAGGTCTGGGAGAAGACCTCCTGCAACAAACAAGTTACGTTTTTGGTATACCGAGAAGGAGATCAATTGAATTTCTTTCGTGTAATAGATAGGGGAGATGGCACATTAACACCATTATCTGAATCTTTAAGGTAAATAGGTTTTCATTTGTATGTCTCAGAAAAGGAAACCGCTGTATGATTTACATGTTCTTTCCCAGGTATATAAGTTGAAATTGTTCTTCAGATGATTGATAGTTAGCACCGCGCTGTAGCACTGTCCTCCTGTTGTTACATCAATTTGCTCGAGCATCTCCATTGTGAGACTTGTTGTTAGAGAATAATATATAAACTTTATTTATGGAGTAGGATTTTTCATAAAAATATTAGTCACTTTGTGAAAACTCTGGGTTGGAGTAATAGTACAGCGGGTGGGGTGTTTGGCTTGCATGTGGTCGACCTGGCCGATCCAGGTTCGATTCTTCTGCCCCCTCGGAGAGCCCAGCAAGCTACCGAGAGTATCTCACCCGCACGGCAAAGCTGGCAAGCTATCCGTGATATATTCGATACGCCAAACACAGTAACAAGTGTCACAATGGAGACGTTACTGGGTCCGCTTGAGCAAATCGATGAACAACGGGAGAACAGTGACAGTGACAGTGTGAAAACTCTAAGATGATCACTGATTATAGTTAGAAAATTCAGTGTCATTTCCTTAGCTAAAAAAAAAAAGCAAAAAAAGACCACTACTGCTAAAGGATTGAATCGATGGCTCATAAGACAAAGTTTACCATTGGTATTACTCATTAAATAATGTATGATAATTTCATATATTTACTCTGAACACCTGCTAATGAACAATACAAATAAGCATGTGATTTTATAAATATCTTGAAGTTTTTATTTACTTTGTATATTTGTTCAACTAAAATTTTTTTATGTTACACATACAATTTTTACTTGAATTGTTGGCAGGTTTCACTTCAAGTTGTACTAAAATTTTTAGCAACTTTGAAAATATTTAATACTTTCTTGAAGGTTGTTAAGACTAGTTTTTCAGTCATTACACTCTAGTAATAACCCAGCCTATCCAAAGTTACACATTTTATGAATTATTTGCCTATAGTCTGAAAATACTATGGACAATAAGATATTTTGATAATAAAACTACATCCACATAATTTTATTATTTGGTACTGTTATTAATTTATTACCATGTACAATCTATAGACTTATAATCGATATCACAAGTGTGTATAGGAAAATATATATACACAGACATACAATATATTATTTGATACTTTTTGCATTTTTAGTTTATCCACTTGGAGTTATGGAATATATCCTTGTGTATATGGGGGTGCTGCTCTGAAGATAACTTGAATAAGCAAAAACAGCTTAGATCTGATAATATATGTATTCTCAGTTATTTGCCTAATTTTAATTAGCTGTTGATGTTGCTTACAAAATTTTCAACTAAGAAATTGTTCTTGGTGAAATGCAGTCACAAACAACTTTATAATTGTGTATCTCAAGGTGATTCAAAAAAAAAAAATTCCGCCCGCTTCCTCTAGGTGGCTTGGTGGCCGCCATCTTCCAGAGGCCATTGGACAGTGAGGTTTGGGCCTGCAGTGAGTGACGAGACACGTGGGGCCTCACGGGACGGAGGTGGAGCCCTTTCCTCCCCGTCCCAACGAGACCCTCAGTCGCTGCTCACAAACAGCCTCTCTGGCTCCTGATCAAGCTACTTAACAGCCATGATCCCAGAGTCTCAGGAACAATTCTCGAAACCCAATGGCTTTTGGCAGAAATGCGCCCAGTCTCTGCAATAGGCAACCAGTGCTGGGCCACCCCAGGTGGGAATAGGTTTTGTGCCTTGGCTTGTTCCCCCAGTGGCCCGGTGGCCGCCATCCTCTAGAGGTCACTGGACAGTCAGGTTTGAGCCCGCAGTGATGAGATGCGCGGGGCCTCACGGGATGGGGTGGAGCCGGCCTTTTCCACCCCGTGCCAACAAGACCAGAGTCGCTGCCCACGAACGGCCTCTCTGGCTCCTGATCAAACTTTTTAACGGCCATGATCCCAGGGACTCAGAAACAAATCTCGAAACCCAGCGGCTTTTGGCAGAAATGCATGTGGGCCACAGAGTAGGTTACCGGCTCTGGGCCACCCCAGGTGGGAATAGGTTTTGTGCCTTAGCCTGCTCCCCCTTGGCAGCTCGGTGGCCATCATCCACCAGAGACCATTGGACAGTCAGGTTTGGGTCCGCAGTGACGAGACATGTGGGGCCTCATGAGATAGGGGTGGAGCCGGCCCTGTCCTCTCCACCCCAACGAGGCCGCAAGTCTCCGCCCATGAACGACCTCTCTGGCTCCTGATCAAGCTGCTTAATGGCCATGCAGAGACTCAGGAACAAATCTCAGAACCCAGCAGGTTTTGGCAGAAATCCCTCCAGATTTAAGTGTTAAAATTTCGGAATTTCAAAATTGCACAGCCACTACTGCAACCATGCGACATCATATATTATTCATGACCAGCAATAGAGAACAAATTGTCTACTGTTGCCTTTTCGGCAGATCTGAGTGTTGGGGTAAAATCCCAAATAATAATGGTGGGTGTGGTGTCGAAATGTTGAATGTGATCAAAGTATAGAGAGAGTGATTTGGAAATGATCTGCCCCACACGTAGGGGGAGGGTGGGGGATGGAGGTATACTGGGGTTTTTGGAGGTGGATGGGCACTGGTGAAGGTACGGGTGTTTCATTGTATGACCGAGACTTAAACCCGAAAGCTTTGTAACTGCTCTCACGGTGATTCAATAAATAAAATTATAAAAAATGGGAAAAAAAAGTAAGGTGGAGTTCATGCAAAATTCAGTCAGCCTAATCGGTGGCTGAATAAATAGCAGTACTCCTATGTAAAAAAAAAAATTGTTCCTGCTGACAGAATTGTTTTTAAACTAGTTTATTTTTTTCTGATCACATTTCTTTCACTGCTGTGATCAAACATGATTCAGTAAATTCACTGTCAGTAAACAATTTTCTCCCTTGGTTTTATTATTATTAAATAAGCTTTTTAGTAACTAATTTTGGTTGCTATTGCATTTTAACTTTTCATTTTTATAAAGAAACTGTTGTGATGAGATACTTCATTTTAAATTTTCCAAGTTTTTCTGACTATTGCTAGTCTACAACTTTGGAGTGTTATGATGTGTACTTAGTTTTGTGATCTCTAAGTATGCTTTATAAAAATAGCTGGGGCTGGAGCGATAGCACAATGGGTAGAGCGTTTGCCTTGCACGCAGCTGACCCAGGTTCGATTCCCAGCATCCCATATGGTCCCCTGAGCACCGCCAGGAGTAACCCCTGTGCATCGCCAGGTGTGACCCAAAAAGCAAAAAAAAATCATAGCTATATTTATAGTATCATTTCACAATAAATATTGCCATATTTTTGATAAAATAATTTAAAACTATAATAGTCAAAGTATTCTCTCTTTATTTGACAATCTTGGTATTTATAATTAATCATATCATGGTATAGTGATAACACATAGAACACAAAGAAAACACAATAATGTGGTTCTTTGAAAAAGATAAGCTGAATTCAAAAGCTTTTATACTTGGGGGCTGGAGTTCAGCAGGTTGGGTGTTTGCCTTACACGTGGCCGACCCAGGTTTGTTCCCTGGGATCCCATATGCATCCCATATGGTTCCCCAGTCACCTCCAGAAGTGATGCCTGAGTGCAGAGCCAGGAGTAACCCCTGAGCATTGCTGGATATGGCTCCCCCAAAAAATTACTAGTAAAAATCATTAAACATAGTTTTTATACTTTAAAATATATCAAATGAAATATTTATTGAGTGTACTTTTTGCATATATCATGATCATGACCATCCTGTTGTTCGTCGATTGCCTTGAGCAGGCCCCAGTAATGTCTCCTTCATCCAAGCCCTGAGATTTTTTTAAAAAAGTACCATATTCAAGGCTCTTTCAGGGTTAGGAGAATGATACCCATCATTGTTACTGGTATTTGGCATATTGGGTACACCACGGGGAGTTTGTCAGACTCTGCCGTGTGGTCAGGTTACATTCGGTAGCCTGCCAGTTTGTCCAAAGTAAGAATGAGATGATAAGATATCGCGAGGCCGTGCGCTTTCGGGAGCTGGGTTTTATAGTCTCTGGGTCTTGGCCGTTAATGGGATTACATGGCGACAGGGGGCCAGTTGGTGGGTGTGACCCTGCCTACTGGAATATGGAGGATCAGGGTGGAGGATGCTCAGCCCCGATCCGAGCAGGCTTGGCGATCTCAGCCCCGTGACCCGCATGCCTTTGTTCCTCTGCCGGTACCTTCATGTGTGTGGAGAGTGGTCTCAGCATGGTTGTGGCTGGTTCTGGAGGTCTTTGGCTGCCAGAGCCCTGGTCAGGGCGGGGAGGGAAACTCAACCCGCTCCCCTCCAAGGGGCCGCCCCAGTGAGGACAGCCAGGTGTGGGGGCAGGAGACTCTGCATATATATATATATATTTATATAATTGTTCTTCATGGAAAGAAATTAGGGAACAATTTTTAGTGACAGGAAAAAGTCAATAATCTCTTTGACTATTCAGTATGATTCGTTATAATTAAAATGCCATTTGATATAACAGATAAATAGTTACAATATTGCAAGGAAGGGAATTAAAAATAGAGGGGAGTCATTTTTTTTCATCTTTGTGGAATGGTAAATATTTTTACTTAACCACTTTCAGGTGTAGTTAATCTTGAGACTTAGACTTCGTGTCCTGTCACTCATCTGAGCACACAAATATAATGCAGTTAAGTCTTGATTTTGGGTGATTTTGGAAGAAATAGGAAGTAAAATAAAGAATAAACTTGGGGAAGGGGCAGAGAGATAGTTCTGGGGTAAAGGCACATGACCTGCATGTAGCCAAGCCTGGTTTCATCCCTGGCACCACATGGCCTCCTGAGCCGTGTTGAGGATAACGATGTTAGATATGCCTAATACAGTAGTTCTTCACTAAATGATAGCAGTGTCACTATGCACTGTTGTGAATGTTGTGTCAGTTTTCTACTTACAGTATTTGTTTGCAGTGGCTAGAAATGATCTCACAAGTCAACCACTTGGGACTGAATTGGTGTTGGAAACCAGTATCTAGAATCTTCCTCTTGATATGTATGTTTGCTTTGCATTTAGTTAGTACATGATTTCAATATCATTTTCACCATGTAAAAGTTAGCATTGACCCTAAACACTCTCTCTGTCATTGTGTGGAGGTTGTATGTGCTTGAAAATTATTATGGATTATGCCCTGTTCACACTATCTTATTTCCACTTTTTTGTATCCACACAGAAGAGGAAAATTGATTAAATCACATATTTTCTTGCATAGAAACACTGTTAGATTTCTTGTAAGCTAATAAGGAACAATGACTAATACATTTTACACTAAAATTTTCATTCTTCAAATATGTTAATTTTACATTTCTTAACTTCTTTACCTACCTAATTAGTGATTGGGTATTATAAAAGCTGAATAAAATTCTAATGTTTATGTTTGTTACTGTTTAGTTCAACAGATATTTGTTGGACATATGCTAAGCCTTTTGTAAGGTACTAAGACTAGAAAAAGAAATAAAACCTAACATCAACTTTCAACTTGAGTTGAAGGGAGAGTAGGATGAACAAGTCAACTCTTGGGTACTCGTATATACAAGTACATATGAGGATAATATGATAAATTCCATTATATTCAGTCACAAGAAAAATTAACTTAAGGTATGAGTAAATGTCATGGTGATTGAACAACAATTGAAATGTTTTGTATGTTTAATATTTTGTATCATGAGTTGAGTTGGGATTTCTTTTTTCATATTAGAATCTCTTATTCTTGATGGTTATATTTCCAACACAGAAAAATATTACATCATTCTCTGTTGTTTTTTAATAACAGAAAATGTTTAATGGCACTATCTGAATTCCTCCTTTACTGAGAATCCTATCAGAAATAAAAAAAACACTATATCTATGTCGATTTCTTTTTCATTTTGATTAATGGGTATCTCATCAGCTTGCGGTTTAAATTACAAATGATCAGGTGTGACTGATAAAATGTAATCAGGGCCTTTCTGTGCAGCTGGTTCTTCGGGAATGATCAAGCAAGTGCCCAAAGATCTGCATTTATGATATACTGACTTCAGGAAAGCTCAGCTATACTAGAATTTCAGTAATGCTAGATTATTTATTTCCATTTATTTTTATATATTGTGAAATGTAATTTTGAAATACATCTCCCTTCCATCTACACTGATGGACTATTGTAGTAAATTTAGTCGCATCTGTACTTAATTTGCAACTAGGACGCTTTTGGTCATTGGGTAAATATCAAGCTCATTTCAATAGTAATTATCATTTTCTTTGCAGTGGTGGCTCTGTGTATAATTTGTATACTGATGAGGATGAAGAAATTGAGCCTTCTCCTTCTGGGCATCAGATAATTGAAAATTCAATAACTATGAATAAGATGAAGCTGCTGAAGGCTAAGATGGAGAACATGAATCTCAGTAAAAAGGTGAAGCTGTCAGCAGTTGGTCAAGCCTTTTTCTAGGTTATCTTTACAGGGACACAGCATTGAGGTCTGTTGGTAATTGTGCGGAAAATTCCTATTTATAAAATATTACTTCAAGTTTTTTGCCTCAGTTTTTTATTCGTACATTAAAATTATGAATTCATTGTTAAAGCCCACAACACATCCAATGTGATTATTTTTGAAATAATTTTTAATCTAAAAAATGTTAGTTCTTGAACTGAGAATAATAAAATAACCTGATATTAATCTTATAGTCACTATTTTAAAATTCTTTTAATATTTACTTATTAAGGATTTTGAGTGTTGATAAATAACATGCCAATGTTAAATTGTACTTCTTGACAGTTTTCTAATGTGATTCCAAATAATTGAACCAATATGCATCCTGTCCAATAGTAACAATTTATAGTTCTCATGCATTTTTATCAGATTGAATTACTTAATTTATTCCCATTTTGTTTGATTTATAATAGCATAATCTTGGGATTTTAATTCACGTTTCTTTAAAGAAACTGAGCAGCTTTCATATGTTTATTGGACATTTGGACTTTTTTTTGTAAATGCCCTTTGAAATATTTTGCCCATTTTTCTACTGGATTATATTTTTTTTACAACTTGATTTTCTTGAAATATTTTTAATTTCTAGATCTTTTCTAGATTGTCTTATATGTATATATATGTATATATACATATATATACATATATATACCGTGCACTAAACGATTGCGCCACTGGATCTCCGGCCGGGCAGGAGCAATAGCACAGCGGTGGAGCGTTTGCCTTATGTGCAGCCGGCCCGGCCAAGACGGGTTCGATTCCTCCGCCCCTCTCAGAGAGCCTGGCAAGCTACCAAGAGTATCCCGCCTGCACGGCAAAGCCTGGCAAGCTACCTGTGATGTATTCAATATGCCAAACACAGTAAGAACAAATCTCACAATGGAGACGTTACTGGGCCCAGTCGAGCAAATCAATGAACAATGGGAGGACCATGATGCTGTGACGATGCCATATACATATATATGTAGTACCACTTTATTTTCTTTAATTGTATTAATATATCAGTTTTATTTATTGAAATGTAATATATAAATAATAATGTTAAGCATTTATAAGAAAATTTAACATTATAATTTTTGTTTTTGTGTGTTTGGGGAACCATTTGGTGCCTGGAATCAAACCCTGACCATAAGAACACAGAGCAAGCATTAGAGCCCTTTTTGAGTTATCTTCTGGCCCCCTTCCTTTCCTATAAAAATAACATTGTTATGACTAAAGGCTACATATACTTTGTTGTGGTTCTTCTCAAGGATCACACACTTCGGATATGGTGCCTGCACACACTTGGTACTCTTGGTTGTTGGGGTGCAGCTAGATTGCACACTTTTATTTTTAATTATTAAATCACCATGAGATGTGTAGATATATAGTTGCAAAGTTGTTCATGACAGGGTTTCAGTCATACACTGTTCCAACACCTGTCCCTTCATCAGTGTACATTTCCCACCCCACAGTGATTTCTCCAGTTACCCTCCTTCCATCCCCCACCTTCTAGTCTGCCCCTACAGCAGGAACTTTTCTTTCTCTCAAGCTTTTTCTCTCTTGCTCTTTCTCCCTCTTTTCTTTGGGGCATGATGATTTGCAATACAGGCACTGAAAGGTTATTATGTATATTGGTTTACCTATTTTCAGCATTCAGTTTTTGTCCAATATGATAATTTCCAACTATCATTTCCAACTTCTCTATCCTAACTGCCTTTCCTTGCCTGTCCCCACATACATACATTTGTGGCAAGCTTCCAAATGTGGGCTAGTCCTCCTGCCCTTCTTTTCTACTGTTCTTAGGTATTAGTCTCATACTTTTTTAAAAATATCCCACAAATGAGTGCTGTCATTCTGTGTCTTTTGCTCTCCTGACTGTTCACTCAACATGATACTTCTCATGTCCATCCATTTATAAATAAATTTCATGACTTCATGGTGCTGTTTTGTATTTCAGTATGTACCATAGTCTGTGTATTGTTCCAGGTGTACCATAGTTTCTTTATCTAGTCATCTGTTCTCAGGCACTCAGGTTGTTTCAAGATTCTTGCTATTGTAAATAGTGAACATTATGAATATTGTTTGCATACTTTTTATTGTCACCAGAAATCACAAATGATAGTGCTTCTTGGATCATGTTTGTCACTTGTGATATATGTTCCAGGCACTGATGTTTGATGCTTGTAAGAGAGGTACTTTGCTACTGATTATCCCTGAAGTTCCCATTTCCTTCCTTCTCTTTCCTTCCTTTTATCTTTATTTCTGTCCTTCTTTCTTCTGTTCCTCCTTCTTTCCTTTCTGCCTTCCAGTCTTCCCCTTTTCACCTCTCCTGTCTCTATCCCAACTCCCTTTTTTCCCTCCCTTCCTCATACTCTACTTTTGCTTGAACTTTTTTTTTACTATAGGCATAGGCTTTGCAGTGAGTCTCCCAAGTTGGAGTACTTATGTTCTCATGTAAATTTCAGATCAGTTTATCTGCACTCTTGGTTTTGGTGGTAGTATTGGTTATGAATGTTTTTGTTTATTGTTGATCTGTATGGTTATTTGCCAATAGCTCATTTAATATTTATACATTTAATCTTTGTAACCTGGGATTCATCACCTTCATTTTTTTGGTTTGTTTTTGAGCCAAACATGTGTGACATTCAGGGGTAACTCCTAGATCTGCACTCCGGAATTATTCCTAGTGGTTCTCAGGGAGCCATATGGGATGCTAGGGATAGAACCCAGATTGACCACATGGAAGGCAAGCATTCTACCCTATGTATCTCTCCAGCTTGACCTTCATTTTAAAAAGGAGTAGGGGCTGCTCCCAATGGATCTTGGGCCTGGCAGTACTGGAGAAACCATGTGGTACTAGGGATTGAACTCAGGGCCTCACACATTCTGGACATGTGCTCTGTCACTTGAGTCTCATCTTTAACTTTACCTTCATTTTACAAGAATATTTGAATCCTGTTGTAGAAGAAAATAAAAGGACCTCTAGGAGCCATCATCTATTTGGGCAGGCCACCTTTGGCTATACTCAGGACTTAACTCCTGGCTCTGTGTCCAGGGATCACTCCCGCTGGTGCTTGGGGACCATATGTGGTGCCGAGGATCAAACCTGTGTTGGTGATGTGCAAGACAAGTGCTTACCTCCTGTACACTTTCCCTGTTCACAACCAGCTTATCTTCCTAAGGTCTTTTTGAATTCGTAGCGCCTCTAGTTTTCACTTCAGTTAGTTACCACTGGGCTGTCTAGCTTTTCTTAACATTTCTAGGTTCAGAGTGTTGCTAAGTCATCAATATCAGTTCATATCTACAAAAGCTAAGACTTCTTATCCAGATTTTAATTATACACCCAAAATAACGAATTGTTTTATTAATACAAAAGTATAATGTTTTATTATTAGTGAAGCAATTCAGATAATATACTCTTTCCAGTATTAAACTTTATTAATACTGGTAAATTCTGAGTCATTCTTAGTTTTGATAATTTGCTTTGATACCTCAGGGTAAGCATGCAGTATATTTGTGACTAAGACGTCTTACAACAGAAAAGTACAAACGCAAAATCAGCAAAAGGCAGAGGCATTTGGAGTGAAGTTAAGAGTAAATGAGTCAAAAGCTTCCTTGAGTCCTCTCAGTGTAGTCTCATAGAATGTAATTAATTCTTCTCTCAGTAAATTGTGCCAGCATATGTGTAATGTTCTCTACTAAGGAAACTTAGAGACTGCCAACAGTTTCATTAGAACGTATTCTTATAAGCATGTTATGCCTGCTGTATACTAAAATTCTAGACTCTCATTAGGAAACGAGCATGCAGCATAAGCTGTATCATCTGTACTACCCTACCATTTGCAAAAACAGTTGCTGTTATATCTCCTCTCAGAGTGCTGGGAACTCTCTAATATACAAGTTTCCAGAAGCTGTCCAATAGTCAGCCTTGCAAGCAACCCTTTCAAGGATAGCTGCTTAGTACTATTAACTCTTTTCAGCAATATCTCCCTAATCATTCATACCTGTTAATTTTACTAGAAAAAGGTTTTTGAAACCTGAAGTAAACCAGCAGTGCTATGTATAATATAACCACTAAATTTTCCCTTCTAGCAAAACTGTCATAGTCGGAAAAAAATGATTTTTTTCAATTCTCAGAAAATTAACTTAAGGAAGACAGAAAAAATTCGTTTCAGTAATGAATTTAGGAGTTTAATTTTTTGAAACATTTTAATTTGAAGTAATCAAAATGTCAGCATTACAGTAAAGAATATTTTATTATGGTTTTTGTTAATGGATAGAGGAAAAAGTGATTTTGCAAAGAAATTATATAGCTATTTATTTATTTATTTTTAGCCTAAGAAATCTGTCAAGGTAAAACCTCGTCCACCAATAACTTCTCGACCTTCTAGTAGTTCCACGTCAGCTGCTCGCCACAGATTGTTAAGGGTCCTCCCTCACATTGGGCAGTCTTGTTTACCTTCTGGAAATACACATCTACCTGAAACATCTAGGAATACAGTTTCAAGTTTGGTAACCCTTCCCGCTGCTGATAGACCTGTATCATCTATTACTAGTGATTTTCTTAAGGAAGATAATTGGGAGAGTAACACACAGTCTCACTCCAATAGTAGCATCAAACTGCCACCCCAGTTACCCCATATGGAGTTTGAAAATGACAAAAAGCTTGCTGAGTCTATTCTCCACTTTGGATCATCCCTGCCTAGGCAGATAAAACACTTTCCAGGAAATTTGTCATCTAATACTGAGAATGAGGCAGTTTTATTTCCATCTTCAGATGAATGTATAGCTCAAGACTCACTTTTACCGGAAGTGGGATCATTTACTTCATTTACAGAAGAAATAAAAAATGAACAGATCAGTGACTTAGAAGGTACACAGAAGGTAAAACCAGAGTTCTTACTCAATAATGGTGATAAAGGGTTGAAAACTACGGAGCAACAACTTAAACATGTTGCAAGAGTGCTGAGTGGTGAATCAGTAGAGACTACAGTTCTTAACCACCGTGAATTAAGTCCTCACAAAAATAGACTCTTGTCACCGCTTCGCTGTTCTGCATCAATTCATAATTCTCTGGTAAAATCACAGCGGCAGCCTAAATGTTTTGAGTCTGGGAACATCCAATCTTCTGCTTCACAAAATGTGCTTCGTTCATTGGACATTAGAAATGTAACTGATTCTTCTCTCTATAGGACTACTCGCTTTAGAGCTGTTAAAGTTGACTCACCTGGAAAAAGATCTGATATTATTTCTAAAGTTGAGGCTCGGGATATCACAGAGATGGTTAACAAAGCTTCCAAAGAACCTGTTGGTTGTGTAAATAATATAGGTTTTCTCGCTTCGCTGGCCCGGAGTGCAAGCAGAGACAGTTTACAGAGCTCACGTGGTGCAGGAAGGCTTCGGACCTCTGGAATTGGGTTGTCCACCAACCTCCCACATTTTCAGGAAGAAAGTCTTAGAAAGAGTTCCCCCCCAATAGAATCTACAGATTTTTTTTTAGTAAGTATTTGCCTTTCAATATGGTCTATTAAACCAGCCGGGAATATAGCTTAGTGGTAGAGCATTTGTTTCACATATATGAGATCCTGTGTTTGATCATCAGTGAAAATAAATAGAAGAAAATAACACATGCTCCTTCACTAGTCCTTGTAGTGATTCAATGTATTTAAAGGTTTTTTTGGGGGGTATTTTAAAATAAATTAGTAGCCATAACATTGAATTTCTCAAAGTACACGTATGTAGAAAATCTTTTTGGTAGGTATTTCAAATAATGTTCGGATTCTAAGTTGAGAACTAATTTGAAAATAGTTTTCTGTCAATTACCATGCATTTTTAAATGCTTAATATTTTAGTAAAGTAAAGTAAAGTAAAGTAAAGGCCCTCCCGTTGATCATCTATTTGCTCGAGCGGGCCCAGTAACGTCTCCATTGGAGACTTTGTTGTTACTGTGTCTGGCATATCGAATACTCTCAGTAGCTTGCCGGGCTCTCTGAGAGGGACAGAGGAATCGAACTAGGGTCGGCCATGTTGGCTGCATGCAAGGCAGATGTCCTACCCTCTGTGCTATCGCTCCAGCCCAATATTTTAGTATGGTTTCTAAATAAGAGATTTGAGTAATCCAATTTTACTCCCTTAAATATTAAGAATAATATTGCTAGATAAAAGAATCAGATTTCAAGTTAGTTATAAATTAACTAATTTAAAATAAAATTACAGTAACATATTTAGAATAAATACAAATATTTTTATAATTTGGCGATCTTTTCTTTCATTCTTCATTAACTTACCTGTTAGATGTTTTGTGCTTTAATTATAGTCTGCCCGTGGTATTGGAATGAATGGAAATAATGCAGCAACAGGGAAAAGAGTAGGTAAGCTACAGCTGATTTTTAAAAACAATGTAAGACTAAGAATTAAATTAGAATGGGTAATGTTGAATAAGAGATAAATGGGAAGAACTTCCTTGTGTTATGAAGAGAATAAACTTTCCTTAAACCTGTTAAGAGATGATTATGAGAACTGACCTCAAGATAATTCTGGAGAATAAAATAACTAAAATTGAGGTCTCTGTTGTCTAGGAAGACAAGATGAATGGAGAAATAACATATATTTCCCAAACACTACTGCTCTCTTCCCTTCCCTAATACTGCCCACTCTGGAGCAATGTTTATCTTCTGGGTGGGTTTTAAGGAAGTAACCAAGAAAGGTGCTAACATCTTGACCCAGTTTTAATGATGGTAGTAAAAGTTCCTTCTAATGAAATGGTTATTTCTGAATAAATGAGACAATCTTTAAGACTTTTTTCAAGGCATTGTGTAGAAGAGACTATAATATTGTAACTTTATTTTACCAATAACACCTGAAAGTGCGCTGGCAAGTCATCATTTCCAAGAATGCCACTACTTTCATCTTTTGTGTTTCAATAACCTTAAACCAGCGATGGGAAATTCACTACTATGCACTATATTTGTAACTCCAGGGTCTTATTGGATAGATTATTTTTTATCATTTTAATATAAGGTTTGTAATTTTTTTTTGGTGCAAAGGATCAAACTCAGGGTCTCATTAAAGACTTTTATGTTTTATGTTTTATGTCTTTAAGTCTTTACATTTTATATCTTAAAAATTCCACCACTCTATAAGACTTAAGGTCATAAAGTATTAATGTTTCATCCGTATTTTTCAATTCTTTTTATTGTGGTAAAAATACAACATAAAAGGTACTCTCTTAATCATTTTCAAGTACACAGTTCAATAACATTAAGTGCATTCATGCTGTTGGGCATCTATCACCACTGTTTATCACACATCTTTTCATTTTTATATATGAAATTGCCATTAAACACTAGCTCCTCATTCCTCCCTCCTCCTAAATCTTCATTTTACCTTCTGTCTTTTTAATTTTAGCACTCTATATTATGGGTACTTATGTTTTTAATTGGCTACTTGTTATATACTGATTCACCTATGATGTAGCATAGGCAAAAATTTCCATAATTTCAAGATTGAAAAATACTGCATTGTGTATATATACAACATTTTCTTATCTACTCACTTGTGAATAAGACCTTGTGTTACTTTCACATTTTCTCTGTTTTGAATAATGCTGCTATGGACATAGGTATGCCAATATTTCCTTAAATTCCTTCTTTTAGTTCATTTGAGCATACCCAGAAGTGGAATAATATAGCTATTAAAAATTTTGAAGACTTACTTTATATATAATATATATAACATGATATGATACCCTCAGTAGTATACAAAGTTCCCAATTTCTTCACATTTTTAATCAACATTTATTGTTTTTTGTTTAAATTTAAGATAAACACACTAACAGGCTTAGAGTGGTTGTATCATTGTGGTTTTATTTGCAATTTCATGATAATTAGTGATGTTATATTGAGTATCTTTAAAGTTATTATTTTAAATATGCGGGTACTTGTATTTCTTCTTTTTTCCAGACCTACCAAGCAATATTTGGGGGGCCTGTGTGTCACTCTACGCAATACATGGCTAATTTGGCCAGATGGTTCACTGCTTGGCCCAGCAAATGATGCTTCTCAGGCCCAGTGGTGGGGACTACCAGAGCCATATCTGGTGGTGCTGAGAAGTGTCATGTAGTTCCAGGCGTTGAATCTGAGTCTTTACACATGCACGGCATGTATCCCCAACCCCTAAGCGATCCCCCAGTGTCTATTTGTATATTTTCTTTGAAGAAGTGGCTATTTACATTTTTTCATGTTTTTGAATTCAGTTTTGTTGTTGAGTTTTAGGTTTTACATAAATATTAATATTAATCTTTTATTAAAATATGTTCTTATGATTTGTAAATATTTTCTGCTGTTCTTTACCTTTTTGTTTGATTTTGGGCCACACCTGGTGATGCTCAGATTTTACTCCTGGCTTCACACTCTGGGATCATTCCTGGCATGCTGGTGATATAACCTGGGTCAACTGCTGCAAAGCAAGCAACTTACCCACCGTACTATTGATCCAGCACCTGTAAATCACCACTTCAACTGCTAAAAGTTTTGTGATGTGCAATAGATTTTGATTTTCATGAAGTCCATTTGCTATCCTTTCCTTTGTAGTTTCTTCCTTTGTTGTCATGCTTAATAGATCATTGCCAAATCCAATGTATACAACCATCTCCCCAACAATTTCTCCCGGACTATTTAGATCTTGCATATAGGCATTGTTTTTTGGGAGATGGGGTGGGGTGAGAGGTTCATCAGCTATGGTTGAAGCTCCCAGTGATCTTCAGCCCAGCTGCTCAGTTTTGGTATCTGGGCCTAGCAATGCAGTTCTACTCAGGCTCCACCATGAAGGGGGCCATCAGAGTCATCTTTTAGTGTTAGGGGTATGATCATGTGGTGCTGAGTATCAAACTCAGTACCTTAGCATGAAAATATGCACTACAGTCCTTGCAATTTCCCTGGCTCCTCATTTAGGACTTGATAATTTTTTTTTCTTTTTGGATCACACCCAGCGTTGCACAGGGGTTACTTCTGGCTCTGCACTCAGGAATTACTCCTGGCGGTGCTCAGGGGACCATATGGGATGCTGAGAATTGAACCCGGATCATCTGCGAACAAAGGCAAACACCCTACCCACTGTGCTATCACTCCAGCTCCCAAGGGCTTTGATAACTTTTAAATTAGTCTTGGTATATTGTATAATATAAGGATCTGACCTTATATTTTGTATGTGAATATTCAGTTTTCACGATAATATTTAAAAGAACTTTGCTCTGTCTCTCTGTCTCTGTCTCTGTCACTCTCCCTCCCCTTCATCCCTCCCTCGCTTTTTCCTCCCTCCCTACTGCTCTAGGACACACCAAGCAGGGCTCAGGGCTCAGTGGAGCAAATCTCATGGCTTAGGGATAGAAACTGGGTCAGCCACGTGCAAGGCAAGCACCCTCCGCACTGTACTATCTCTTGTTCTCATGGTACCCTTGTCAAATCACTTGACTATATGTGAGGATTTATTTTTGGGGTTTTCTGTTGTGTTCTTTTGTTTATATGTATATCACGTCAGTACCATTATTATCCTAATTAATTTAATAATTAGTTTGTGGAGCACACCCTAAGTAGTGCTTAGGGAATACGCCTAGCTTGATACTTGGGGAATTATGTCGTGCCAGAGATCAAACCCATGCCTACCATGTATAAAAACACTGTAGCCCTTTGAACAATCTCCTGGGCCCAATATATCTACTATTTAGTGTTAAATTTGTTAAATTTCTTTTTCTTTGACACATTCAATCTGTCTTCTCTTAACTCCATCTCAGTATTTTAGACATTTGTGTTGAACTTACCTCTGTTCTTTCAGCTCTAATTTAGGTTTCCGTGCTTTTCAATTTAATTTATTTATTGATTGATTTGTTTTTGGGGCCACATTCGGTGGTGTTCAGGGCTGAGTCCTGACTCTGTGGTTAGGAATCTTTTCTGGCAGGGTTTGGGGGACTTTATGGAATGCTGGGAATCAAACCTGGGTTGATTGCAAGCAAGGCAGGTGCTCTATTCACTATACTCTCTCTGGCCCCAGTGCTTTTCTTACTCCTCTTCATTCTTCATTTCTCTCTCTATATTTTAAACTAACAAACCTCCATTTATGTTTTTTGGACCACACCTGGTTCCTAGCTCTGTGCTCAGGGATCACCTCATCTTGTGCTGTTATTTATTTATTTACTTTATTAGTGAATCACTGTGAGGTACACTGTGAGATACAATTACATACTTACAAACTTTTGTACCTATGTTTCAGTCATACAATGATGGAGTACCCATCCCTCCACCAGTGCCCATTCTCCACCACCAATGATCCCAAATATCCCTCCAGCTAAATATTTCACATTTACATTTTTGGTGGTTTCTCTATACAGAAACTTTAACATTTTATTTGCATAGTCCTCTTGTTATTTAAATACCATACTGTATTGATTATAGTGGTTTTGTAGTATAACTTATGACCAACAAGATACCTTTCCTTCCTGCTCAGGGTTGCTTTGGCTGTTAAGGGTGTTTCATGGTTTCATACAATTTTAAAATTGTTTGTTAGGTTTCCTTAAAAAATGTCATTGGAACCCAAGCACAAAAATTTGTAAGTCTTCAACTGTACCTCATGGTGTTTCACTAATAAAATTTTTTTAAAAAATGTCATTGGATTTTGATAGGAATTACATTGAATTAATTTATTACTTTAAATAATTTGGCCATTTTAACGGTTTCTATTTTCGAGTCACTCTCAGGGGAGAGCACTGGGACCTCACCTAGCAATACTTGGGACATCAAGAGTATATAGTGAGTGATGGGAATCAAACCCAGGCTTCTCACTGCAAGGCATGTGCTATACCACTAGAGCCACACCCTCCACCCAGTAATATTTATTCCTTCAGTCCATAACCATAGGGTATATTTTCTTTATGTTTTATTTTATTTTTTAAAGTGTCATGATTTTTGGTATATAGGCCCTTTCACCTCCTTTTAAATTTTACTGCATGGTATTTTTTTTTTATCATGGAATTGGTTTTACTATTTCTCTTTACTCTAACTTATTCTTTGTGTATACTGTATCCATTTATTATTTATATTAGTTTTTTGTGGTATTTAGGATTTCCTATATATATTGTGCTATATGAAGTAGTGATTGATTTACTCTTACAATTTTTATTTTTTAATATATTTTTATGCCATATCATTTAAATTAAAACCACAGTGAAATGCCACTTCATACCTATGAGAGTAGTCTAATCAAACACATCGTTGAAGGTGTTAGAAAAGGAATTTTCACATCTACTATTGGGGAATAATTCAGCATCTCTGGAAGATAATATAGAAATTAAAAAAACTAAAAATAGGAGAATGCAGTGCAATAGTACGCCTTTTAAAACACTTATTAAAAAGACATTTGCACCCATCTATTCATAGCAGCATTATTTAACATATAACAGTAGTCAAGGCAGGGAAACAAACAAAACACTCATTCACAAATGACTGGATAAATTATGGAATATATACCTAAAGGAGTATAGCTCAGTTATTGAAGATGAAATGTTACCTTTCATGACAACATGAATGCAACCTGAGGTGACTATGATAAGTGAAATAAGTCAGAATGTGAAAGACAAATACTGGATGACTTCACTCACACATGGAATACAAAGAACTATAGTAAATCAACTGTTGTAACAACAAAAATAAACTGGACTGTGAAAATATGGTTATCAATCAAGGGAAGTATGGGAGAGGGAGTTAAGGAAAGGGTAGATAGATCAGATCAATCTGATAGTATTGTTGGAGATAGGTATTTTGTAGTGAATCATAGGTTATCAGGTATGAAACAGTAATTCTGAAAAAATACAGTATAAGATAATGATAAATTATTACTACTAATCAAGGCATTCTTTCTCTAAACAGGAGAATGTGCCCATCATCTACCACCTGTGAAAGCCCCTATTCAGGCAAAGAAGAAAACAGCAAAGCATTGTTTTCTTTGTGGAAAGAAAACTGGACTAGCTACTAGCTACGAATGCAGGCAGGTTGGCCAGCTGGAAAAGCTGAGATGCTTTCTTTGTGATGTTCCAGCTTGAGGAATACATATAAAACGTCCTTTAAATTAGCTTTTCCATAACCTTATTAAGATGATGGCCAATTAGCCCTCAGTTGAATTCCTCAAGTCAAGAGATGATCTTCTTTTTAAATTAAGAGATTTAAACCAGTGGGAGGGCTATTTCCTTTTTCTTTATTATGATAGATACACTTGTTTTATATTTCAATGTAACTTGGAAGAATCATCCAAGATAGCTTGAAAGAACCCCTCATTCAAGATTCAATTTTAAATCAAAAAAGGACCGAATTTATAGTTATTGTACTATATATTTTTATAGTTATATATCATACTTTTACTTCAAAAAAGATTCTTATATATTACACTTCTACTTCAGTGAGTTTGTATTTAAAAATACATTAACAAAACATTTTTCACCCATAATTCTTTCATATCATCAACTAATATCCTTCAGGTATGGTATTTGCCTTTAGGTTGAGACCAAATTTTGAAAATAATAATTTTGTGTGTGTGTGTTTGTGTGGGACGGGCCTCCCAAGCTATGCTCAGGGGGGACTGGGGGGCCTCTCTCAGTGATATTCAGCCAACCAGACCAGGCAGTTCAGTGCTGGAGGCCATCAGGGCCACTCCAGATGGTGCTTCAAGGGGCAGGATGCTCCAGGGCAGGCATGCGCTCTAGCCCTTCCAGCTGTCTCCCCAGCCCCTAGCTGCTGCTTTTTAGGTAGATTCTCTTCATATTGAAACAGACTTTGAATATATGTATTTCACTGCCAGGGATCAAATCCAGAGACTCACACATGCAAGGCATGTGCTTTGCTGCTAAGCCACATCTCCAGACAATTGTTAAAAATTCTTTAAAACCCTTTCATGGCATAGTTAGGTTTTATATTATTTAATTTTTTATGAGATTGAATTTACCAGAAACACAGTTTTTTCTAAGTTTTATTAGGTATAATGCAAATGGTAGGAACATTTTTAGCTTTTTAAATTTTAGTATTTCATAAAGGTGATCTATACCCTGCTTTATTACATAATAGACTATTAGAAACTAATGTTCACAGGCAATTTATTCCCCTCAGTGAAAGGGAAATGTCAGCATGGAAATTGTTAAGTTGAACCAATGAGCTCCTGTAGTCAAGCCCTGATCTCTCAAAGAGATAAGCTTCTCATAGAAATGTCACTATTCACATAAACTTCTTGTTGTGCTTTAGATGTGGAAACAACTTCTGTGCATCTCATCGCTATGCAGAAACTCACGGCTGCACCTATGATTACAAGAGTGCAGGGAGGAGATACTTACAGGAGGCAAATCCTGTGGTTAACGCACCCAAACTTCCGAAAATCTAACTCTTGCTCTACATCTAACTGTTCTGCCTGAGGAACTATCTTACAAAAACAGAGAAATATTTAGATCGCATTATTTTTGTTCGACTCCTAAAGAGTTCCAAATAACAAAAGCATCGTGTTGTAAAAATGAAAATGTTACTGTACTTGACATCTTTATTATTTGGTGAATCAGACGATTTAAAAGTGGTTTAAAAATCTTTATAACGATTTAGCTTTGTTATTGCATGTCTAATGTTAAGTATTTTATACTTAAGTGCCTTCAGAAGATGCACTTTAATAAGTTAACAATAACTGTGTAGCTAGTTCCACATTTTTAAGAAATGAGTCGTCATATAATGCCTCTACTCAAACCCACTTTTTTGTTCATGTGGGTGGGCTGGGTGGAGATTTTTTCCCCATATTTGAAAGGTTATTGAGTTTACTACCAAGTTCCTTTTTATCTCAAGCTACTTTTTATAAAAAAGAACATTTGGTTCTTCAGTGTAGTTTGAACACAAATATTTTTTGATATTCATATTTGCATTGAGCTATGTGTCCATTCTATAAAACATCATGTTAATTATAGTCTATATTACTTAAATACTACTTTTTGAATGGTAGTTATAAAATAGATGTCCCACTTGTTGCCATTTCATACAGAATCCAACTTTGCACTTTTTGAAAAATGGCTACATTTAAAACAACCTCACAGCTTGGTTTATTTTATTTATATGTAGAGTGCTATAACCAGGAGATATTATAATAAATTCAGTTTTATTACATGTTTGATTATTTGGTTATTATTATTTAGTTCTATAATTACTTAAAACGCAGTTAATAAATATGTAATTATGCCTACAAAAATTGTTACCAGAATAAAGGCTTTTAAAGTTATAAGGGTCCTTCTGGGGCTGCAGAGAGAGTACAGAGAGTAGGGTGTTTACCTTGCACATAGCTGACCTGGGTTTGATTCCCAGCATCCCATATGGTCCCCCTGAGCACCACCAGGGTAATGCCTGAATGCAGAATCAGGAGAGTAACCCCTGAGCATTTCCAGGTGTGGCCCCAGAGCAAACAGAAAAAGTATTAGGGTCCTTCTTTGTAGATGTGATCATATATCATCCAGGCTTTGGGAAAGCTGCTTGTTTCTTAGACACTTAGTTGAGGATGTTGCTAAACCCTGGTAAATACATGTCTGCAAGACAACATGATTAATCTGTTGAACTCCAATCTGAACAAGTGGGATCTGCAAGGGAATCATAAGACTAATTTTGGAGATCCAGGGGGCTCTTTTCTCCTCTAATTGTTCTACTTCCTCTACTTTGTAAGGAATTAAATGTCAAATAGAAAAATATCCATTCAAATCAGGAGGAAAATTCACTTGAGAGAGAAAATAAGAAATTAGTGGCAAAGTGATACAATGAGGGCTTGAAGGCATACTTTTTAAGGGGGGATCCATAGGCAAATGATAAAGATTTCCATTTGGTCAAGCAGTTCAGTTTCTCCTGCCTTAGCAAGATAATGCATGCTTTTGACATTTAAAATCTATGAATTATGTTACATGGATAGGCTGCTGAATAAAATGGACCATGAACCAGAATGTGACTGCTTAGAGCATGCTCAGTGTTAACTTAATTGACTATGCTTTCTAAATTACCAACGCTATGTTTCAGTCTTCAGTTTTGCCAAAAATTTTGGTTATAATGAGTCTTTTGCATAATTTATAAGTTATGTAGAGAACAGTTTTATTTAAAAAATAACTATTGGGAAATTGTCACAGTCTATATTCTTTTACAAATAAATTATTTTGAGACCTTGAATTTGCCTTTGCATTATAAGCAATTGGCATGTCACGCATACACTCACTGGTTGACCATCAAACTAATTTCATTGTGCAGCTTTAACTACGATAAAGTTGTTTATATTTTATGTAACTAAACTTTTATTATAACATTCAAGTTTTGGATTTATTTTTAAACAATTCAGGCTTTTAGATTTTTTTAAATCTCTCTCCAATTTTGTGCACAGGAGAATGCTCTTGGGAATTCTTGGTGCTGGGGGTTGCCCAGGCTACCCTTGTGGTATCCAGAGGCCTCCACACCTGACAGTCATGCAGAGCTGTAGGCTGCAGTGTTCTTGGGACCATTTGGTTTTGGGGATCAAACCAGGGTCAGCTGCATGCAAGGAATGTGCCTTAATCTGTGTACGGTCTCTCTGAACCCTAAATAACATTTTATTTTAGTACAGAAAGTCTTGAAATTCTTTAACTTAGAGCTATGTAAAATATTTTAAAGTTTATTTTGGTCAACTTACGGGAAGTTCAAATATTCTTATTTTAAATTCTTACCAGTGTTGTAATGTGTGCAGGAATATAGTTAGAACAAATACAGTACTTAGCTTTCTGGTTTTGTTCAGTATGGTTTTAAGGTCATCATGAGAGAGAACCTAATTTTGTTCCTAGCAGTATTTTTTAAGGTCTGACTCCTATTCCACTCCAGAACATAAGATTATTTTAGATGGTATATAGATGAATGTTTTATAGTTTAAAATGTTTTTTCATGTACATGAAATATCATATAGAAAATATATTTCTAAGTAACTTAAATTGAAAAAAATAAAAATGAACTGTAATAAAAATAAAATTAGAAAAGACTAAAATTGACAAATAATGAAACCAAGAATATATATATATAAAACTTTTATAGTCCTAAAATAAAGAATGCTAAAAGGTAAAGGTAAAGGCCCTCCCGTTGATCGTCGATTTGCTCGAGCGGGCCCAGTAACGTCTCCATTGGAGACTTTTGTTGTTACTGTGTTTGGCATATCGAATACTCTCGGTAGCTTTCCGGGCTCTCCGAGAGGGGCGGAGGAATCGAACTCGGGTCGGCCATGTTGACCGCTTGTAAGGCGAACGCCCTACCCGCTGTGCTATCGCTCCAGCCCTAAAAATAAGAAAAACCTCACACCCAAATCTTACAGTAATGAATAGGATATGTAACAGGTACATAAAAAACAATTGAAAGAGCCACCAAGAACTAAGTCTGGAATGATTTTTAAGTACTGGGTTACAACTTAAATTACAAAATGAATATTCATAAATGTATACTTAAATAAAGAAGTTGATTACATTTTAAAACGTGGAAGAAAGAGAGGAGAGAGAAACAGAGGGGGGAGAGACAGTGAGCGAGCACAAGCATTCAACAGGTTGATACGTGCTTGTGCTTGGCATATAGGAGGCCTCAATTTCAATTCATGGCACTGCCTGGTACCCTGGAGCACTGCAAACATTGAACTGAATGCAGCCTCTGAGTACTCCCGAGTGCGTCCCCCACTAAAAACATGCAAGTCATCATTTATGTAGAGGAATTCCATACTTAGGAATAACTCTTCAGACCTCACCTCAACTATGGCTTCGAACAAGTACAATATGGAACGCGGGGTGGGAAGTAACTTTTTAATGGGAAAGCATGACAAACTATACTTCAGGTTACCAAGGTCAACAATAGTCTTGACAGAATGTACTCATGTAATTCTTCCGTTTCCACTGAAAAGATAAACAGTCTTCCTTGGTATAGTTAGGGAGATGCCCTTAGAGAGGTTTTAGTAGCCTTCATTCTGCCTTCAAACCCCTCCCATAAGTAACCTTTGTCACTGGGGGTCACATGTTTTTGTTTTGCTATAAGATGACTTTTGGGGGGGGGTGAGTAACATCTAGCTGTGCTCATCAGAGACTGCTCATGGCATGGTGTTCAGGGGTAATTCCAAGGACCATTTGGTACAAGGATCTAAACTGAGTCCACACATGAAAAATAAGGACTCCAGACTGTTGAGTTATCCTCTGTCCCCAAAGTAGAAGTTTTAAATACTGTACATATATACTTGGTTTGGGGCCACAACAGGCAGTGCTCAGGACTTACTCCTGGCTTTGGATCACTCAGGGTAAACTATCAGGGGCCAGAAGTTGAACCCAAGTCAGCCACATGTATGGCAAACTCTACCTGCTGTACTATTGCTTTGGCCCTATCAAGTGCTATATTTTTAGAACTACTGGATTGTGAAAATCTCCACTTGCACTCGCTCGTGGTCTCTGTAAGTCCTTCATGTGCGTTGGGATTACACGTAAAAGGATGTTCTCAGGTCCTTTGCGTAGCTCTCTCTAACTGCCCACCTTCGGTGCTCTCCAGCCGCCTCTCCACCCCAGAAGGCTGTTGCCTTGGATGGATGAAAGAAGAACGAGGGCCAAGCTGGTTGCTGCTTAGTTGCTGTTTACTCCATCTTGTCTCTCCCAGCTCTCTCCAACCCTCTCTCTTTGTGTCTGTGTGTCTCAGTCTAATTGTGCAATTCTTTCGTCCCATCTCTCTCTCTCTCTCTCTCTCTCTCTCTCTCTCTGCTGTCTCCATAACCATCTCTCCTTCAGTCCCCTTTCCTTCAATCAATCCATTTCTTCTCGAAGCCGCTCTTTTTTTTATCCTCTCACCATGCCGCCCCAACCATGCCTCCCCACAGGAAGCATGATCAAAATGTTTTTTACATTCTTACCGACCACTTGCAGCCAACAAGGGCTAAACAGCCCTTAATGTGTGTTTCTCCTCTCCTTAGACTTGCAACTTAATTAGCATCTTTAATTCTCCTTCCTCATATTTACTGTTCTGTATGGGCACAGTAATAGACACTTTTAGGCTTGCAGGGTGACCCTCCTGGGGACATCTTACCACAGACTCAGACTACAGTGCTCAGGCCAGATCAATCATTCCTAACCCCAGCAAGGTCCAACTCTACTTATTACTTTTTGATCATGACAGAATTTGTCCATTACCAAGCTCTTAACTTATTAGGGCACTTTGGCCAGGCCCATTTCGATGCCAGGATAGATTATAGCTCACCGCTTGCCCTGGGTCCATTCAGTCCCTCGTCGGACCCTGCTTTTGGGGATCTAGGAAGTGAGGGCAACTGAGGCTTAAGTCGAGAGAGCAGATATCCAGGAGGGAGGTATATTATCTGGAGTCAATCAACTCCCAAGCCACAGGCTAGTCTTTTTAACTGTCTTCCTGTATCCATACATATCCATCCTTCTCTGAAATAACTAAAAATGGATCTCATTCCCCTAACCCTAAATATGGCAGAGTCGAGAAGGATATGGAAGGAAAGGCTGATAAAATACCAAGGCAGAAATAGGCTGCCAAAATGAAGAAAACAAAAATGATTGTCTGTACTTTTAATGCTCGTATGCTGGCATCTGCTGCATCCATTGAAGACCTTATGGTACAAGCGTGAAAGATCAAGTACGACATCATTGGTCTGACCGAAACGAGAAGACATCAATCACATCATGCCGTTTTCGACACTGGAGAAGAACTGTTCCTTGGAACATGTGATAAAAGAGGCGTCGGTGGTGTCGGTATCCTTGTCAACACAAACTTAGCCACGAGCATTGATTCATTCGAATGCCTAACCCGAATCGGACGATTACACTTGAATAGATGTGGCTCACTACCGGCAATTTCTATCTTTGTTGTCTATGCACCAACATCCAGTTATGGTGAAAGAGAAACTGAGAAGTTCTACATGGAGCTGGAGAAGTTCTATAAAGAAGATCACACCTTCTACAAGATCATTGTCAGTGATTTTAATGCCAAGATAGGACCAAGAAGATCAGTCGATGAGCTCCACATCGGGACCCATGGCCTAGAATGGAACTAACAGGGTGACAGACTGTCTGAGTTCATCATGTCAACCAAAACCTTCCATGGTAACTCACAGTTCCAAAAGGCTGA